GTGTGCATTTCTTCCCTTTTAGAAAAAAAAAAAAATTCCATGGAAGGTAGATTTTCTACAACTCACAAAGATACTCTCAGGGTTGTACCCTACCTTCTGCCACCTTCTCTTTCAAAGAGAAGAACTTGGAGAAAGTTGCTTCATTACTTACAAAGTATATTTTGAATAGCTGGTTGGTTGGTCACCCACAATCTGATTCCTGGGGAGCAGGGATGGCAATGCTTGACTGGACTGTTTTGCTCGTGGCTCTTCCTGGAAAAGCTTTGCATCAGTCACAGCAGAGGAGGTACTCTACTGTGGAATCCACATAGTGGGTTCAAATTGCCACAAGGAATGGTCCCCGCGTACCTTTTATACTGTTATGCTCCTAGGCTTGGCCTTGCATCCAGCAGTGCAGAGAGTAGGGATTTCCCTGCAAGTTCAATGGAAGCTCTGTGTGGTTCCTTTGTACAACCAGCTGTTTGGATGGCAGGATGTTTGTGGGAAAGAATATGCACTTTTTTGAAGTTTGCCCAAATCATGTTCTTGACACCTCCAGTAAAATACACAGCAGAGCCTCAGCTGTCTAGACTGCTGGGCAACAGGTCTTACTCTTACAGGTGCCAGCATATTCCTAGCCTAGCTGGGTTGGAACTGGGCTTTCTGCAATGAGGAGGCATCAGTGATGTGCTGTACACCTCACAGCCATTCAACCAAAGTTCCTTAGGGAAATATTCGTCATAAATTCCATTCTGTCCATGTGTGTGACTATTCAAGGCATGAAAAAAGCTTACAGAAGAGAGAAATACTTAATACTACATTTGTTGTCATATTCCCCCCCCAACAAAGGCTCTCTGTCTTTAACAGCTATTTGACAGGCAGAAATTCTACAGGGGCAGCTTACTCCATTGCTGTCCAGGCTCTCACCCTAAAACATACATGCAGAGGATCTTACTTGTAGGGAAGAAAGAGATCTTTATTCAGGCAAGTAACAGTGTAGGCTCAGCAGCAGCAGCAGCAGCAGCAGCAGCAGCAGCTCAGGAGTCACAACTCAGGAGTTCAGGGGCAGGGCAAGAAGTTTAGAACAGGATGGAGCAAAAAAGATGTCCCAATAAGTTTCCACACCCTGCACGCCATGCTTTTCAAGGCAAGGCATGACATGCTCAGTCATAAGACTAGGTTGCCTTGCAGGAATGTCAAGATGGCAGAGGTGGCACCTGGTTTGATGTGACTGTCAGGAGCTTGTCCTACTCTTGAGTAGGACCCTGGAAGAGACACATGCCCGACTGGCATGTTCCCTCCCTCCTGGTCGATCGTTCGGGAGCTTCAAAAGCTTTCTTCTGCCTGAACATCACAGCAACCGATGCCAACAGATATCGGCACACTTAGGGATCTGCAGAGTCTTCACAGCTTGCGTAACAGACCTCAGCAACTCAGCATTTTGGCTAATCTACCTTATTTACATATAAACACACACAGAGCACTGCAACATGGCTCCCCCTCTCTCTAGCATCAGACAGCAAAGAGAAAAAGAACAAAGGACAATAGTCCCACTTCACGGAACACAGTAGCACAAACATCCTGTCTCCGTCACTTCCCACTCTGTGGAGTCAAAACATACACTGTCATGTGATAGACAAAAATCCCATGACTGCAATCATGGAGCAGGAATTCTAACAGTGACAAGACTGTACCCTCCTGTTTTGCCTCCCCAGCCCTCAGCTGTTCAGAGCCCTTCCCAGCTCCACTGAGGCTCTCTGCTCCACAGGAAGTTCAGGAAGAGAGCGGGTATCCCTACTCCCCTTTATGAAGTGGCTCAAGTTGGGGTGAAGATATCCTCCTTCCTCTAACTGAGGGTCCCACCTTGCCATTTTTTCTTCCTCTTCCTCCGGTATTAGAGCCTGCCAGTCTGGGCCAGATCCTGACTATATTGTGGGACTCGTGGCAATTACTTTGTCCCATAATGAGGAAAACTGTCCCTATAGAATTCCTTCATCTGTGAAAAACACAGGGTTTCTCTTGCGGGGGAAAGTGGCAAGCCTCCATTAAAGGCCATTCCTTCAGAGCTCTCTCTCAGTGCCTAGTGCTGCCCATTCAAAACCCTATTTAAAACATTTGCCTTGGTAAATGTTTCCAGCAGTGGTGCGCTAATAATATAGATCTGCTCAATATCCATATCCAAGGGCCAGGAGAATTTAAAGAAAGAGATTGTGTTACACACAAAAAGAAATCTGCAAAACAAAGCTAAACACCTTAATAGCCAACAGAGCAACTACTCAGGAGTGGGGAAACTTTTTCAGCCAGGCAAGCAAAAGACATTAGCAGAGCGCAAGGACACTTTCCAGCCAGGCAAAAGTACCCAAGGAGGGCACAAAACAGAATCAGTGAGAGGCATGGTTGGGATGGGGATGTGGCCTTAGGAGATATTATTTGATGTTGATGATGATGATTAAAATTTGTATTCAGCCCTTCATCCAAAGATCACAGGGTGGTTCACAACATAGAAATACAAAATGAGAACACAAAATACACAATAAAAACAAGAATAAAAACCAACCAATTACCCCCTCCCACATACACATTTAAAAGGACGTAGAATGTTAATCAGCCTGGTTAAAGAGAAATGTTTTTGCCCTGGGAAGAGCATTCCACAAACAGGGAGCCACCCCAGAAAAGGCCTGTTCTTGTGTTGCCACCCTCTGGACCTCTCGTGTAGGAAACACATGAGGAAAGGCTTCAGATAATGACTGCAGGGTCCAGGACAGTTCATATCAGGCACTAGGCAAAACCCAGACATTTCAGTTGGCTCCTAGAAGTGTTAGAGGAGGCAGCATACCTATGCTCTCGCTGAGATAACAGATTTTCGTATTTAAGCTATGGAAAATTCCCTTTAATACTCAGCAAAGTACAACTATTTTGGTAGATTCTTTTTTTTAAAAAAAAAAAGAAATCTGAAACCACAGTAAATTATAAAATCACATATAACGACAGTACCCCATGATGCTTATTATAGAAAAGAGCAAAACACATTACCTTATCAGAAATACAAAATTGTATTCTGTAACAGTGTGCAATCAGTTCCCATTCCTGAAACTTATTTATCTATATAAAAATATTTATTTCTGTGTCTCTTAACGGGATGGACCACTGGGTTTGGACTACTCAAATCCTCTTTAGAGTTCTCATGATTTTTCATCATCACTGTTAATTTAATAACTGCTAATTGCTCCTATAACCGTAATCGACCTGGCTTTTGGCTTTCCTTCAGAAGTCTAGCAAATAGAATTCTGGCCAAAGTAAGTATATGTAGTATTTGTGCCTGACATTTTTCTGGAACGCTATGCTTCACAGAATTCAGTAGACCTGTTAAAGGAAACTTTGGGAAATGTTTGTTAATGACACCAGCCTCCATAGACCAAACTTTTTCTGTTCTGCTTTTGGGAATTTCCACTACATATGCTAGAACTCCCGTTTTCTCTCTTTACAGAACCAACATGTACTGTCCTGCCCTTCTACTCTTTGACTGTATCTGATGCCATTGCGTGGCCGTCCAACACAGTTGCCTTTATAACATGCAGCCACCAAAAAAGTTAATTCCTCACTTTTAAATAAACAAAAACCCCACACCTCATCCAGACCTGTGTGTTACATACTTTGTTTCAGTTCTCCAAATAGACCTGCCTTCCTTGAAAAGGCTTATTTAGTAACATTTGATAAACTTTGCAGAATCCCCCCCCCCTTATTTTTAATATTTCAAATTCAGTTTTCTCCGGGTGTAACTTGTGTTTCTGCCCTACCCTATGTATAACAGGGAGTGAGAGTGTTCTTGTGCTTGCGTCCTGCTTGTGGGTTTCCTACATAAAATCATAGAACTGTAGAGTTGGAAGGGACCATGAGGGTCATCTAGTCTAACCCCCTGCAATGCAGGAATCTTTACCCAACATCTTGTTGGCCACCATGAGAACAGGATGCTGGACTTGATCGGCCATTTACCTGATTGAGCAGGCTCAGAATTAAGGGCTGACTTTTTGGTTTTGAATAGGATGTTGTTGTTGTTGTTGTTTACCCCACCTTTTTCCTCCTCGTCGTGTAAGTCATAAACCATCATGTTCCTGAAGTTTATTGTTCCAGTTATGAGATTAAGAAGCATAGGAATGTATAACAAAGATGGCTCTCTTTCCATTTTAACAGCCGTGAATTTATGAAAACAAGCTACATGTCTGGCTCACAATGCAAAGCTAAGCATTAACACCCCTGTGATGTTGGTCTTTCTTTCTGTTTGACTTTCCAGATGACCTGGATATGGATGATTTCCAGCTGGAACTTGAGGATTCAAAGCTGCACCCCAACATCCAGTGTACCCCAAGCCCTGGTAAGAAATAGTCTTGAAGCACAGCACTTAAATCTTTAAATAGAAGGATAGTTGCTATACGTGTTGCAAGGGAAGCCAGCAAATACTATTTCTGTGGTGGCAACAGATGAGTGTTACATACATCGCTCCATTCAGAATTGTGATCTTTTGTGGTTCAATTATGCAAGCATGGAATTGGGAGTGGGTGAAGAATTCGGCAAATTTGTAATCCCCCTTTTTGAAAAGCTATTTTTCTAGTCTTTAATGCCACAAAGAAAGTGAATGTCAATGTTTGTGAAATCTCAGGAGGGGGTGAGCAGGATTGTTGTAGCCTGGGGCAGTCTTCCGTGCCCCATCTAGCTCTTTGCCCCACCCCACCAGCTCCATAAGCGGAATCAGAATGAAAAAGAAGCATTTTGTTCTGCGAACTTCCTGCTCCAAAACCCTGGTTGCGGCAACTGGTTTTAAAGCTGTAGAGCTGCATGTACAAGACCTGCCTTCTGCACTGAGCCTCCTTGAATTGTAGCCATGATGTCCCTCAGCCTCTGCTTGCTTGTTCAGTAAGTGCCTGTTGCTTCATCAGATATAAGTGGAGCAAAATGGTCAAATGTCATAAGCTGCCTTATACAGAGTCAAACCAATAGTCCACCTAGCTCAGTAGTTTCTACACTGACAGGAGGCACCAGGGATTGAACTTGGGACCTTCTGCATGCAAAGCGGATGCTGTACTTCTGAGCCACAATCCTGTACTCAGCAGTGCCTTGTGCCAGCTGCTCTGCTGCAGCATCCAGCTTGTAATGTGGCTCCTTCCTTCTTTTCTTCCAGGCCCGTTCAAGCCCTGTGATCACCTGTTTGAGAGCTGGGTCATCCGCCTGGGTGTCTGGCTGATCACGCTGGTCTCCATGCTGTGCAATGGGCTGGTCATGGCGGTTGTCTTTGCTTCGCCCGGCTATCTGTCCCCCGTCAAGTTTGTCATTGGCGCCATTGCTGGAGCCAACATGCTGACGGGCACGTACTGCACCATCCTGGCCTTCGTGGATGCCATCACCTTTGGTCACTTTGCGAAATACGGGGCCCGGTGGGAGACGGGCGCAGGGTGCCAGGTGACGGGCTTCCTGTCGGTGTTTGCTTCAGAGGCTTCCATCCTTCTGCTGACCCTGGCCGCCGTGCAGTGCAGTCTCTCAGTGTCATGCATGCGGACCTATGGGAAGGTGCCGTCTTTCGGCACCGTCAAGGCAGGTGCGCTGAGTTGCCTGGCGCTGTCTTCAGTAGCTGCAGCGCTGCCTCTCTTCTCTGTTGGGGAGTATGGAGCATCCCCCCTCTGCTTACCCTACCCACTCCTGGATGGGAAGCCTTCCATGCTGGGGTTCATGGTGGCCCTGGTGCTGGTCAACACCCTCTGTTTCCTCATTATCACTGGAACATACATCCGCCTCTATTGCAACCTGCTGAAAGGAGAGTTTGACTCTGTCTGGGACTGTGCTATGATCAAGCATGTGGCTTGGCTCATTTTCACCAACTGCCTTCTCTATTGCCCCGTGGCCTTCCTGACCTTCTCTTCCATGCTCAGCCTCTTCCTCATTACCCCCGAAGTCATCAAGTCTGTGCTGCTGGTGGTGCTTCCTCTGCCAGCCTGCCTGAACCCCCTGCTCTACCTGCTGTTTAACCCACACTTCAGAGATGACCTACGGCTCCTGAGGCAGAAGAGCCAGGCCCGGGAGAGCTGTGCCCAGTCCTACGTGTCAGAGGACACAGAGAAGAGCTCGTATGACTCTACCCAGGCCCTGGTTGCTTTCTCTGACATGGATCATATATTTGAGGCACCAGACATCTTCAGAGTGCCTCCTAGGTGCTCGTCGGTACTAGATGCCTACAGCTACCCATCAGTGACTCTCATCCCACACCAGCAAAAGGCAGGTGCCGGAGGACACGACAGTGGCTTCTCCACTCACCTGTCCTACCTTGCTGATGATGAGTTGCTCATCGCATCGGAAAGCAGAGACCCGGCAAGGAGCAGCCTTAGGATTGCCTTGTTTTCCACACCGCCTGCACCAGCCTTCACGTCTCACTTATAAACAGTCGTTCAGCCTCCCAGACCCGGTACACATTCGCTCTGTGAAAAGCCTATGCAAGAGCCCACCTGTAGCCACCAACAGCTTTGGACAATGGCTGTTCTGGGGAAAGGGTGGCACAGTTTATTGCTTCTTCTGGGGGGGGGGGAGGCCTTAAGAGCCTGCAAGGTGCTGCCAACTCCATGTATCCTAACTTACTGGAGCATTGTCTTCTGCTCTCTTGCCACACCAGTGTGTAAGGCAGTGTGGGTCCTTCAAGGGGTGGGGGGACGACCAGGGGACTATTGAGTTAAAATCTTCTGATACACAAAAGCAGGCTATTACCTAAGCAAACCAAAATGTAGCAAAACGAGAAACTGCTAACCAACTATGATGCAGCTTCCCAGGATACATCTGGTCCTGCTCCTTATAAATTGTGTGGAGCTGACAACAGATGGCAACAGAGTGCTATCACCAATGAACCTTGTCTTAGAACGATAACAGATGACAAATAAGGCAGTTACTGAGCTGCTATATAGACATGACAATGCCTGCCAGGGTAGATAGCCTAGCACCAGCTGAACATCTGAATTGTCACCGCAGTCTTTTCCTCTTCATTCTCTGTAATGAGGTATGCCATCAGTTCTGTTCTACAAATGGAGAAGAGGAGATAAGGTAACATACTATTCTTTAACTTGGGATGCTTCAGTTTCATTAATCCTGGTCTCTCTTTTTTAGGAATGATGCACCTATCCAGGCTGCAGATGTCTAAAATTTACTTCTAAGGCACCTAAAAATGAAGTGAGAATTCCAGGGCAGTGACAGTGGCAAGGTTGTGCCATGTCAAGAGCCAAACCATGCCACATTTTAGGTTCACCATTTAGGGTAGAATGAACTGCTTGTTCCTGGTCTCACTGAAGCCCATAAATGCAAAACATGAGCTAAAATGCAGTGTAATGAATTTGGTGTGTTTCCATAATCTTTTGGAACTCATGTAAACTCATCCTAATGAGCACATAATGGATAGATATTCTACCTTGTAGCACCCCCTCATTTTTTAAAAAACTGCTGGTGTTGCAAGGAAGAAGACTTGAGTACAGTGAAAGAAATTTAAGGCCCAGATATATTCACCATAAGCCGGAAATCCCCAACATAAAAAAGTATTCTTGCCCTCTAAGCCAAGCCCAACAAAGGGCAACTGCAGCTAAAACCCAACCATTTACAGATTCCAGAATCCAGTTGCATTGCTCCGGTTCTGCAATTCAGCCTTCAATTATCCTCTCGCCTTCTTTGCAACTTACATATAGAAATCATGAAAGCAAACTCACATCTCTTGCTTTTCCACCTAAAAGCACCTATGCTCTCAGTAAGAACTATAGTCCTACTGACAGATGGGAAACAGTGACACAGGACTAAATCTTGATTGGCACAGGAACAAACCTTAATTGAAGCCACTAGAAGGTTAAGATGTAACTTGCTGCTTGATGGATCTTGATGGATGCTTCTAGAAAGAGCAAGATACAGAAATTATCCCAACTGTTTAACAACTACAGCTTGCTGGAATTGTCCAGGTTAATTTCCAGGCTGGTTTTTTCCCCTCTTTTTTTTCTGAGAAGGCATAGTTATCAATTAATAACTTGTCAAGGGAGGTAGGAAAAAATTCCTGTCATAGGGGATTTTATTGCTAACATTTTAATACATTGCAGAGCACACTATCAAGCATATAGTCTAGACTACATATGTAGTTCTGCTTTTAGGAAAGTTCTTAATATTGTCAGGAGAGAAATGTAGACTGAAACACAGAGGAGGATATGGAAAAATGTTACAAACACACCAGGTGCCTTTTCCTTCAATCCCCTTAAGGATGATTCTGCTGAAATAATTTTGGTTACTAGTGTTGTGGTTGGGTAGAACTCCAGAACTCTTGAAGTCCCCACTTGTTACTTTGGCTTACTTAAACAGTGTATGAATGGAAGCTGGCTTAAATGTCTTGGGACGATTCATTATGGCCTAGAGAAAAAGATGCAACACATATAGTGGTAAGCCCTTTTGCTGCTCAGCTTCTCCAGAACTAGAATTAGTATTAACCATCCATACCTAGAAAGAATTGTCCTCCTTGGGGCTGTAAGTTTGAGCGCAGCTCAGTCAACTTTTAGAAATGCAAAATTCCTACAACTTGTAGCATCAATACGTCCAAAATCAACCACGGGAAGTATCAATTTAAATGCCTTTACACACCGTGTTTGTTATTGTCTGTATATACACATTGCCATATATGATGACATACGATGCTAGCATGAGCGTGTTTGTATATTATGTGTATATTTATATAGAGAGCTATATAGCCATTTGCCCTCTCTTTTTGACCTTGTGTCATCTTTTTTTTTTTTTTTTTGTATATTGATGTGTAAAGCACTCTGGAAGACCTTGTAGAAAATTTAAAAATTGTTAATTTTAAAACCATGCTTTATTTTGTTTCTATGACTTAGTCGGGGAACCACAAACCCACAGGCTTGTTCCTACATGCTCATTCCTTGCGACAGCTTGTGTCTAGGCATAATCTTATCACAGATGTATCGCCACAGATATAAACTCAATGTTTTCCAGCTGAGTTGGTTCATGTGTTCAGTTGCCAGTCATCAGGTTTAAGAGTTCTCTTAGTGACATGCATGAAGGTGAACGAGCTCCAGTCTGTATGCTAGTAAGTACCAGCATTATCTAACATCACAGCAAGTGTGGTTTGGGAAATATAGGCGGGTGGGACAAGACAGACATCATCTCAGACAGAAAGTGAAAGCCTCTCTTTTAATAAAGGAGTCTGATTTGACAGCACCAAAGACAAACTAGGTGCTGAAGCATTACATCAACTCTTCAAGAAAACCCCTCCTCACCCCCAAATCTTATCTGGGTCTTGCATTTCATGCCTTTATAGGAAGGCCCAAGGAGATGAATGAATGAACACTCCCACTTCAGTGACAGTCGGCTTTAAAAGAGGCTTATACACAATTTTGATAGCCTGTGACTTCAGATAGCTGAAGAACAAAACGGTACATCAAAGTTGTTGTTTTTAAGGCAGATTAATATAGCTGGCTAACCCACAAGGATTGGAATGTGAACTAAGCTCTTCAGAGTTCCTTCAATTTTTGAAAAATCTTAGTAATAGCATAGTCATTTGAAAAAACACACACAGTATAATGAAATACTGAGAACCTCTACAATTCTATACCAGTCCAGATGGTCTCAAATTCTGTATTTGGATCATATTGTGGAAATTTAGATGTGTATACAATTGTATGCTTGGTCTGCAAGTTTGGTTGCTAAATTGGGATTTTGTCAGATTTTTCTTTGTTATTTTAAAAAAACCACAATTGAACAAAAGAAATTGATGCAAGAGACACCTGGGGCAACAATCAGGTAGGGACACAAAGTCTGAGAAAGTAAAGTTATTTGCGTGGAAGACACGTCTTGACACACATACCCTATTTAGGCATGATGCATTTTTTCACAGCCTCTTCATATGAAAGCATGAGAAAAGGGTTTTAAAAAGTTTTTTAATCATGAAGACTAAGATTCTTTCCCAGAGACAGTGTTTCTCATCTACCCCATCTCAGCACTACGATGTGGCGTATGTGGCAGTGGGGGAGCAGGAGGAAACTCAGGGAACTGTGCAAGGGACAGTATTCCCACTCCTCCCCATCATAGCACTGCAGTGGAGAATGTTTACTTGCAGATGCACCTCTTTGAGCTTAAGTTTTGATTATATGATACAATCGCCTAAAATTACAAGGGGTTTTCATTTAAACCTGCCCTACCCTCACTTTGAACTGTGATAAATGCTTGCGTGGCAAGTCCCCTCCCCCCATGTGAAATGAAAACACCGGACACATTATTTAAGGTTAATGGGCGTAAAAGGCCACAACTTTATTGATTACAGGAATTAGAAGGTATTGGCCTTAGGGATTGGCTCCTATCGACTACCCGGCATGGAGACCGGGAAGGGTTATCCACCAGCCGTGGGAGTCCTGTTGAAGTACGCCAACTAGGATCCCACGGGTGTCACCGCTCGGGGGCGTGCCGGAGGCCCTCACCTCCCTAGGTTTCGGACAAGGCAACGCCCCCTGGAGTCCTTTACCGGACTACCCTTTTCCTTGGGGGAAGGTGATGGCGTTTCCTTCCCCCCCTTCATTTGCGTAACAATTACCCCTGCCAATGCCTAACCGCCAATACCGAGGAAGTTGTGACGTTTGCTACGAGGTAGGCGAAAAAACCAAATGGCTGGAAGCGCGCCAAGTTGGAAAAATTCCTACCGGGCCCCTTGTGGCGACCAACCCGAGTCCATATCAAGGTCAGAGCTAGCTAAGCCTAAAGGGTGGGTGGGATGGGAAAACCGGGCAGCTGGAACGGGGCAAAGAGGGCGGTCCCCGGGTGTGCCTGGCCTTAAATGGGCTAGGCCACGCCTCCCCAGCCCGCCGATTGGCGGGCAGGGTCGCAGGCACGCCTGGGGATTCCCTCGTTCTCGCGGGGGCTAAAGGCCAGCCCCCGCTGGTGTGGGAAGGGGTGGGCCCGCAACCCCACCTCCTCCCAAGCTCGGAAGTGGCTTTTGTTGCAGCTGCCCTGAATACCAAATGAATGATATACGTTTATTGTGCAAAGAGGCTTAAAAAAAAAATCTGCTTCAGTGTCTCTTTGGAGTGTTAAAATCTTAGACTGTGCCACCTGTACATAAATTTTGGAATTCTATTTTGTGATATACAGGCAACTGCTGATTTACGCAGGGGCTACGTTATGGGTCATCACGTGCGATGGCAGAGCATGCATAAGCCCACCTGGGTTGCCACGTTGCGTGCGTGGTCACACATCAATTGGACACACGTAAATCAGTCGTTGCCTGTGTATCTATTTGTGTGTGCTTGTATATACATGCACACACACACATATACACACACTTTAATGTAGAAGATTCCCAGCAAAACTGATTACACTAAAAGAATTTTAATTCTGGTTAACAATTTAATCTCAGTTGCTGTGCTCAGGTCCTGCTTGCAGGCTTCTGCAGGCATCTGACTGGCCACTGTGGGAACTGACTTCTGGACTAGGCGAGCCATTGGTCTGATCCAGGTTTGTCTTGTGTTCCCATGTTCTAACACCCCCATCGTGACCCAAAATAATTTATTACCTCTGTTTCCCATACATTCAAATGGTCTAATATTGTTTTCCCCTCTACCAGTGTTTTGGCAGTTTGCTCACTAGGAGGATTACTTTGGGGAAGAAAACCCCAAATATCGACATATAGGCAATATAGTTCCTGCTGGAAGGTAGCAGCAACTGCCTTCTGTCAGAGAAGACAAAATGTGATAAATTATATGGCTGATAATTTGCTAGCGTGGGCCTTTGCCAAAATACGTTCTGAACCAATATTTAAACCTACTGTATAATCTGTTTAGAAGCTATGCTTAGGTTTCTTTTCAGAGTTGGAAAAATTGGGATTAAAGTCAAAACACAGTTTCAGTCCAATTTTCTTCACATCCCAGTTCTAATAAAGACACTATCCAGTCTTCTCCATGGGCATGTGCTCAACTTTTCCTCAAACACACCTTGCAAAATGGCTATTTAAAAAATACAAACTTACCCATTTTTATTTCAACATGGGGATGCAATGGGAAAGTTAGATGGAAAGCTTGATGCATTTTTTGTTGCCTGTGAATAAAATTATATTTCTGAAAAATGTTATATATCCAAAGAATTGCTTACTTTGGTGGAAGTATAACAGTAGCTATGGGTGTGTACAGTTATCTTTAGTAATTTATTCAAAGGTATGTTCGCAACTGGCTGTACTTATACTGATTAAAGACCTGTTCATTTTAGCTTTGACCCAGAATAGGTGTGCTTCTCTAAGAATACACCGGTGCATTTTGTTGCATGTCCCACTTTTACTACTAATTACCTAAAAATATTATATTAAATGTAACAGGTTTAGTAAAGTGCACTAAAGGTTTAGCAACATTGGTAAAGAGCAGCGTCCACAAGGAAAAGCCAAACTCACGCTGCACTTTTACAGTTAAACATGCCTGATTGTTTTTAGTACTGCTTCTGTCTCCACTGTCACACCCTAAATTTAGAGGAGGAATCCAGCACACTAGAGATACTTCTCTAATTAAACAGTGAGGGATTGAAACCTGGGCATGCAAACCATGAGTTCATCCTTGGAACTGTGCATCCTTCAGACCAATGCTCAACTTGCTGAAGGTGTCTTCAAACTTACAAAGCTGCTAAGAAAGGAGCAGATACATAAAATATTATTTGCACTCATCTATAGTCCAGCAAGCGAGGCCAAAGGTACACAACTTTAGCTTCCAGAAATAGTTTAAACACCATTCATGACCATTAGTCATAGCAGGACTAAATATGTTATTTATTATTCTCTCATTGGTGCCTTCATTCAAAACATGCGCAAAATACACAAATTAGACAGCGAAAGACAAAATTGCTGTAAAGAACTTAAGAAATCTGCAGAAGTAAAATAAGATGTTTTTAAAAACAGACAAGTGCTTCACTGACACAGCCTTAGAGGCATTGCATATAACGAGTAAACAGTACATTAATTGCAACAAGTCTACTTAAGAGATGGAAAGGAACACTGAAACACACACAGAGCTAGAGACTGGGATATTGCACGACAGCAAAGCTTCTATGTTTCTGAGCAAGGTCTTTTGGACAATCCACTGATACTGCTTCCTTTCCTTTTCTGGGAAATGTGAGAATCTTTGGGTGGGTTGGCTGCACTTTGGTGGTTCTCTTCATCGGTGGTTTCCACAGTCTGGAATAACATCAGAGAAAACCAACTGAGAGAGAAAAATATTGGTTTCTGTGTTCACACTTTGCTCAACGTACCAATGCTTTCATTCACATCTTGCAAGTATGCAGACTCCCCAAGTTAAGACTTCAAAAGTCATGGGACACATTTTGTTCTTTAAAGACACAAATCAGCTAATTCCTCACCCTCTTACCACCCCATACAGAATTCCCATAGATCCTCATTATACAGCTGACCACATTTAGTGGCCTGACAGCCAAACTTGAGGTGCCACAGAAGAGAAAATGTGCCTTTTCCAGCATCACTGGACTGTTCTTACGTGTTCTGGGAACTAGAAAAACTTTTTCAGAAATTTGTGGAATACAATATGCATGGCTCTGCAAGATTTGTACAGGCTGTTCATAGATCACTTCCATAGCACAGATATACCCAGTACTTTTTTCCTGGGGGCACTCAAGGGTATGCAGTACCGGCATCTTTTTGCCTAGAAGAAAAGCACTGGATATACCAGTTCTTTTACAAGAAAATTCTGAGCAACACGGAGATGCTACCTCCAAACAGAAATCAGTTCTTTCTGCAAGCAGGCCAAATTTATCCAAAGCTGAAATTCTTCTGACAGCCTAAGAAGAATCAGCTTCTTCACATTAGTTAAGAAACAAGAAAGTGCAACTAGGAAAGAAGTTGTATTATTTAAGGTTCAGATGCCCCCAAGTGTTTCAGCTGTGTAATTTCATCCCAATTTACCTGGAAATTTCAATAAAAGTAGAAGGCATAGTTGTGAATTACTGAAGACCACTCTGTGCTTTATTGGGGCACACAAAACTGTTGAAGATGAGACAGGATAATTTATACAGCGCTGATTGCTACACCTACTTTCTGCTTGAACTCATTGCTTGTGCTGGGTTGGGTGCTCTAGCATGGATGACTCCACTAGTAAGTGCTCCCTCAAAGTTTATTTCCTGCTATTCTATTCACTCCCCAGCTTTCAGTCACTATGGAATACAGCCCTTTATAGTATGCATTAAATCCTTGCTCCCCTGAATGGTGGCATTTGCACTCCCAAACATGTTTTGCTTGGGAGTTGCCCTGACTCCTTAGCTCCTAAATATAACTAAGACCCAAGTCTCATGTGCCCACCAGTCTTTTGATTTGTCCATTCTATGTTAATAATGAGCAACTACAACAAACAGAAAGTTAGGGATCCACTTTTTGAACAGAGAAGTGAAGTTACAGAAGAAAGGCAAGGAAATCAGGGTTCTAAACCAGATTGGATAGGGAGCCAGCCAAATGCTTGAACAATTAAGAGTTCTAAAAAGTGCAGGAAGCCTACAAGAGAACAGCTGTCTCCCACTACAGACGTTTGCCCTGAACACTTGGAATACAGAAACAACCATCCAACAATGGGGGCAGTCTAAAGGCATAGCCCCTTTTGTAATGGCAGTGCCCCTACATGCAAGTAAAGACTGAATAGGGTCAAAGTGCTGGAGGTGGCAGAATGGACTGTACCACTTCAAGTGGGGGAAATTATTATTACTTATTAAATTTCTATTCCGCCCTTCATCCAAGGATAACAGGGCAGTTTACAACATAAAAACACAAAAATATATACCATGATAACAAACAAAAACAGTAACACCTGCAGCCTAGGGCTTTTGGAATGGTATTCCAGGCTCAATGAAAAAATGGAAGAGCAATGCTTTCAGACAGAAGTTACAGTAGGAGGTGAAATATCCTATCAAGCATTAATATCATAGCCAAAGACTACATCCCCATCATTTTGAAGTTATCAAGTTCTATATGGAAAAACTTCAGAAATGCACTGCGAAAGGAATCAGGCATATATGCAGAATGTCAAAAGACGATCTCTCAGCCTGCCCTTAACCATGCTTTGCCATCTCCTCTCCACTCCTCAAATCACCCAGTTTGCTTGTCTGGAATGCTATAACCAATTCTGTGACTGGAAAGAGGCCAGAATAACTAGCCGTACCTTGGTTTTCAAACAGCTTAGTTCTCAAACGTTTTGGCTCCCAAACACGGAAGTGACTGTTCTGGTTTGCGAACTATTTTGGGAACGTCTGACGGAGCTTCCTGCAGCCAATCAGAAGCTGCACTTTGGTTTCCAAATGTTTTGGAAGTCAGACGGACTTCCGGAACGGATTCTGTTCGACTTCCAAGGTACAACTGTACACTGGTAGACTTGTTTGATGAGGATAGACCTTCATCTCATGACAAGCTTATCTCCTTCTAACCTGACTCTGGAGCACAATGGTTTAAAGCCCTGCAGGTGAGCAGCTTGACATTCAGGTTAAAAGCACTCATCTTTGAAAGTGTTTACAGTGCTCAGTTCACAGGAAGGGTATTAAATACCCTCAATGGAATCCTAACTGATTCTTTTTGCAAGGACCCTAATGGTCCTTGCATGATGTAGGAGAATGATATTGGCAGACCAATCTCTGAAGCTTCCTGGTGCGCTCTGTGGTCTCATGCACCCTTTAAAACTGTATCAGCTGCCGTCAAACTAGCTTCTCAAGTTAGTTTAAGCAATATAAGGTTCAGCGGTGAACTAAGTTATATGAATCCCCCTCTACAGTAAGCCTGCAACTTACGCGGGAGTTGTGTTCCAGGGATCACACCTAAAGCCAAAATCACATGACGTCAAAACACAGGTAGAATTGCCAAAGTCGGACACCTGCCCTTTATTTATTTATTGCCAAGCGCGTAAAGCTGAATGTGCACACGTTAAATGTGCCTAAGTTCTGGGCTTACTGTATTAAAAAAAGAAACTTGTTTTGCTGCATATGTAGACCAGATGTAACTGGGAGAATTTCTAGAAATTATTTCCCAGATCAGTGAACAAGGCTGATCCCACATCCTAAATTTACCTAGAATCAATGTGTGTTTGGCCTGGGGTACTGGAATGATTTTACCAAAAGATCTGCGTCTCTGCTGATGAATTCCTCCCTTCATACAAATACACAGAGGATGTGTGCTGTCTGCAGATTTAGAACCATACTGCAAGCCAAATAAAATTCCATATAAAATGTTTGCAATAGGGTAATTTCCAAATATTCTTACCCAAGGCAAATTCTACAAGATCAGACACAAATAAAATACAATAAACTCTGAACAATCCCTGCATTTTTCTATGGCGTTTTAGAGTTATGACAACGTGGCCAAGAAAGCAAAACAAAAACTCCCATTGCCAGAAAAGGTAGTCTACAAGGGAGAAGTTAATCCAGACACTTGTGTTTCATGGCACATTCATATTATTTCCATCCCACAAACTCAATTATAGGAAGATGGGCAATTATAGGTGACGCAGATTTGAAGTATTCCGTTGGGCACAGCAAGACTGCACATGTGAAGATTAACCTACACCCCATTCCTCTCTAACAAAAGTGATATACTTTCCTTACCATTGTTGTCTGGCTTGCATACTTCTCTGTCCATTGTCTGGCATTTTTGAGGAATGTTTGCTTGTTGTATTTATACTCAGAGGACTAGACATAATTAAAAAAAAGAAAAAGGAAAAAGTAAGAGACAAGGATAATTATGGCCTCTCAACCATAAGACCATAGTTACGTTTGATGACAGATTTACTAGACCGCATGGAAGACTACTTAACCACACTAGGTATTTAGGAAGACTGCAACCGCCATATTTTGTATCCTGTATGCAACACATATATACCCATCCATCCATTTTTAAGCATGATGTTTCAAGGTAGAAAGCGTTGACCTCACTGTCAACAAAACAAATTCTATTTGAGCATCTCCCTCCTCTCCCCACCCCCACCCCCACTTCTAGGTCAACATGGCCTTTTCTCAGTTGTATTACTGGAAAATTTGTACCCCAAAGAAATGAACTGCAAGAGGTACATCTATTGCACTCTGTGGTTTCTTCACATCCCTTCACAGACAGAGTTATAGCATAGTTATAGCTTCCAAAAATACAACACACATTCCACCAAAATAAAGGAGGAAACTTACTATGTCAGCCATGAGGGGGTCATCAGGGTTGGGTTCATTCATAAGTATCTGTATTGAAGTCAGCAAAGTAGCAATATTCAAAGACGGTCTCCATGCACCCTGCACAGAACGAAAAATTACTTGAGTGAGTGGGGGTATTATGATACAAAGAGAAGTGTGTTTTGTTGGGAGTTACTTTGCAGGCCCAAGCTATAATTCCCCCCAAGATTTTCTGGGCAACATTGCAGAAATTTAGGAGCAACCTGTATATCAATTAATATATACAAGTGTGACATGCAACAAAATGTTGCCATGTATTCTCTTCCAATAACAGGAGTGCTTCTGTTTCCTCCAGATAGTGGTGAGGGGCTTAAGTAGTCCAATTCACATTCCTTCCCTAAATTATCTTTTCTAAATCTCGCTCTACATTCCATGGCTTGAGGAGACCACCCTTCATCCTCTATATTTATTGAGTTGATTTTGGAGCGGTGTCATGCCCTCTTTTGTTTAACTCTTTATGTACTTCTGAAAAATTTTAGAATAACCCCCAGCAAACTATACCCCCCCAAACCCTGTTTGGCAACAATCACAGTGACACTCACAAACCTCAGTATTATCAATATGCATAGCCAGATCAACATGCTGCAAAAATATGTAGTACTCAAAACCCCAAAAGCATCAATCCCACCTGTGACACACACACACCAAAGGCAATTAAGAAAAGATGAGGTTTACAAGGAGCTTAGACCAGCTGACTGTAACTGTTTCTGTCCAGGTCTCCTCAGTAGGGAAATACAAGCAAGTGGCCTCTTTCAACCAATACACATAGCAGTATCTGCACTTGCAGATAGGAACAGCTGTGCCAGGAGGCCTACTGCTGCTCTCATCAATCCCTGTAAGAGAGGCAACTCATTACCTTAGGTGGCAATCTGAGAACATCAAGGCAAATTCTTCCAGCTGAGTCAATGTTGGGATGGTATATGGGAGTCAGAAAGCGTATCTTTGGGGGTTCAAATGGATACCTAATTAAAAAACAGCTCGTTCTCTTATTTTGAAAGAGAATTTTCACAAGTTAACACCCACAAATCCCTCGTTCTTATCCATTTCTGAACATGCACGAGCATAATAATAATAATAATAATAATTTATTATTTATACCCTGCCAATCTGGCTGGGTTTCCCCAGCCACTCTGGGCGGCTTCCAACAAAATATTAAAATGCAATAGTCTGTTAAACATTAAAAGCTTCTCTAAACAGGGCTGCCTTCAGATGTCTTGATGAAATTGGGATGAGCAGAAAGTATAATTTTATGTACCCAACGTCTAGAGAATTAGGCTGTACTAGCACAGCACAGGTGAGACATATAGGTTTTAAAGCCTATGGGTATTTATTTATTTGTTTATAAAAATATTTGTGACCCACCTTTCCTTGCACAGCTTAAAGTCTGGTAGTTGTTTTTCTCTTTGACATCTGATGGGAGGGCGTTTAACAGGGCAGGTGCCACTACCGAGAAGGTCCTCTGCCTGGTTCCCTGTAACTTGGCTTTTCGCAGAGAGGGAACCACCAGAAGGCCCTCAGTGCTGGACCTCAGTGTCCGGGCAGAACAATGAGTGTGATATCCAAATGTGGTATCCTATTTAAGCAAACAGGGTTTACACTTCCTTACCTCTGCAGTCCCCTACATGCCACCAAAAGCTATTGTTTGGAGGGTTAGAACTCCTGTTGCACCCATTGGCATAACATTGATCTCACTTACTAGATCTAGAGCAGGCACGTCCAACTTCCAAGATCCTGCGATCTACTCCCTGTTGGACATGCCTGATCTAGAGGTATCAGCTTGATCTTAAAGCAGTTTAACAGCTCTCTAGTTCCTAATCCTGTAAAAGGAACTGCAGTCTCATGAGCTGTATTTAACAAACCTACCATTCCATATCTGCTTAATACATTGAAGCACAAAAGATTTTCAAAAATCCACTTAACTTTCAGGCACAACTACTTCCAAGTTAAAAATTCCTTTCTCGTATGGTGTATCTGCAGAACCCAACATTTCTAAAGAGAAAAAGACATAGTAAGATACATCAATACTGCCCTCTTTAGGTAACTGCTTCAGTCACTGCAAAAACAAAGTTTGATCACATAAGCCACAACATATTCATATCTTCAAAATACATCCATCCAAGGAACTAGGCAGGAAAAGAACAAAAGTTACAAGGAATGTAATAATTATTTTTCAGACTTATTGTTCAGTGCCAGAATTCTAAAAAGACTTGGATGAGGATGTATTTTTATCTTCCAGGAAAGGATCTTTACACTGGCTAACAAAATAAATTTCTGTCCAAAAAGAATTAGAAAATTATGAGCATCTTATAATCTTTGCCACACCAAACATTTGTTTCAGAAAAAGGAGCTACTTCTCTATTTCCTGCTATGCAGATGACCTAGTATCTTTACCTTTTATGGATTATATAGTGGACGCTCAGGTTGCGAATGTGATCCGTGCGGGATGCACGTTTGTAACCCACATCTGCGCATGCGCAAAGCGCGATTTAGCACTTCTGCGCATGCGCGACCGCCAAAACCCAGAAGTAACCCATTCCGGTACTTCCGGGTTTTGGCAGTCCGCAACCCGAAAAGACGCAACCTGAAGCGGCTGTAACCCGAGGTATGACAACACCTTCCCTTTCATTATTAATCACAACTAAGTTCAGCTTCTTAAGCAACATTTCCTCAAATTCCAGTGAATCATTGGCAAAAAACTAAATGAAATAATTGCATTAAAACAATCTAGAAAAGGGCTGGGGAATCCCTGGCTCTCCATAAGTTGCTGGACTGCAGCTCCCCACCATCCTTCACTGCATGCTTTTTGGCACCACACAAGTTTACTCTGAAACAAATCCAACTTTTTTTATGGAACTTGCTTCTAAATACAGTATACAGTATATTTGCATGTATGCAGAAAAAGCAAAACAAAGTTCTCTGGAACTTTTAATTAATGCTTATGTATATAAGTTATAGATTCTAACCTCTAACTATTTGTATATTGTTTTGTCTATTGTTGCTGGGTTACTGAGGTATGGAGGGCAGAAAAGATCGAATCCAGACAGATACATACGGGCTTGAAGATCATCTATACGGCTTCCATTCTGCCAGCAAGTAATTCCTGGTGGCGGCTGTGTAGTCAGCAAATGCAGCTCCCTCTTAAGTCGTGAAGCCCTTTGCATTGCTCTGCAATAGTGTGGGGGAAATTTGCATCATTTAACTTTCCTAATTTCAGCAACTATTAATCCTTTCTGATAATGAATTGCATGTCAGTGCATTAGTAGCAGAATTTTCAGGTAGCTGTATAAGCTTTTTTAAAAAAGATTGTAGCCTGTTTAGACAACTTAGCTCGGAAATGCTGATCCAGACCCAGTCTCACACTTAGAGATCACTATCAAAACAATTTCTCCATGTCAGAAGCACTCATGTTTTACATCAATCAATATTAAATAGGACTGAGATACTAGGTAACGTTTTTGCAACTTGTCTATGATCTTGTTGAGATCATTAAACACTAGGCTGAGATCTATTAGTGGGCAAGGCAGCACAATATTTCAGGGGTACAGTGGTACCTCTGGTTACGAACTTAACTCGTTCCAGAGGTCCATTCTTAACCTGAAACGGTTCTTAAGCTGAGCTACCACTTTAGCTAATGGGGCCTCCCGCTGCCGCAGCGCCGCCAGCATGCGATTTCTGTTCTCATCCTGAGGTAGAGCCAGTGTGGTGTAGTGGTTAAGAGCGGTAGACTCGTAATCTGGTGAACTGGGTTCGTGTCTCCACTCCTCCACATGCAGCTGCTGGGTGACCTTGGGCTAGTCACACTTCTTTGAAGTCTCTCAGCCCCACTCACCTCACAGAGTGTTTGTTGTGGGGGAGGAAGGGAAAGGAGAATGTTAGCCGCTTTGAGACTCCTTCAGGTAGTGATAAAGTGGGATATCAAATCCAAACTCTTCTTCTTCTTAGCCCGAGGTACTACTTCCGGGTTAGCAGAGTCTGCAACCTGAAGTGTTTGTAACCCGAGGTACCACTGTGGTTGGAGAGAGCATGCCTTTTCTATCAACTTATGCTATGTGGAAAAGGGTGGACATCAGATTTATAGACTTTACTGGCTTCTGTGAAGGTGTATTTTGCAGAAGTTAGGCTCCCTCCCACCCTGGTAGGAAAGTAGCATTATTACTGGTGGGTATCACTGAGCAGGATTCAACTACAGTGGTACCTCGCAAGACAAATGCCTCGCAAGTCAAAAAACTCGCTAGACGAAAGGGTTTTTTGTTTTTTGAGCTGCTTCGCAAGACGATTTTCCCTATGGGCTTGCTTCGCAAGACGGAAACTTCTTGCAAGTTTGTTTCCTTTTTCTTAACACCGTTAATACAGTTGCGACTTGAGTTCGAGGAGCAACTCATAGAACGCAGTGTGGTAGCCTTTTTTGAGGTTTTTAAAGACTTTGGTATTTTTGAAGCTTTTCCAAAACTTTCCCGACACCGTGCTTCGCAAGACGAAAAAAATCGCAAGACGACAAAACTCGCGGAACGAATTAATTTCGTCTTGCGAGGCACCACTGTAATGAGTCCCATCAGCAGACACCTATGCAAGAACTTCCATATGCACAATGGGGCTCCCTCACTTCCCCCAGCCAATTGGGGGGGGGGAGAGAATATAAAATATAGAAGAAAACCAGCCATTTTTAAACACATTACGATTACTAAAAGTATATGCCTGGGTACGCTTGCATGAACAAAAAGGGTTTTCGCAAGCACTGGGGGGAGAAAAATACAGCGAAGGAACCTGCCTAATATTAATGTGCAGGGAGTTCTGAAGCGAGGATGCTGTTGACTTGTAAACGTGGGGCAAATGTGATACAGCACTGGTAAAAGTGTGCGTTCTGCAGATCTAAGCAGTGAAGGGCGTACATATTTGGGGCGAGGCAATCCTTCAACTCCAGGAGGCAGCCAGGCCCCTTCCTACTGTTTTTAAGGAAAGCTAGAGAGGGGCATTTTGTTAAAAATGGGAGTCAGTCGGGGAGCTGCAGTTTTGATTTCATTACCTCTTCTCACTGGTTTTTGACACTATACATATATATAGAGAGAGAGAGAGAGAGAGTGTACAGTATATCTATTTAGTGTGTATGTGTGTGTACACACACACACACACACACACACACACACAAACATACAAAGTCTCCCTGGCTTTTAACACTATATATAGATACAGATATAGTGCGTGTGTGTGTGTGTGTGTAGATAGATAGATAGATAGATAGGTAGTGTGTGTATACACACACACACACATATAGAGTGTGTATGTGTCTCCACACACACACACACACACACACACACACACACACACACTTTTAATTGTTGTAACCCGCCCTGGGGACCTGAGGGTGCCAGTTAAGATAGCAAAATGAAGGTAATAGCAATTATAACACCCAAAATTCGAGCCTCAGTACATGCCGAGGGAGGGCTATTCCTCCTCCCCTCTCCCCGTGCGAAACTGAAGAGGAAGCGCCAGTGTGAACCGGCTCTCCCCGCCCCGCCTCGGAGGACTTCCTTCGCCAAGGCGGCCTGCGAGACCCCCGCGCGAAACCCACCCGGTGCTTACGAACCCCTCTCGGTTTCTGAGGAAGCGGGACCTTCCGCTGCCTTTCCCGCCCTTTCAGAATGGATCGGCAGCTGCAGCAAAGCTGGAAGGAAGGCGAGGTTCGGGAGGGTTTTAGAAAAACCCGCTACCGCAAGTTAGAAGCACGAAGACCCAACATGCTTTGCACGGGCCGCGGCGTGAATGGGCGTTCGAAGTGTCCGTCAAAATGCGACCGACTACGGATTGGCCAGCAAGGGCGGAGGGCGGAGCGGCTCCAAGCGGGGAAACGGCACGATCAGGTTTTTGCCGACACTTCGGGCACGAAGTCGAACTGCTCCCTCCGTTCCAGGCGGCGGTTTCGTTAGCAGAAATCACAGCTGCTTTGGGCGCCTGCTGAAGATATTATTTTTGTTAGGGAGGGGCAGCCAACGTTGTTCAGCTTTTTTTTTTAAGGAAATCAGGTGTAAAAATACCCCGTAAATAGGACACGGCGGGGGGCAGGCTTCTGCTGGGTGGGGGGGGGGGGACAGAACCTTAGATAACTGAGTACTTTCAATGCTTGTCAATAATTTTTGTGGATCTAGAGGGGCTGCCCCTCCCCCCAGGCTACACCCATGAAGCCTACCCAGATGTTCTGAAAGTTTGTAGGAGTTTTAATTTGTTTCTAGTCTATTCTATTGTGGTTTTAACTTTATGTTTTAAATTATGGCTGGTTTAAAAAACCAGTGATAGTTCTGATTACTTTATCTTTTCTTTTCTTTTTGTAAACTGCCTTGGATTTTCCCGACAGTCAAGTGGTATATAAATTTTATGGAACAAAAATAAAATAGATATATTATGAATACTCTGTGCTGATTTTGCAGATATTTAAGATTTAATTGTCACAGACTCTTACTTACCCGGTTGCGGAACAACTCATCTATAACCACATATATGTACATCTTGCAGCGTGCATGCACACACAGAGAGTTTTCAATGCTTTTAAATAAAATCAAATACAGAGAAACACTTGCCAACTTATTTTAGCACTTCGTTACACCCAATGCAGTAGACTGCAGTCCATAAAAGCTTATACTGTGTTACATCTGTATGGTGCCACCAGACAATGCAGAACAGGACTGCCATGGTTTCGCTGGGTTTATTACAATCCTTTGACTGTAACATGCATTGTCACCCACTAGGTGTTGCTGGCTAATAAACCATTTCCTAAATGTCTTGAATATATATAGTGGAGGTGCTTTAATTTGCTTATTTTGTAAGCCCATTTTTGTTCATGTACTAGGAGCAACATCTTTAGCTGACCTGCACACCACAAGAAAAGCATAAGCGCATTGGTGCATCTCAATCTGTGTGAGGAGTGCAATGAGGCATTAAATTCACCCCTTTTGCAAGATAACTATTTCTCTTGTACTTTAGAGGACTGAGGTTAAAAAGCATAAGTATACAGTGTTGTGTGCCCAGGTACTTCGGACAGACTGAAAAAGAAATCTTAATAAAGTATGCCCCGCCCCCTACAAATTACAATTACAGTTTTGCGCCCCACGCTATCCTTTAATCATTACATAATCATGCCCTGTTCAATAGCAGAGATCATGCCCTTAATTTCTTTATGGCAGATTAAAAAATGACAGTAATTTGGGTGTGTAAGATGTCAACATGTTTTAAAGGAGAATTTCATTATTGGGCAATTTATATTACAGCATGCTTCTATGTAATTTGGTAATATTCAATGGCACTAAAATAAGTACGTAAACACTGATTGTAATCTAATGGCATAATCCTACACATGTTTATTCAGAAGGAACTCTGATTGAGTTCAGTGAGTCTTACTTTCAGGTAAGGAGCTATATGATGTCAGTCTTGGTTATGCAAGTTAAAACTCTACTTAAGAACATTATAAAGCAGCTTTCAACTACATGATGCACGTCTTTATTTCATAGAATATTATATATCACTTGGCTGTGAAAAGCTCAGAAAGAATAAAACAATAAAATTATCAGTAAAAACAGTTACATTCAAAAATAATTAAAAACAATGACTTCACTGCCTCTGCTGCAAGACCTAATGCACAACTGGCCTAAACCCTTTTCATATGAACTTTGAATAATTTTAACCAAGTATTTAGCATGCAATTAAGGGATGTATCCAATTGTTCTACTCAGTGGGCCTACTTTGAGTAGGAATAGCAATGGCTACAACACTAGGTTTCATTTTATCTTGCCTATAGAATCTGAATAGCTCCTTAAACCAGATGCCTATCAGAGGCCTGTACTCTTTTAAGTGTGCATTAGTCAGCTGCAGCTTTTGCCAGCAGGAAGGAGAAGGGATTTAGAGTGACCTACATTCTGCCCATAGTGACCTAGTTATTGTATGGTGTGTGAGGCAAGCACATACAGAAGCTTCCTGGTGTCACATAAAAGCCAGTCAAATTCCCGTGAAAGGCTTTGAACTGTGTGACAGGATATGTTCCTGGGATTCCCAGCAGGAGTCAAAAGACCTCAACAGAAAAAGGTAAACACTACAAGGTGCATTTGGGGTTCAGTTCTCAAGCTAATTAACCAGTCCAGGTTTTTTTTGCAATGGAATTGCTTCAGAGTTTGTTGTTTGAAGATTGTGCCTGTGAAAATGATTCCAAGTGAACTGGGAGAACAGGCATAAGACATTTGCAACATTTTGGGAGGATTTAGTCCTGACCCTCCTGATTCCACTTACAGTGTATCAAAAGAGACAGAGGCACACTGTCATTGCCTACCCTTCCAGGGCACTTATTTGATTTGGATCACAAAAGAATATGAGTTCTGAATCTTGAGAGAGATTTGGGAAGCATTATAATTCAGCATGTTAATGATTACCATGTACATAAAAGATAAACAGATGTGATTTTTAAATATGAAATGGTACTAGCGGGCTGTAAGAAATATGCATATTTCCACATTAATATTGTGAAATATATTTCCACCCCACACACATCTCCATACTTTGTTATCAAGGTATTTGCTTACTTAGCATGGGTAGTAGTTAAAGTATATTCTTAGGCTGGCATAAGATTTGATATTTTATAGCCCTCTACATTCACTGATCTTGGTCCAATAAATAATCCTGTTCACCTAGGGCAGGGCTAGGGAACCAGATGTTCTTGCACTCCCAACATCAGCCCCAGCCAGTATGGCCAATAGGAATTGTAATCCAACAGCATCTAGAGACTAAAAGATCACAGTTCCCCTGGCCCTGGCATATGGGTGTTGGATAGTCAGTTTTGACTATCAAAAGTATGAAGCCACCTGTTTTCTGTAAAGGACCTTGGTTTTAACGATGGCATTTGACCTGATCATTTTACTGTTGCGATATCTGACAGCATGGCAAGCTAGAAATATATTACGTAAATAGATGTGTATGGGATGCCTCCACCTTTGCGTTCTGATAGGTCTGAAGTGCCTTCACAAAGCTGTATAAACGTGCAGAAAGTAACGCAACCTCGCAGCCTCTCCACACTGCGGGCAACTGCCCCTGATGAACTTCTGCCTGTTAGCAGCGTAGGAGACAAAAAGGTGTCAACACTTCCCAGACTGGTCTGCACCCAGTCACACAAGCAACCCAAGTCTGGACACGCTTCCTCAGAAGAAGCAAGGTCTGACTGAGAGCAGTGTGACTGACACCAGGCTCAGCCCTCGGGGATTTATTACGCCGACAGTCGGTTTCCCGTTTTGCAGCGGGGCTTCCTTCCCACATCACTGCTGCTGCTGCTGCTGCTGCTGCTGCCTGCTTAGGGCTGCAGAATAATAATAATAATAATAATAATAATAATAATAATTTATTTATTTATACCCCACTCATCTGGCTGAGTTTCCCCAGCCACTCTGGGCGGCTTCCAACCAAATATTAAAATACAGTAATACATCAAACATTAAAAGCTTCCCTAAACAGACCCAGACCAGACCCGAGTCGGCTCCCGGTCTTCTTGCAAACACAACCCCGCGCATCTCAAGGCAAAAGCGACTGCCGAGCCACCGCCACGCCTTCCCTGAGCTCCTCCGCCACCGCTTTGGAGGAGCCGCTACCGGAAAGAGGAAGGTCTGGTGCTGAGCCTGCCCGGAAGGCCCCTTGCGCCGCTGCAGAGAGAGACAGGTAACCCCGCGTCCCCAGCAGCCCCCTGCCCGCCTCTCGAGAGTGGGATGGGAACGGGACGCCCCTTTCCTCCGCCTTGCTACCGAGCCTCTCCTTCCCCCTGGCGCTCCTGGCAAGGCCCTGGGAGGGTTCCCCCTTTCCCCGTCGCGGTGGGGGCTCTCCCCTCTGCCCCCGAAGCCCAAACTCCGCGTCTGGACGCTGAAGGCGTCTCTGCATGCAAACGTGCAGGGTTGATTCCCGTCCCCCTTCCTGCAAACTGCATCGACGGCGGATTTGATAATCCCCGAGCTCAGTCAGGGAGAGCGAATGCAACCCCTTTCTCCTCCCTCGATGTAGTCCTGAAGAAACTCCTTCCTCTGAAGCGAGAATTTGCAAGAGGAAGAAAGTCGCCACTAGTTAGGGAGACAGGGGATAAAAAGGAGTGGGCATCTGCAGCTTGGACAGGTGTGTAGAAGATGCAAGCTGCACCAGCACTATAGTCAGTATACCTGCTGAAATTCCCGCTTCTAACTATTGGAGGTGCAAGAGCTCTGGTCTCTCTCTCTTTTTTTTCTTTTTTTTTCTTTTGCACCTGGTCGCTCTGCTCTGAGGGCAGAAATTTATCCTGCTGGATAAGTGTTGCTAATCCCGATTACAGCTTTTTATTTTAACATATAATGCATGCCAATGCATGTGTTCGTTGAGCTATGGCCAAGGATACAATAATGACCAGGAACAACTAGATTTTGGATTCTGTGCTGGAAAGCTGCATTCTGAATTCACCATAAATTTATGCCAGTGCAGACTTCGAAACCAATATATCTGCAGTCACATTGATTTCTACCACCTACATGCTTGGGATTGGACTGAGCCTGGAGAGTCTAAAAGTATGGTACAGTAAGCAACAAATAGAGTGTATCTGTTGTGAATGTTTTCTGTCAGGGTGCAGTCAGTCCATCAGATACCATCTTTTTGAAAATTATTTTTGAAAGCTGCTTTTCCAAATTTCCAGCTTCACCTAAGTATGTAGGTATTCCTCTCATTCTGAGGAGTCTGCTTGGCTTCCTGTGACCTAGATGCCATTGTGCTAATAACGCAAATCTGTCATCCTGCTCTTTACCTCCTCTGCTGTTTACTGCAATATGCAAATATTGATAAAGTGAATAGAAGATTTACTCCCTCATAACACTAGGACATGGGGACATCCAAGTTAGTTACCTGAACAGGGGTGAGGGAACCTGATCTTCCTTCTGTTGGTTCCTTCTTTCGTAACTATTTGCTGGCATGTAGATCACTTCCTTTTAGGCTTTACTACTTTCCTCCTCCTTCAGTCAGGCTTTCTTTCTTTTTTAAAAATATTAATCAGTACAAACACCAAGCTAGAAAGACACGTACAACAAAAACCATAATAACAATAACAACACAAATTTAGATACAGTAATATCCCTATGCCTACTCCTTGTTTATCACCACTCTCTCCCCCCTCTATTTCCCATTGTTATCCGCCTTGTCACTTAGATATTCGTTCCAAATTTCTTCGTATTTATCCATTCTTATTTTGTGTCGACAAGCAGTTCTTTCGTATGTAGCTAATTTGTCCATATTATCCATCCATATGCTCAGTGGAATCTTTTTGTGACTCTTCCAGTTCATCAAAACCTTCTAATATAGCGCGCGATGTAACCACTTTTTTTGGCCCCTTGAGATCTTCCAAATTTCCATAATATAATTTAGAATTAAATTCAGTTCCCCTAAATAACAATTTCAGGCTTTCTTTCTATTTTGACACAGTGTTGGGGCCTGTTTTGTTTAACATCGTGTCTCCATAGTGGGCATATGTGAGCTTGTGCTTAGGATGGATTTGTTTTCCAAGAGTTAATAATAAAACTTAATTTTTTTTTTTATTCTTTAAACTAGCAGTCTTACCAGATTATTTCTGTACACCACTGCAATATATACCAAACCCTGACTTCTTTTCTTCCCCCATTATTGTAGATCTGAATTCTCCCCACATTTCTTCCTTCACGTGTGACATAAATATCCAACATGCCTCATCGGACTATTCATCTTTTTCGGAAGGGTCTCCGGCTACATGACAACCCCACTTTGCTAGCTGCACTGAAGTCTTCCGAAATCGTATATCCAGTTTACCTATTGGATAGAAATTTTTTGACATCTGCAACTAGGATGGGAACTAAACGTTGGCATTTTCTCCTGCAGACTCTGGAAGATCTCCAGACAAACTTAAAGAAATTGAATTCTTGCTTATGGATTATTCAAGGGGAGTATGAGGCTGTATTGCGGGAACATGTTCAAAAGTGGAATATTACCCAAGTGACCTTCGATGACGAGATTGAACCATATTACAAGGAAATGGAGAAGACTATCCAAGTTATGGGGAAAGAAATGGGATTTGAAGTATTTTCTTTGGTGGGGCACACTTTGTATGACGTCAGACGGTACGGAGCTGACCAAGGGGAAGAAAGCTTATCTCCTGGGGGGCCATTAGTGGTTTTAGGTAAGGTAAAGGGACCCCTGACCATTAGGTGCAGTCGTGACCGACTTTGGGGTTGCGGCGCTCATCTCGCTTTATTGGCCGAGGAAGCCGGCGTACAGCTTCCGGGTCATGTGGCCAGCATGACTAAGCCGCTTCTGGCAAACCAGAGCAGCGCACGGAAACGCCGTTTACCTTCCTGCTGGAGCGGTACCTATTTATCTACTTGCACTTTGACATGCTTTCGAACTGCTAGGTTGGCAGGAGCAGGGACCGAGCAACAGGAGCTAACCCCATTGCGGGGATTCGAACCACCAACCTTCTGATCGGCAAGTCCTAGGCTCTGTGGTTTAACCCACAGCGCCACCTGCGTCCCAATTAGTGGTTTTACAGTATAACAAATGTGTAAACCTAACTTGCATTCTGCAAGCATAGATATCTTCCTGTTGCTGATGCAGATCTTCACTCCTTTCTGCTGCAAAACTGGCTACTATTATGAGCGCAGACATTAAAATGAAGAGTTTAGGCTGCAGCGCTAAACACATTAGGGAATAAACATCACTGAACAAAGTTTTACAGAAAATTTAGTTCCTCTACTGTGACCCAAGTTCCACTCTTTTGCAGGCAGTTTCTGTTTATAGTGTAATCATCTTGTGTTATACAGGATTGTGGAACTAAACGGAGGAACACCACCATTGACGTACAAAAGGTTTCTTCAAATACTAACAGTGCTTGGAGATCCCGAGATGCCTGTGCAAGACATTACGGCTGAGAATTCACAGTAAGGAATAATTGTACCACTAGAACATAATTTTTTTCCTCTACCAATAGCTGGCTCACTGTAAAATGATTTTATTTATTTAAGAACATTTATATACCACCTATTCAAGCTAAAGTGGTTTACAAAAGACAATCTAAAATAATTTTGCAATAAGTATTTTTTGCAAAGCAAATAAAGTTTGATCCATGTGACTTATCAAGAGATTAATGTGATCCTTGTTTTCATAATGTCCAAACTGAGAGTCGAATTACTTTTGGTTTTGTTACATAAATATCTTCTGGGATATTGTGGTAGTGCTTTAGTAAACTGCCTACTTGTTATGATCACATTTGAAAACCAGTGTTGGGACTCCCAACAGGGTTTATGAATGTATCAGAATTTGAAAAATCTGCCTTGCGATGAAATACCGGTACTTGAATTTGAAATCTATCCATACAATGGATTTGATTATGACTGATATGTTGAGATCTCAAACGGCCAGACAGTCTCAGTATACTGGCATGTTTTGAAATATATATTTTTTGTAAGCGTTACTTAGCACAATACCAGCTATCGATCTCATGAATACAGAGATGTACAAAAAGTATGAACTGAGGCTATGAATTGATGGTCATCTTACAACTTATTTTAATTACCAAGGCTTTCCAATTGATCCATGGGAACTGTACTTTAATTATTTACAGCACAATAATAATTTTTAAAAATCCTTCTCCCCTCCCCACTAGGGTTGTGGGTGTGGAAATCCTGTTAGCCCATCTCAAGACACTAATTTGCATGACCACTGCAATGTTTCCTAGAAACATAGCATGATATGTTGGGTCTGATTGTGCAAATATAGGAAGGCAAGGGAGGCAGCTATTCCAGTCTATCATGTTTTTTTCCTTTTCTGTTGGCTTTAGGACATGGGTGGTTTCCAGTGGTGATAACAAGCAACACTTTCGGCTGCATTCACCTGTTCTGTGATAAAAGAAGCTGATTGTGTTTGTTTGCCTCATTATGGTATAACATTTGGTTTTCAAAATAAGTCTCTTTATTTCCTTCTTAGAAAACTCAGTCCTCTCCCTGAAGTGGGTCTGGCTGAGTGTTACAGGGTGCCTCTCCCTGAGGACCTTGGTTTTTCCAAAGAGTACAAGTCATCTTGGAGAGGAGGGGAAACTAATGGGCTCCAACGACTTGAAGAGCACCTGAAAAACCAGGTCAGTCTTAATTCAAAGTGTATCTCATGTTGTTTGTGAGAAGATTATCAGCAGTCTTTCTGATCACCTTTGCAAGAACAATCTAAATGCAAGCCACTTACCATCTCCTAAAGAATTCATATCTGAAGTCATCTAGAAAGTCCCACAGGTTTTTGTTTCCTTTTTAAAAATTGCCTTCCAATATTTATCTTTATTCTGCATATCATGGGTCACCAGTGCGGCACCCATGGGTGCAACAGTGCTCTTGAGGTCTCTAACGACTACCACTCTGACCACTATATTATGCTGGCTCAGGTTTGTCACAGTACACAAAGCGCAACAGATTGAATGATAATAACTCTGAAAATTTTACTGGTTATTTCCTATCATAAATAGGAATGTGCAACATATTTGGTTCGTATGTATGGTGTATAACCTATGAGGCTAATTCCAATATTAATACATTTCTTCTTTTCTAGTATATGTGCTGCCGAAGCGAGCACGACACTTCTTCTTTTCTTATCTTTTCTTGCTTCTGCTTCTTGTAAGTTCCTGTATAACACAATCCTTAGGTGAAAATAGAAAGGTCCCTAAGGTATCGAGAACAACACAGCTGATGTAGACTGCTGGCACAAGTACCGAGAATCATTTATGTACAATTACTTATGTACCTGTTATACACATTGACAATCTAATATCAGCTGAGGAAGCCCTTTGTGGTGAAACAGGGAAGATATCCAGAAACCTTGTTTTGCCCGAGTTAGCAGTTTGTACCAGCTTGCCAGTCTCTGCCCAGCTTAGCAGCCTACAGCAGCCAACTTGTGCCAGCAGTCTACATCAGCTTTGTTGTTCTCAATACCTTGGGGACTTTTCTATTCTCACCTAAGAATTATGTTATACAGGAACTTAAAAGAAGAAGCAGAAAGAAAAGAAGAAATGTATTAATATTGGAATTAGCCTCATAGGTTATACACCATACATATGAACTGCATATGTTGCACATACTGGGCTAGACCTTTACAATAGGAAATAACCAGTAAAATTTTCAGTTATTATCATTCAGCCTGTTGCGCTTTGTGCTTTGTAACAACTGTATTTGTGTAGCAAGGTATTGAACTTGTTTTGGCTCAGGTTTGTCAGCACATAACTATAGTGTGGAGCAAGGATAGCCAACTAAGTGCTTTCCAGGTGTTGAGGACAACAAATCCCATCAGCTCCACCTAGTGTGATCATTGGTCAAGGATGATGGGAGTTGTAGTCCACAGCATGTGGATGGCACCACTTTCACTACTACTAGTGTGGAGGCTGTGTTCTTAGCTTGGAGCATAGGCATGCTATAGATTTACTTGTTTTTAAAGTATTTCTAGCCCTTTCCATTGAATTTTATCAAAGGTGGCTTACATAAAGGGTTTCATACAAAGGTAAAATAAAGAGGAATAAGGTTTGCTTATGGAACCTACTGCCTCATTGTAGCACAGCTGTCATTCCATAGCAGCTGTGCTTCTTCTGCTTTGTGTTTCTCTTTTTAGGGTTGGGTAGCAAAGTTTGCTAAGCCAAGAACAATCCCAAATTCTCTGCTTCCAAGTACTACAGGCTTGAGTCCCTATTTCAGCTTGGGCTGTTTATCAGTTCGAATGTTTTTTCACAGGCTGTCAAAAATTTATGCTCAGGTAAGTTTGCAGTATGCAGCTTAGCTACATGTTAAGCAAGGAAATGTGACAAATTTCCATTCCCAGAAAAAACATGTTATTTTTCCTACAGCAGCTAGGCATGATTTATTTCTTTAACATATTGGATGGATTTTCCCCTAAATTGATTTTTGAATTTTGAGTTTATTGTTATTCACGCTTTTATACTGTATTTTATGCTGTTTTTTGTTGTATCACAATTAAGTGTTTTAAATTTGTTGTTAGCCGTCCTGAGCCCGGTTTTCTGAACAGGGAAGGGCAAGGTATAAATAAAAAAATATTTTTATTTCTACCCCATCTTTTAGTGCAGGCCCACATATGAAATATTAAAACCAAAACATTTGCACAAACACGATAAAATCACCAGCAAAGTTTTTTTTAAAAAAGGGTATATAGGGGCCAGGCCATCAATAATATCAAGAAAAGTCTTTAAGGATTGCTTAATGACTGTCTACAAGAGACTGGGCCAAGTGGAATTTTCAGGGGAGGGAATTCCACAGATGTGGGGCCACCACTGAAAAGGTCCATGACCCTAGTACCTGGCAACCCATTCAACTTTAGTGACAGGTCTGAGAGGAGGCCAATCTTAGGACCTGAGCAGTTTCATATAGGCATAGTAGGAGTTCTTCAGATAACCTGGTTGCAAACTGTTCAGAGCTTTAATGGTCAGTCCTAGCACTTCAAATTAAACTGAGAAACAAATGGTTCACCAGTGCAACTGATGCAAAACTGTTGTGTGACATGCTCAAACTGCACATAAGCATGCTGGAGGCTGAATTTTGCATCTGCTGAAATTTCCAGATTGTCTTTACATGCAGCCCTACATAGAGAGCATCACAGTACTCTAGGCTGGATGTAACCACTGGTCCAGTCCACATATAACACTAATTAAAACCATGGGTTAGCACAAATGATGAAATGTAAGAGTTCCTGGAGTGAATATCATGGCAACTGCATCGTTCCTCCAGTCCAGCTGTGCTAACCAGGGCTAGGTCATGGTTTGGTTTGGTGCGATTTCCAAACCCAAGCTCATGGTTTCTTTTCCCAAGACAAACCATGAGGAGTAAATCAAGAACAAACCTTGGTTACAGCTTGTGATTTGACTGAGCAAGAGTAACCATGTTTTCAGATGTAAAACTAAGTCAAACCAAGGCTTAGCCATGGGCAGCCCAGCAGTAGGAGAATTGGGAGAGGAGCACAGCTGCTGCAATCTTTGGTCCAGGAAGTTGCATCCATGGTGAAGCTTGAGTCATGTATATGTAATTGAGGCTAGGTCTGCTTTCTGCAGCTAGGGTTGCAGATGGTGAACCAGTCTTTACTGGTAAAAGGCACTCCTAGGAACTGATGTCACCTGCACCTCCCTAGTTAACAGAGTCCAAGAGTATCTCCCAGTTCCATGCCTGAATTTGTAAGTGAGTGCAGTGAAATCCATCTGAAACCTTTTGTAAATCTCCATCTAGATCAGTGGTCTTACCAAGAAATGCCTTGATTGGATTATCTGGATTAAGATGACGTAATATACTGCATGTACAATTGTGTATACTGATTTTTTTTTTAAGCACAATGTGTCATTTGTCATATTTGCCCAATTGATAAGGTTTTAAAATACTTACAGTTTGCTTTGTAAAGTATTAGGATTCCATTTTAAGCACAGCAAGGTATTAGGATCCCCTAATAGGCTTGGAAATACTATTATTTAATTTCATCTCCGAGTCTCTTCCATGAGGCATCTCAGTGTGATTTACAATACAATAAAAACATAAAACAATTGCATATATAAAACATTGGAAAAACAAAATAGCTTGTGAAAGGTTCTGGCTTGCTGCTTTCAGTGCTGAAACCACATTAAATGGTACAAATTGTTGAGCTAAATCATGCTTCCCATCTGGGATTTTTTTTTCATGTTCCATTATCAATATTACAGTCAAAGAACCATTCCCTGCCACCAGTATCTCTTCAAGGACAGCTACTGTGGAGGGAATTCTTTTATACGGTAGCATCAGCAACACCCAACTTTACAAAAATGGTTGGGAATCCCATCTGTCTTCAGATAGATTGGTACCAAGATGCAGAGAAACTCCACAAATGGAAAACGGTATGTTGATTCCTTTGACTGCTTTAGTACTCTGAGGCCATTGTCTACAGTATTTTGCTGATGCTGGAATTATATAAATGTTATAGTTTAAGATGTTTTACCTCTGCTATGTTTTTCCGCCCTGGGACTTTTGGGGGAAGGGCAGACTACAAATACGGGAAATAAATCAATAATGGGGCATTTGTCATCACATCCATTCAGTCCTTAGTCTCTGTAAGAAGAGAGAATGTCAACTATTGTGAGAGTTACAAGGTGGGAGTGCAGCACATCTGAGCAGATCAAGAAAATGGAAATTGTTCTATTTCTTAGGCACAGACAGGATTTCCCTGGATTGATGCCATTATGACTCAGCTCCATCAGGAAGGCTGGATCCACCATCTTGCTCGCCATGCAGTCGCCTGTTTCCTGACACGTGGAGACCTCTGGATCAGTTGGGAAGAAGGAATGCAGGTTTGCAGTACTTATTTTGTCTTCTGCCCTGATTGGCAGAGTCCTGTAAAATGCAGACTTTCTAGGGAATCTGAAAGCAACCTCAGTGTTTAATGTTAGCATTCCCCTTAGCAAACTGGGAGGTGGAGTTTATTGCAAACGTAATTTTGATCGGAGTGAACAGCAAGTATCCTTTGGAATGAAAAAGGGTTAAGGCTGTAATCCTATGCTCACTCTCTTGTGAGTAACTCAGCAGAATATACTTCTGAGTAGACACATATAGGATTGCACTGTTAAGTAAATCAATGTAAAAATTACATATAGTTCTAAGGTGGTAAATCTATACCACTTCAGAATATGAGTGATGGCTTACATTATTGAATGGTTAATAATAATTCCTCACATTGATGTCACAGGGAAAGGTTCTAACTTAAACTTGTCCCTTATATCTAGTCTTCTATGTCCATGGTTGTTGTGTGTTTTGGGGGGGGGGCGGGGGGGTTCACAGGGACGTTAGATCCCATGATTCCACTGCCAGCATAGACATAATTCCTGAGGCATGCTGGGAAGCCGTAGCTCTTGCTGCTGGCAGCTTTGAAACAAATCAAAAAGACAATGGGGGAGGGGATGGAAAGGAAATCCACTCAGTAACTCCTCACTTCCTAGGATTCCCCTGAAACATCTTGCCCAGTCACACTACCACCCAGGTTTGCAAAATCCGCCCCCCCCCCCTGCAATTTGAGGAGAGCCAGCAATTTCATGTGGGTTCAGTTCAGCCCAACTTTGCACTGTCTTATTTTAATGGTATAACTCTCCTCAACGACAGGTGTTTGAAGAATTGCTTCTGGATGCAGATTATAGCGTGAATGCAGGAAACTGGATGTGGCTGTCAGCCAGCGCTTTCTTCCACCAGTACTCGCGCATTTTCTGTCCTGCTCGCTTTGGCAAGCGCACAGATCCCGAAGGGCAATACATCCGGTGAGTACGCATGGTTGATACGTAAGGGTCTATCATGCTATAAAACGTAAGAGCAGTGCTGTTGGATAAGAACAGTGGTTCATCTTGTCCACATCCCACAGTAGCCAATCGGATGCCTTTCAAGATGTCCACAAGAAGGCAAGCAGGAATAGTGGAAGAATTTGGAGAGTACGTATTAAGAGGCCAAACTCACCTGATCTGCACCTCATAAATGAAGGGTTGGACTGAGCAAGTTCTCTCTGTGAATCTGCATTCTCCCAATGGTATTTTACAAGGTGGCCCAAGCAGGCAACTTGCAGATTCTGTAAATTAAATAGGCATTGTGTTAAATTTGCATTACTTCCATTTGTCTGTCCTGAATCTGAAAAGTTCCTCTTCTCCTGGGCCTTTGGCTAATTAAACAATCTATAATCTTTTAAATTGAGGGAATAGTGTTATATTTGTTATGTTGTTATGTATTTTTGTGTTTTTTACTGTAAACTAACCTGTGATCTTCAGATGGAGGGCAGCATAAATAATAATAATAATAATAATAATAATTAATAATAATGTGGTTCTGCTCATTTCTCCTGGGCCGTGTCCAGAAAGTGGTGTTGGGGGATGAGTGTTCAGACCCCTGGGCCCTCACTTGTGGGGTGCCTCAGGGTTCCGTCCTCTCCCCCATGCTTTTTAATATCTATATGAAGCCGCTGGGAGAGATCATCAGGGGGTTTGGGCTGGATGTTCATCAGTATGCAGATGACACCCAGCTCTACCTCTCTTTTAAATCAGAAGCAGTGAAGGCGGTGAGTATCCTGTGTGAGTGCCTGGAGGCGGTTGGAGGATGGATGGCGGCTAACAGATTGAGGTTGAATCCTGACAAGACAGAAGTACGGTTTTGGGGGGACGGGGCGGGTGGGTGTGGGGGAATCCCTGGTCCTGAATGGGGTAACTGTACCCCTGAAGGACCAGGTGCGCAGCCTGGGAGTCATTTTGGACTCTCAGCTGTCCATGGAGGCGCAGGTTAATTCTGTGTCCAGGGCAGCTGTCTGCCAGCTCCATCTAGTACGCAGGCTGCGACCCTATCTGCTTGCGGACTGTATCACCAGAGTGGTGCATGCTCTAGTTATCTCCCGCTTGAACTACTGCAATGCGCTCTATATGGGGCTACCTTTGAAGGTGTCCCGGAAACTACAACTAATCCAGAATGCGGCAGCTAGACTGGTGATTGGGTGTGGCTGCTGGGACCACATAACAGCAGTCCTGAGAGATCTGCATTTGCTCCCAGCACGTTTCCAAGCACAATTCAAAGTGTTGGTGCTGACCTTTAAAACCCTAAATGGCCTCAGTCCTGTATACCTGAAGGAGCGTTTCCACCCCCATCGTTCAGCCCAGACACTGAGATCAAGCGCCGAGGGCCTTCTGGTGGTTCCCTCATTGCAAGAAATGAGGTTACAGGGAACCAGACAGAGGGCCTTCTCGGTAGTGTCACCCGCCCTGTGGAACGCCCTCCCATCAGATGTCAAGGAAATTAGCAGCTATCCTATTTTTAAAAGACATCTGAAGGCAGCCATGTTTAGGGAAGTTTTTAATATTTAATGCTGTATTGTTTTTAACACTCGATTGGGAGCTGCCCAGAGTTAAATTATTATAATAATTTATAATATAATTATAATATAATTATAATAATAGAAACAGTTAACAACACAAGGTGTGTGCTAATTATATTTTTCAGAAAATACCTCCCAGTGCTGAAGAATTTCCCCTCCCAGTACATTTATGAACCTTGGGTAGCACCGGAAGAGACACAGATAGAGGCAGGCTGCATTATAGGTAATACTCAAAACAAAATAAATTTTCACTATGTACCCAGCAGAGTAGGGCCCTGCTTTCCCTGATTTTACCATATTTCCCCCTCCCTCTCACTACCTAAGCTTCCTATCCTCCTTTCTGTCTGCCCCCTCCAGTCAGGGCAGGCTCCCAGAAGATATCCCCATCACCATACTGTGTTGCACTGCCTCACTTCCAATGACCCCATTGCTGGGGCAGATGATCAGATTCCCAGCTTTGGAATTGACATGTTCCTCTATTCCCTGGGCTGCAATGAGAGTGCAGCTTTCTGTTTCCCAAGTACCATTACCACTGCACCCAGCTCACCTTAGCTGCTCTGAAGTTTCTGCTTCCCTGGTGTCAAATCCTGTCCTTTCTCCTCATTCAGGGACTTAGCAAGGAAGGGCCCTTCTTCCCTCCCTCCCATGACTGCCTTTATCTGCCCATTATGTTTATTTGGTCTAACTATTAAGCCAGTGTGTTTGCCTGTAGCTGGAGATGGAATCCCATTTTTGTATTCAGTCAGGAATTTGAAAAGGTTCTACCAAGATCTGATACAATTAATTCGAAGAGTTACTGTTAGTAATTCTGTTTCCTTTCTGTCATTGTTTCCTATGTTTTCCATTAGGTAAAGATTATCCCTTTCCTATTGTAAACCACAAAGAAGTCAGTGATCACAATCTACAGCTGATGAAACAGGTTAGAGAAGAACAGTATAAAACGGCTCAGCTCACAAGAGGTGCGTCCGCAGGCTGTTACTGAGCTTTTCCAACTTGACAGGGATTGTGGGTTTCTCTTGATTCTGATATCTAACCATAGTACAGTGGTACCTCGGGTTACAGACGCTTCAGGTTATAGACTTTGCTAACCCAGAAATAGTACCTCGGGTTAAGAACTTTGCTTCAGGATGAGAACAGAAATTGTGCGGTGGTGGCAGCGGGAGGCCCCATTAGCTAAAGTGGTACCTCAGATTAAGAACAGTTTCAGGTTAAGAACGGACCTCCAGAATGAATCAAGTTCTTAACCCAAGGTACCACTATAAAAGCCTGGTATCGTCTCTACAATTAAAAGTAACAATGTTGTAGATCTCTCTTTATAATCTGCATCTAGGTAATTCAGATTCTTTATTAAGAAAGGTTCCATTCTGCCTTTAAAACATATGTGAAAATGGTGCATGGTTTTGCTGCTCTTCGTGGGAAGTGAACTTCTGCAGGATATTAAAGGCCTGCTACTCAGTCCCTTCAGAGATTTCTCCAGGCATTGTTTATGCACTTTCAAGACTATTTTCTGAGCCTCAGAAAAAATTAAGACTATTCCAATTATGCCTCTCCCCTAGTAGAACAGGCACCTTTGGTGGAATGTGCTGTCTCCCCAAAAATCTGCTCCAGAGGGCTGGGGGGCAGCAGGGGCAAGGAAAATCCTATTGTGTGAGCAGAAATCCATTTGCTCAGTGTTAGATGTCACCCTTAGCCTTTTGTTTTTATAACAGTTTATAGTTTATAATCCGCATTATATACGGATATTGATAATGAGGAGTGGTGCTAAGGAAAGGAATGCCAAATGGCAGAGGCTGTAAGGAGATTCAGGAAAGGCTTTGCTAAAAAAATATGAAAATGTATAATGGATTTCTTTTCACAAGATTCTAAGGGGAAAAAACCATTCTTAGGAAATTTTCTTGGGAAAAATAAGTCATTACATGTCTTTTACTTCCTAAACTTGTCATCGTTTAGTATTTTGGTGTGTGCTTTTAAAAATATATATAACATGTTTTGGAAAGTACAAAGAACTAATTCCTCCAGGAGGCATAGTTAATATTGTTTATATATCTTTAAAGATATTAAAGCCAGGATTCTAAAATTTTCACAGCTGGTTCTACGTGCCCAGTGAGACTTTCTCACAATATGTTAAACCACTTTTGAAATGGAGGGAACTTTCAAAACTAGATGCTACTGGTGGTGGAGAGGGGAGAGAGAAGAAGAAGTGGGGGGGACAGTGAGGGAGAAATAAAATATCCCTCCTGGCAAACTCAAGTCCTTGAGTGTGCCTGAAGTAGCTTTTGGAACCCAGCCTAAGTATTTTATTTGCAATTACATTTCAAGTGCTCCCTTAATTTAGTCAGGCGCTATTGGATTTGACCAAGGGGACATTTCCGTTGAGACATAAAAAGAGTATTCCATCTCTTCACCAGTGAAACTCAGCCTTCGAGTTTTCGTTAGTGTACATATTCTGAGCAGTTTTGCAGTAATATGGTATTCACCTCCTTTCTAGATGATGTGGATGATCCAATGGAAATGCAGCTAAAGCGTGAACGTTCTGAAGAGACCACACAAAAGAAAAAACTTGCCAGAAGCAATGAACAAGGACAAACTGATTGACTGACAGCCCAATACTATTTAGGCTTACTCAGAAGTAAGTCCCACTTTATTCATTGGGACACACTTCCAAGCACTTATTAAGCAGGCAACAGAAACTCCTAGAGACTTCTCAAAATAAAAAAGAAGTGATGAGGTGGTTAATTTGTGCTATTTATATTATGCAAATAATTTGGTCCTTTGTCTGTTCCTGAATTTTCTCCTTCAGAACCCCCCCCCCCAAACAGCTAATTTTGAAATAATTCATAGAATAACTTGCTATGCAGATGGCTAATAAATCATTTCTTGGAAAAAGGTTCAGTGTTTGAGTTCTGATTAGTTTACATAGATATACTCCTTTGACAGGATTCCATTCTGATCAGTGGTCAGTCAAATGTTTGCTTTGAGAAAAGATGTAGGCTGTGTTAACAGCTGAAGACGAAAGCTGGCCACAAAATATGAAACCAATGGAATCATTTTCCAGTGGATTTACAATTTGGACAACAATATATTTATTTTACAAAAGTGTTTCTATAACCACCATATCAGTAGTTATAGAAATGCTTTTGTACAACACTAAAACATAGATCACCTTTTAAAAACTACAAGTAATCATTAAAGTGACTGGCTAATCAAGAAACAGTTGCTAATTAATTGCGGCAAGAAGGAAGGAAACCTAAAAAAAACACAAGCAACAGCAATTCATCTGTGGTGCTTGGGAGAAAGATTCTGCATATTAAGGAGATGTTTAAAAACAAAGAAGCAGAAAACTAGATCATGAGGGATGAATTATGCACAGCTTGAAGAAGCTGAAAAGCAACACTACGAAGCAGACCTCAGCTGATATTCATCCGTACCCTTTCTGATCTACCATAAGCCTCTTGCACTCAATCACCAGTCTGTTCACCACTGCACACATTTGGGCCTAGTGTTCTTGGACCTCCAAGTTAGTGCCCCCCAATCTTGCCACTGTTCCCTTTTGTGTTCCACCCACTATTTTATAGCAAAGAGAGGGGTCAGCCCTTCAAGCATAAGGGGAGATGCGGGGTTCTCTAGAGTTGTCTGTGACAATAACCTCCCTTTAATAGGTGACCAGTTGTCGACTGAATTGGGAGAGGGAAGGATGTGTTGGTTCTACATCCACCAAATACTTCATTTCATCACCAATCCATCTGGAAAACTTGCAACTACCCATGTAGAGACAAAAAGTATGGACAATGGCATTAATGGAAAAACTCACCAAGAATTAAAGTCATGTACGGCAAACAGGAGGGACGCGGGTGGCGCCTCCAGGCAATGGCGGAGTTCCTCCGATCGGGAGGAATTTGCTCCGCGGAAATTAGGGTCTGACCGCCACGGCGAAGGCGGAGACCCATTGAAATCACAGGCGGGAGAAGCCTGTGAACTTGGGATTCGGCTGGCACCCTTTGTGCCTCCCCTACTCGCGGGGAAACCCTGATTTGGGGATCCGGAGCGAAGTGGGGTGAGCGGCGCGGTGCTTCGAATTGACTGCTTCTTTCACGGAGTGAAGCCGCATCGCTGTTGCCGGAGAGCGCTGACTTTTTCCTGTGGACAATTGGATTTTAAACAACTACCCGTGAGTAGAACGGAAAATTAGATCCTTAAATTCATTAATTTGGCATCGAAACGGGAAGGTTCTAAACAGGAAGTCCGCCTTCCTTTTTTGTAAACAGATTGAAGCAAAGAAGTTGCAAGTTAAAGCCTTGGAAAGTTTATTTTTGTAAAGGATTAAATCTCCATCGGTTAAAACTATTAAACCCCCCTTGGAAGCAGGAGAAGAGGGGGGAAATTTTGGACCTAGTGAGCCTGCAGGAGAGAGTGAAAAACCAAATTACCACTGCTCCGAACCTGGAAACGGGCTGCCAGAAAGAGTGACGTTTTTTGACAGCTAGCTAAATAAGAGAAATATATTGTTTCCATTGTCCTCATCTGTGTTTAAAAAGTAGGAAAAGTAACTGAAAACTGAAACTAACTTTATAGTTTAAATTGTGTTTGAAAGGATTGATACAAGTGGAGACTGTTTCCCTCTAGAGGGAGCTTTTGAAACTGTTACAAGAGTGGAGCTGGGGTTTTTCCAGTTGCAAGATAAGAACTGTGTGAAATAGAGATTGACCTTGGACTTTAAGAATGTTGACAGAAGGAGCCTTAGTGACTGTATTATGTAAGATAAGCTATTCGTTGGAACAGCTCCACAAGAAGACGGACGCTATGAATACCAAACTTGAGAACTTGGGACAAAAAGTGATTAATTTGGAACAAAAAGTGACCATTAATACAGAAATTGTTCAGGATTTGACACAGGAACCTACCTTGACAGGACAAACTGGGGAGAAGACGAAGGAGAATGTTGGTGTTGTTGAACCTAAAATAATACAAGTGGAAGCCCCAGTCTTACAGAGGCAAACTGAGGACTATAAGTGGAGGCCTTTTATGAATGAATATAGAAAAAGTCAGAATTTGAAGATTGGAGTCCTGCTTGGATTGAAGAAGGAAGGTTGGATAGACTCTTTCATGCAGAGATTTACTGACCTTTGGGTCCTGAATCTGGGTCAGGAGGTGATTGGAGTTGTGGGGGCCTTTGGATCTGGAGGAGCCTTGAAACAATATTTGAGATATTGTATGGACACTGGTTTTAGCTGTGGAGAGTTGGTTGGTCTGTCAAGAGGGAATGGGGGCATGGTTGGGTCGGGGCCCCCCCAAGACCTGCGCTTCAGCATCAAAGAATATGAAGAAAAACTGCAGAAGGGACTTGGAAAAGATTTAAGAGCCTCGGACAGAAGATCTCCAGGTTGATGAACTATATGGAATGGACGGAAATGACTGGCAGAATCCGAGACCAGGGAGAAGAGGTGGTGGTAGAAGATTGGGAAAGTTTAAAGTTTATATATAGAAATATTGTAAATTTAATGAGTGTTAGAAAATTGTTGGAATGAAACTTTATGGCTTTAGCAGAAATGTTATAAGGAGTTAGGTATAAATAAGTATTTCAGTATTAATGGAAAATAAGGTACAAAATATGTTAAGATATTCATAATGATAAAAATAGAGAAAGATGGAAAGGAATTGCTGAAACAAGTAATAGAAGTGGAATACAAAAAGGGAGGTGAGAGGAGGTCGATGAAATAAGGGAATGAAAGATAGAGTAATGAAATGGTATGGTATATGTTTTTAAATTGTTGTTGTTTTGCTTTGTTTAGTTTAGTGTGTTAAGGTTGTGTTTTGTATTGTTTATTGTATTGTTTTTTCTTTTCTCTCTCTTTTTTCTTCTCTGCTCTATTTTGTCTTTCTCTCTCGCCTATTTTCTTCTTTTTTCTTTTCTTGTAAGTTTTAAAAGCAATAAAGATTTTTTTTTTTTTAAAAAAAGGAGGGACGCGGGTGGCGCTGTGGGTAAAACCTCAGCACCTAGGACTTGCTGATCGCATGGTCGGTGGTTTGAATCCCTGCGGCGGGGTGCGCTCCCGTCGTTCGGTCCTAGTGCCTGCCAGCCTAGCAGTTCAAAAGCACCCCCGGGTGCAAGTAGATAAATAGGGACCGCTTACCAGCGGGAAGGTAAACGGCGTTTTGTGTGCTGCGCTGGCTCCCCAGATGCAGCTTGTCACACTGGCCACGTGACCCGGAAGTGTCTGCAGACAGCGCTGGCTCCCGGCCTCTAGAGTGAGATGAGCGCACAACCCTAGAGTCTGTCAAGACTGGCCCGTACGGGCAGGGGTACCTTTACCTTTACCTTACGGCAAACAGGATTGAGATTATTTTATAGATATATGCTACTGTTTCATAACCTTTTCCACTAACATGGCACCCCCCACATTCACATGAGCATTTTTGTATTTAGCTGAAAATGTGGTTCAGTTCCTACTCTAGAGAGCAGGGGAAGGAGGGAGGGATGTTGGTATTCCACTTACCTATTCATACCATAGCAGTGCCTTTATTCTGATGTCAGTTTGAAAGCCTAATAAAGATATGTTTCAGTGAAAGAACAGAGGATGAAATATAGCCATGCAGTACTTTTAAGAGCTGTTGATTTTAGTCGGAGAGGTGTTCTTAACTTCCTTCATTGCAACACGAAAGCACCTAAAATGGCTGCATTTCCATGTCGCAATAAGCTAAGACACCTAGCTTATCTGGTTTGCTGTGAACAAACCGTGTGCTAGGGCAAAGAGCCTCTTTCCTTCTGCTTTGCTCTGAATGAGAAGCTTTCATTAATTCGGCTTCCCATGACATGTCAATCCAACATCCAGGTTTGTTGCTTCCAAATTAGCCAGGATCATAAACCAAACCCTGGCATGTTTGAGTGCAAAGGTTCTGTGTCAAAAATACTTATATCCTCCCACACCCTCTCAACCAATAATTCTCCTTCAATGAATGACGAAAGTGTATGCATTTTTTTAAAAAACAAAAACAAATTCTCACACGTGAGGAGGAGGACTCTGCTTACTTCACTTTTGAGGCGGACAAAGGGTGTTCATGATTGATTTTCATTCCACAAATCAGTGCCCAGCATTCAACAGCCTTCCTGTGTATCCTCAAAACCCCATAACATCCATTGATGTTTTCTGTTTTTTTACAATCGAGCAGTGTATAAAGTTTATGAAATAATTGTCATGAAATTCCACTTGATACTGATCCAGAGCAGAACTCTGACGTATAGTTAGCAGAGTAAAAACTTAAACATGTTGCAGGATTCCCCCAAAAATAGACCAGAGGCAATTGTATTTCATCCAGCAGAGCTTCACTGCTATTGCAGGCAACATGAGCATAATGGTCACAGATCCAATACATTCAGGATTGGCACTGTCTATAAGAAATCCAGTTGCAGCAGACTTAAACTTACAATAACTTATAATAAGTCTAGACCTTAACACTAAGCATACTATATACAGAACACCACACCAGAGGAAAAGAGAGATAGAAAGAAAAAGTGAAACCCAAGCTCCTTCTGGCCTCAGTATTACAGTCAGCATGACCTTGACAGAAGAGATAACAACCAGTTTAAGGAAGCTTGAAGGAATAACCCAAACATGAACCTTCTGCTTGTTTCTTTCACACAGAGAAGCTTCCAGAGCCCTCTTGAATTAATTAGACTAGGAAAGATCTCTACACATTAGTTCAATACTTTCTGTACTAAGAAATACAAACTGACAATAATAATGTTAGTCTTGTAATATTTTCTTTTGCTGCTAGTTCTGATCATTCATTCATTCATTTTATTTGTATGCTGCTTTTCCACAAAAATCATGCTCAAAACGGCTTAACAAAGAAAAATAGGAATACATTTCAAACACCACAAAATCAATTTGATAAAAACAAAACAACAGTAACCATAATAACAGTAACAATTTCATAATAATATACGGTAGTTAAAGCTTTGGTTTTTCCCAGTAGTGATGTATGGAAGTGAGAGCTGGACCATAAAGAAGGCTGATCACCGAAGAATTGATGCTTTTGAATTATGGTGCTGGAGGAGACTCTTGAGAGTCCCATGGACTGCAAGAAGATCAGACCTCTCCATTCTGAAGGAAATCAGCCCTGAGTGTTCACTGGAAGGACAGATCGTGAAGCTGAGGCTCCAATACTTTGGCCACCTCATGAGAAGAGAAGATGTTGGGAAAGATGGAGGGCACAAGGAGAAGGGGATGACTTGAGTTTGACCAAACTGTGGGAGGCTGTGGAAGACAGGAGTGCCTGGCGTGCTCTGGTCCATGAGGTCATGAAGAGTCGACATGACTAAACAACAACAAATACCCAATAATAATAATAATATAAAAAAGCCACATTTCAAGACTATCAACAGAAGAAGATTAATTTAATTAATCCAAGAATAACACAGAAGCCTTATAAGAAGCTGCTGCAGCAGAAGGTCTGAGCAACGTTGTGGGAGGGGTGTTTCCAGGACTAAGGTGAAACCATGAAGCTCCCTTGTTAATTTTACCATTGGATGCTACATTTGCCGCCCTTTAAACATTTGACCAAAGAACTAGTGGGTATCGGAAAATGTTCTCTTTTAACATATTTATTCAGCTTTTTTAGGACCCAGACACAGCCATAGATGCTTATCTTTTTTCAGGACTATGACTAGAGAATTAACCCATTCTGTGGGTTCTTCAATACAGTATTCTCTATTTTTTATATTTAGATTTTATTGAAACTTTTCAGTAGAGAAAGAGAATTAAAAGGTGAGGAAAAGTGAACACAAAACAAAATTAAACAAACAAAAAGAAAATTACTTGAAACTGGTATAATACAATCTGTAAATATGTGTGTGTGTGTGTGTGTATAGAAGTATTACAATTATTCTAATGAGTATAACATCATTATGCTTTTCTGTAAATGGATTCCAAATATCCTTATATTTATCCATACACAATCTACGTCTACAAGCAATCTGTATGTTGCATCGTTCCAAGGGAGCCATGGTATTATCTTTCTAATGTATCAATATCAGTTTTCTAGCAGAAGCAAGGACGCAAAAAGTCCATTTATGTCAACCCACTGCCAAACCATATATAGTTGGTTTAGAACTTACATCTGACAGTTTTTAATTTACACCCAAAGTAATATTTATCTTAATACATTCCTCCAAAAATTTATAAGCATCAGACATTGCATAAAAGTATTTTTCAAAGCAGCATTTTCCTTATTTCACCTGCAGCAGATTGCTGTTACTGTTTCCAGTAACTAGTATTTGACAATAAGTAAGCTTGGTGATATAATTTCAATTTTGTAATGCCAAATCCTCCTTGTTTAATTTGTACTTGCATTTTTAATAACAATAAACTTGGGAGTTGAAGAAGCCCATAGGCATTTCCTTAATAAGGAGTTTATTTTTTAGAACTATTTTCTCAGAATATGAACTGGAATTCCTTTCAGAATATAGTTTAATCTGGGAATAATATTCATTTTGAGAACATTCACCCTTCCCCAAAGGGTAAGGGTTAGTTCCTCCCATCTATTAATATCTAAATAAAACTTTTTGATTATTTTATTAATATTACATAACTGGGTTATGTCATTTGGTATTAAAATACCTATATATTTAATGGATTTTGAACAAATATGGAATTTTGATTTCTTAAAAGAGTAAGTGAGCACCTTTTCACCTATTGGCATCAATTCTGATTTAAGCCAGTTAATAGAGTAGCCAGTAAATTTGACCAAAAGTATATTGTTTGCCTCAGCCTCAGTGAGATTTTGTAATAAACAAACGTACCTATATCTTCCACAAGTAAAACAAAATTATATTCAACTGAGTTGTGAACTGCTCTGCAAATCTCACTAAATTGTCTAATACCACAGGCCAAATGTTCTAAGCAGATATTAAACAAAAAGGGGGATAGGAAGCATCCTCATATAGTTCCTCTATATAGGGGAAAGGTTTTGGACATAATGCCATTTGCATTAACTTGATGTAGGTATATCATATGGTATCATGATCCAAGGGAAACCTGATTGGTTCAAAATTGGGAAAGGAGTACGACAAGGCTGTATATTGTCTCCCTGCTTATTTAACTTGTATGCAGAATTCATCATGTGAAAGGCTGGGCTGGATGAATCCCTAGCCGGAATTAAGATTGCCGGAAGAAATATCAACAACCTCAGAAATGGAGGCAGTGAGAGATTTTACTTTCTTGGGCTCCACGATCACTGCAGATGGTAACAGCAGCCACGAAATTAAAAGACGCCTGCTTCTTGGGAGAAAAGCAGTGACAAACCTAGACAGCATCTTAAAAAGTAGAGACATCACCTTGCCAACAAAGGTCCGTATAGTAAAAGCTATGGTTTTCCCAGTACAGTGGTGCCTCGCAAGACGAAATTAATCCGTTCCGCAAGAGTCTTCGTCTAGCGGTTTTTTCGTCTTGCGAAGCAAGCCCATTGACGGATTAGCGCTATTAGCGCTATCAGCTGTTTAGCGGCTATTAAAGGCTTAAAGGCTTAGGGATTAGCTGCTAAAAGGCTATTAAAGGCTATTAAAGGCTTAGCAGATTAGATAAAGGGGGAAAAGCGAAAAAAATCTCAAGACTCGCAAGGTATTTTCGTCTTGCGAAGCAGGCCCATAGGGGAATTCGTCCTGCGAAGCAACTTCAAAACGGAAAACCCTTTCGTCTAGCGGTTTTTCCGTCTTGCGAGGCATTCGTCTTGCGGGGCACCACTGTAGTTATGTATGGAAGTGAGAGCTGGACCATAAAGAAGGCTGATCGCCGAAGAATTGATGCTTTTGAATTATGGTGCTGGAGGAGACTTGAGAGTCCCATGGACTGCAAGAAGAACAAACCTCTCCATTCTTAAGGAAATCAGCCCTGAGTGCTCACTGGAAGGACAGATCGCGAAGCTGAGGCTCCAATACTTTGGCCACCTCATGAGAAGAGAAGACTCCCTGGAAAATACCCCGATGTTGGGAAAGATGGAGGGCACAAGGAGAAGGGGACGACAGAGGATGAGATGGTTGGATAGTGTTCTTGAAGCTACCAACATGAGTTTGACCAAACCGCGCGAGGCAGTGGAAGACAGAAGTGCCTGGCATGCTCTGGTCCATGGGGTCATGAAGAGTCGGACACGACTAAACAACAACAACAACACATATAATGTTTATGAATTTTATCAAAAGTTTTTTCAGCATCTAATAATAAGATAACAAATTGGTGTCTATTTTTAATTCTATTAAATCTATTACTGGTCTAATATTGTATGATGTTTGCCTAGTTGTTTTTTTTATAAATCCTGCCTGATCATTTCTTATTATAGACAATATCAACTACATGTACCCTATTTGCCAACATTTTTGTTAAAATCTTTATATCAATGTTGATCATTTACAAAATGAGGAGTTTCTGTTCAAGGAAGCTCTCCCATGAGAGGTGTTTATTGTTCAGTTTGGTAGGCGACAAACCTATGCACACATATTTGGGAATAAATGCCATTTTCTTTCCTCTTGCCGCACTATTCATTTGTTATGGATACAAAAATATACAGCTATGTTTACCACCTGCAGGATCAGGACCAGAGCCAGATCAAGACCATAAGAGGTCCTGAGCACCAAAAAGCTTATGGTGCCTCTCAAATATAATTCAAAATAAAAACAACACTAAACCATAAAATAAGATTTTATTGGTTACATTTCATCCTCTTATTTCAGTTATCTGAAACTAACATGGCAGGCTAAGGCTGTTTAAATCTCACCAGTTGTAATGTGGAGGGCAGTGAGGAATGAATAAATAGAAGTTGATTCATTCAACAGATAATTTTTGGTGTGAACTGGAGTTAATAGTACAATTAAGATGAATTTTGCAATTTTGCAAATCATTGCTCACTGTTCAGAATGAAAAGATGAAGTAATGATTGTGCTATAATCATTTCCCCACTGGTCATGGGCCACTGCTTTGGACTTTATTTATTTTCACCTTTGATGCTTGAAATAAAGACTAGGTAAGTTCAGTGACTACTAAAGCCTCTGAATGATGGGAACTCAAGGCATTGGGTTAAATCTGAACATATTATTTGTTAAAGAACTAATTAGCTGAGTTTAATTGAGTATACTTTATTATGAATCTTTTATACCAGAATGAGACACTTAAAAATTGAAATTTTACTCTTGTCAATTATGTCCATCTTATAGGTTCCTCAGCCTTAGTTAGACTTGAACCTAGAAACAAGGACATAGGAGAAAGTAGCACAACACAGAGCCAACACTTCTAGTTTTAAACTAATATCCCCCCCAACAGGAAGTGCTAGCTGCAACCCGGAAGTCATTCTGGCGACTTCCCGGAAGCTATAAACGGACACGCTCGGGCAAAAAAACTCCTACTTCCGGTGGCGCGTGGAAAGTAAGCAAGAAGGAACGTGGCGGAAGCTGATAGGGAAGAAAGCACCTGCTAGTGGTGCCTAGGAATAAGCGCACCGGAGACGGATCCAGTAGCCTCGACGGAAGCTCCCAGAAGCCGGAAGTACGTCACAAGGTTGGGCTCAGACTAATACACTAGCGGCGGGGGTAGGGGGAAGTTGACAACGGGGAAGCGACTGAGGCACTGGGTTTTCCTCGTCGTTATGTCCCGACTGCCTCAGGGGGCAGCTCAGAGCGAGGACAGGAAGGGCGAGGGGCACGAGGGGTCTGGAGCTTCCGCCGCCTTGCCCTGGTGAGTAGCGGGCTTCGCAGCTCCCTCAGGTCTGCCTTGTTGGGGGGGGGCGGGCGGCGGGTTAGAGCGCTTGGAAGTATCGGGTTCCGGAGCCTTTCGGCGGGGGAGGGGATGCCCGCGGCGGAGACGTGAAACTGAGGAGGGGAAACAAAGCCTTTGTTGCCGCGACGTCGTTGTCTGGCCCTCGCGCTGTAACTACCACAGCGCCGCGTAGCGTTGGGTTCTGGCACTGCGCGCTCTTGGATGCCCCCTGGCGGCTTCTTGCGCTTAAAACAGCTGAAGCAGGAAACCCGCCGCTCTTCCGCTTGCCTCGGTGAAAGCGCGACCAGCCTTTTTGGGTGGTTTCCCCCAGGTAAGAGTTACGGGGAAGATTCTTGTCCTTCGCCACCAGACAGAAAGAGAGAGAGAGAATGAATGAATGAATGCGTGTGAGGCAGTAACAAGGCATCACAGGCTGTCAACCAAAATTGTGCCCTGCCCCAGCTCTGCTGGTAGTGGTTAAGCAAAATAATAGTGGATAAAAATTTTATCTTGACTTCAGTGGTGTCATAAAACAGGAGACTAGCCTCTGAATCTGGTTTCATTACCTTGCTCTGATTTCTTGTTTTGTTACACTGTTTCTATACCGCTTAATAGATAGAACGTATCTCTAAGCAGTATACACAAGAAGACTGAAATAACATTTTTTAAAAAAAACAAACTATACTTAATTACAAAAATACAGTTGCCATATAACTGGTAGCATATCCACTGAGTCCTCTGGTCAGGAGGTGCTGTTGCTGGATGCCAGATCAGTCCATAATAAAACCATAATAAAACAATTTGATTGGGGATGAGCGGGCTCATCTGGCTTGCATTACCAAGACTTGGGTGAGTGAGTTGTGTGGACTGGACCTTACCCAGCTCTGTCCACCTGGATTTTCAGTACTGCTCCAAGCAGACCAAGTAGGGGGTCAAGGTTGGGGGAGTTACCCTTGTCTATAAGGACACCATCTCCTTGACCAGGGATGGCCAAGGAGATGGTTGGTGTTGGGATAGACAGATTGGTGATGCTGTTAGTCTACTGACTGCCCTGTTGCCCAGCAGTATCTCTGATGGGCTGGCTAAGGGTAGTCTCTGGGATGTTGGAAGACCCTAAAATGATAATTCATGGTGACTTCAGTATCCACATGGAGGCTGCTGTCAGGCAAGCTCAAGACTTCATGGCCTCTATTGCAGCCATGAATCTCTCTTAGATGGTTATCGGTCCAACACACCAGGTAGGGCACACCTTTGATGTGATCTTTATCCAAATGATATGAGGGATGGACTGAAGATAGGGTGTGTGCAATACACTCCACTGTCATGGTCATACCATTATATGGTTAAGTTTGGACTGACAATGGCAGTTCCCTGCCCTCCGTAAGGGTGGTGGGCCCATTTGAATACCCCACCCTTGGAGACTGATGGAACGGGATGTGTTCTGGAGTGCTCTGGGAGATTTTCCAGTGGAGAAAGCTGGTGATCCTATTGAAGCCCTGGTTTCGCTATGGAATGGTGAGATGAAATGGTTGACACAGTGGCTCATTTTGCAGCTCGTATCGTGTCCTCTACTAGCTGCCCAGCTCACACAGTCTAGAGGTGACTAACTCCCTGTATGGGGAAGGGACCTCTGGAACCCTTTGAGGCGAAAGTTGGTAAACTTTGGTGTGATATTGACTCTTCACTTGCTGCAGCTCTGGTTGTAGTACCCAGTGTTGCTATTGAGGATGTTTTGTGGGATCAGTGTTACCTTATGCAATCAGTTGATGTGGACAAGGTGCTGGTGGCAGTGCCTCTGACCTTGTGCCACCTCAACTCCTGTCCCTCCTGGTTTATCAAATCTACCAGAGGGGGATGACTAGTTGGGTTCAGAGTGTGGTTAACACTTTGCTATGTGAGGGGGTGGTTTTTTCTGCCTTGAAAGAGGCAGTGGTGCGAGTCACTCATGTGACCACTCCTAACAAAACCAGCTCTGGCCCTTCCTTTCAGTGTTAGAAACTGGGATAGAAAAGCTAGGAGCCAAATGGCTTCTGGGACCTGGGTTATAGGCGCCAAAACAGAATGTCTAGTCATCATGGGGTGGGTGGGTTGGCAACACTTTTTATTTATTACTTTGAGAAGCATGAATTAATACGCAAGTCACATAAGTGACACATTTTTAGCAGAAAATGTGAACACATGTTTAATATAGTGTTTACAATAAAAATATTGGTACCATACTTTTCAAAACACTCTATACTCTTTATTGTTAAACTCCTTAACTTATTATCTATTCTTAACATATACTTTGAGGCTTCAAAGCATAAACATTTCAGTAATCCTTGAGTGTCAGCCAGGTGCAAAAAATGGCACCCAGACTTTTTGAGGTGCTTGCAAATGGAAAACCTTTAGGCGCAAAATGTTCCTGGCGCCCTGCTAATTTCAAACCCTGAACTTCCTTTAGATTGGGACAGCTATCACCCAATTGCCAATTCCTGTTTTGGGGGGAAGGTGCAGATCTGCACTGTTTGCCCATTTGCTACTGGGTAAAGTTCAAGGTGTTACTGTTAGTATATAAAGTTCTTAACAACTTGAGACCAATTTGCCTATGAGATCGCCTTGCTCTACATGTGTTTACTTGACCACTTTGATCCGTGGAATTGGTACTACTACAGGTGACAAATAATACCCGTTTCACATTTGTAAGGACTCTTTGGTGTGGCAGCGCCTACATTTTTTAACTCCCTGCCTATTGAGATCAAGCATGTGCCTTCACTATGCTATTTTCAGTGCCTGCTAAAAACATTCCTGTTTTGACACACTTACTCAGATGCTTAGAAAGCTGAAGTAATTTTAATTTGTTTTAGTATGTTAACTTACATTTTAAAATATCATTGTAATTTGTTCTTGATTTGTGTTATCGTTTGTAATCTGCTTTGAGGTTGTTTTTAATCAAGTGGTGTATAGATTGTATTAAATAAATAAATAAACGTTAGCCACCCCTCTACTCACACTTCTTTCTCCACAGTTCTGCCCCTTTCTCCTTCAGCTGCTTTATTGCACCATAGAGAGGGCTTGCTTTTATGGAGAGGCACCAAGGGAGATGGCATTTCCTCGGCTGCCCACAGTTGTGCCCCATTAAGCAGTCAGCTGCACTCTCCACACACAGCTTCAGGTTCAGAAGGTTTGGTGAGTTTCCCAGAGTCCCAAGGATGGAAAAAGGACACCCCACCACCCCAGTTTTCTCTTCAGCCTCTTCCCCTTCTCCAGCTGCTTTCATTCCATTCTCTTCCTCTAGTAGTGCCTTGAAGATAACAGGGGCTTCTCAAGTGTGCAAGAACATTTTTTAAAATAATGACCTCCCAGTGTGTTTCAAGACAAGTTGTTCCTTAGGAGCACTTTTGAACAACTAGTTTGAACCTGTTATCTACACACTGTTGCAATTGACTGTTCAAGAGTGTCCCTGAGAATATATTGGATCCATAAATAGATCTTGAACACTTGGAGGCGGTCTTCCTTCTTTTTCCTGCAATTGGTACCTTCCTATTTTTCTTTTCTGCCTCAAAAATAAATGGCAAACTGAATGAGGCAGGTGAGCATCTTTCTTTGGAAAGGGGAGCCCTTCCTTTCTGCACCTTTTATTAGAGTGTGAATGAGTGAATCTGTTAGGCTTGGTGTCTTTTTCTCGACAGATATTTATGTGCCTTCAGCAAGGGCACAGAAGGCAGAAATTATCCCATCTCTAGTAAGGAGCACCTTTTAATTTTTTTACCTGGCATGTAGCTGTATAAAGGCTTCCATTGGAAAAAAATCTGATGACCTTCAACAGCTAATTAGAGAGAAAGTGGTTCTCCTAGTGATCAGTGATGAAGCATGCCATGTTGTTATGACTATAAGCTAACAAATAACACAAATTACACTGGTTTTGCCTTCCAAATTAGCCAAGATGCTTTTCAGTTGGCTTTTCAGATAAGCCTCTGATATGTTCAGTGTAGATGTACCATTCACAGTACATAGTTTAATGCGAAATAATAATAGAGTATGAGTGATAGTTATTTACGTGACGTTTTCCCCTTCAAGTGTTGCAGGTCATATATACAAAGTAGTTCACACTACTGGTCTGGATGGAAAAAACCTTCTGGAATTGCTTCCACTTTCTAAACGTATAGGAAACATTGTGTCGTTGGTTCAGTCACCAGTCATATCTGATGCTAAAGGGGAAGACTCCATGTCTGGTCATAGTCATCTTAAGGACCTGTTCACAAATATAACTCCGTCTTCATTTGTTAAAGCTCCTGAACTTAATACAGCTACTCCTGGAAAATTAATTTTACCAAAGCCATTGGAAGAAATGGAAAATATGGAAGTAGCTCCTCTTGCAAAAGAGAACCCAACTACGCCATCAACTTCTACCATTCACAGCAGTTATCATTCAGCTGATAATTCCTGGGAAAAGGATGCACACAAGAGCAGTGCAGAATATGTACCTGTGAATAAAAAACTCCCAGTTACTGTGAAGAGTCCTGTAGTGCCCTCTGGACATCACCTCCAAATACCAGCGCACGCAGAAGTAAAATCTGTCCCTGCTTCTTTTTTGCCTCCAACAATTCAACAGAAGATACTGGCCACAGCAGCCTCAAATGCCTTTAGAACATGTGAAGTTACAAACGCATCAACTGTTATATATGTGTCGCCAGTAAATACAGTGAAAACACATTCAAAACCATTGCCAATTTTATGTCCACAGCCTGTCGGGGAAGTATCAAAATCTTTGGTGCTGACAATGGCACAAACAGCAGCCAGTAGTTCTGCCCTGGCAACGTCTGATAGCCTGGGAAACCAGTCATCTCCTATGAAGTGGGTTGTCGAAGAAAACCCACAATCAGCATCCTGCCTTGTTCCTGTAAAGTCGTCAAACAGCATGGCATCAAATATCTTAAAAACATTGGTTAATCCTGAAGATGGAACAAACAACCCTGCCAGTATTCTGCCTACTTGTTCGAACAACCTGAATGAAAGCCAAGCAAAAATGCCCTCGATTAATGATAATGCTCTGGTGATGTTCAATGGGAAGGTGTATTTACTGACTAAGAAAGAGTCCACTGTGACATCAGCAAGCAAATGTGGCAGCCAAGTATCACTCGGTGCTGAAACACATTTCAGAAAAAATGCATTACCGTTCATTAATTCAGCTGCAGATAGTACAATAACCAACCAAGTTGTCAATTTAGTATTGTCGAAGAACAAAGGAATTGCCCCTTATGCAAAGGATCCAAAATCCAGTGAGAATATGAGACTTTTCCCACAGTCTGAAGTAAAGGATTTTAAAGTTACGTCTCCATCTCTCACACCACCACATGGGAATCTGCAAGTAAGCAGCACGAGCCAACCTGAGGCAGTGTCCACACCGGAAAGCATCCTAGCTGGAGGAAATGTTGCTAAAATATCAGTCACAAAAGAAAGGATAATGCATTGCTTACAGAAAATTATTCCTCCAAAAGTACCTGCTGCTGCTTTAAAGCCACCTACAAGCCATGGTACTTCTGAAGACCAAGATCAAAAGGTAACTTTCTCACTAGAGTAAATTGTACCAATGGTACAATTGTCTTTGATTTGAAGTGTCAGTTGCCTTAAATGAGTACTGTTACATAATTATTTTGATAGGGAGGATTTTAATAGGTTATCTGACAAGTGAGAGTAAAAAAAAAATGAAACTGGTTTTCATTGCCTGCTGCCTCAAGTCTTTCACTGAAAAGAAATAAAATCTGAACCATCAGCTGTTGTAAGGTTCTGTGTTTCTCCAGCAAAAAATACTTTGTTGATGTCTATAGTATTAGGATACAGAAGCACTGAAATAGAGCTACCATGCAAGCTACCAAGCTGTTGGGGCTAGGTCTACTGCTTGCCCTGGACAATTTTGATATTTAATCCAAAGGGGCAATGTTCTGGCAGTTCGGAAGGGGTCCTGTTTGTTTACTTGGGGCAGTATTGAACTAAATAATTGTTCAAACACAAGGATTATGATAGTGTAACAGGACTTCCACCCCTCTCCTCCCAGTACATGTACCCTGCACTGTCCCCAGATCTGTTCTGGAAGGTTGTGGAAACCACTAAAATATATTTAAGAGGGGGAGCGCATTCTGTTACATTCAATACAACCCCATAGCTATTTATTATTTATACATATATATGTGGAAGGCAATTCACAAATACACCCCAAAGCAATTTACAGTCATATCCTTAAAAAGAGCTAACATAATTTTTAAAAGCACACAATAGACCTTTCCATCTAGCTGGAAAACCTTGTCAAAACAAAAATGTCTTCATTTGTTTTCAAAAAGTACAAATAGATGCACTGGAGAAGGAAGTTAAAAAGAAGTTAGTTTTCCTTAAGCTACAAACCAGCATTCACAAATAGCAAGTGTCCAAGGCTATCCAATTCTAGGGCTATCACTTACAGCAGGACTGGGGAACCTGTGGTCCTTCAGATGTTGGACTGCCATCATTCCCTGATGACTTGGCCATGCTGGCTGGGTCTATTATGAGCTGGAGTCCAACACCACCTGGAGTGTCACTGGCAGCTGTTAATGCATTAAGCTTCAGTATATGTTCCTTTGTAAACTTTTTTGGCCACAGACAATCTTCCAGGGGCCATATACCAGTGGCGGGCAGGTTCAGAGGTAAACTGAGTGGAGCCAGAAGCAAAATGGGTTCAGTAACAGTTGTTACAGTAGTTACAGTCTCACCACATAAAAGCCAGAGGTTTCTACATGCAAACATTTCTCCATCCAGGTGAGCAGTAGGCATTATCATTGCTCAATTACATGTTCCTGCCAGACAAAACCACTCATGAAGGCTATGGAACAGGGCTAGTAAGGGGTCTGGCTTGAAGAGGAGCATGACTTGGGAGAGTCCAGAGTGCTGGATTGAGAGTCCTGGAGCCCCCCCAAAATTAAAGCTTTGTGTACAATACCCTTAATCATTGTGATGTTCTGGCAAGCTTATATAATGAACATTTATTATTTCAGATGGAGAGGATACTTGCAGGTGTGGCTGCTCAGATCAAACAAAGGAAACAGAGAAAACTCTGTCTTGAGTTGAGAAAAAAATTTGGCCTGCATAGAGAAGAGAGAGTATATCTGCAGAGAATTCCTTTATCAGTTATTCTCAGAAAATCAGAAGTGACTGTGTGTTCCAGCAATGTACACATGAGTGACTCTTGCAAATTGCCACCGGAAGTACCTATTAAATCTGGACCTGAGGAAGAGGAAGAGGTATCTGAAATGTTTATGTGTCTCACCATACCATTTTGTTGTTTGAATTATTTTCATATTCATCGGTATTGTTACTCAGTCATTGAAGCTTCTTTCAATGATTGGCTGAGCTATTGTTATGTCGCAGTGTTTTCAAAATATTCTAACTGCTGAGCAAGCAGACCAACTTCTGCTTGGTTTGGAATAAACTAATGAGCCATGTGGACACGTAGTAAAGCAGAGAAAAATAAATGGAGAAGGGAGAATGAGTATGCTGTGTACAAAAAGAAAAAGAGGATCCCGGGAGGATGGGTGGAGTAAATTGGGAGAGGGAAAACAAGTCCAAGAAAGGTAGAGAAAATGAGAAAAGGTATTGTGAAAAATCTTCATGAGGCCCTAGCACTCAAAAGTAATTTCTATGATTATGTTACCTTGGGAAATATTTTGACATATATTTAAAAGCTACAGCTGGTGCAAAATGCAGCAGCTAGGTTGTTGATTACGGCACTCCATCAACACCATAGAAAATATCGGTTGAGGGAGCTGCACAGGCTGCCAATATGCTAATAAGCGCGGTTCAAGGTTTTGTTGTTAGCATTTAAAGCCTTAAACAATTTGGGACCAGGGTATCTAAGGGATCAGGGTATCTAAGGGACCACCTTGCCCCAGAAATGTGCTTTTTTACAGGCGGTGACAATTTTGTGCGGGGTATTCTGTTCACAGCCCCCACATGCATCAGCAGAGCACATATAAGCGCTTCGTACCCCGCCAGGTACATAAGGACCCGCATGTCGGCGATCACACATCAGCAGGACATGCCTAAAATGGTCATTACATTTACTAGAAACTGGACTTTTAGTGTTTTGGTTTCAACCCTCTGAAATCAGTTACTAGCTGAAATTAGACAGCCTAGTGTCATGATGTTTACAGTGGTACCTCAGGTTAAGTACTTAATTCGTTCTGGAGGTCCGTTCTTAACCTGAAACTGTTCTTAACCTGAAGCACCACTTTAGCTAATGGGGCCTCCTGCTGCTGCTGCGTCGCCGGAGCACACTTTCTGTTCTCATCCTGAAGCAAAGTTCTTAACCTGAAGCACTATTTCTGGGTTAGCAGAGTCTGTAACCTGAAGCATATGTAACCTGAAGTGTATGTAACCTGAGGTACCACTGTAGTTGCCTACTTAAATCATTTTTAAGAAGCCTTTCTCTGAAGTCACTGGTTGAACAATAGTGTATCTGAATAAATAGCTTTATTGTTTTTAAATTTTTGGAAATATTTTAGAAGAAATGGCTTTAATGTTTTAGAATTTGTAGAGATTGTATTGTTATTTTTGGGAATGATTTGTTTTTAGAGCTCATGTTTTATTCTGGTTTTTATATTGCACACTACTTGGATGGCTTTATGCTATGAAGTGGTTTATGAATTTGTTAATAAATAAAATAAAATAAAATATAAAACAAAACAAAACAAAACAAAACCCCCAAATTGGTAAATGTTCAGTAGATTTTAGGAATGTAGGTCAGAATTTTAGGAAAATCCAGCCCAGTATTGTCCAGGGATTGGTTGGGATTTTTTGCGTGCTCTACCTCTGAGCCGCAGTCCCTCCTGAGTAGGGCATATTCCATGATGCTAGGTGGATATTTTCATACAAACCTAACCCACTCCTTTTCCATTGATACTGAAAACTTTCATTGGCTATACTGTAGAGGTATATACAATCCCAAGGCATGGAATACATTGGTGGTAGTTAAGCAATTAGAATAGTTCAAGTCATAAAATAGCTTTGTGGACTATATATTTTATTTTTTTGAATTATTATAATGTCGCAATAATATAGTATTACCTAATATTCTTCTCTCCCCCACCCCTTACAGATAACTGAGGAACAGGAGGAAGAGTTGAATATAAAGAGGAAGGCAAAAATGCTACCAATACAAGAAAATACAAAGAAGCAGAAAACAGAAATACAATCTATACCAAAGCCAAATTTGAAATGTGGCAACTCTGACTCAGTAGTGGATAACCCGAGTAGCTCTTACACACAACCTGTATCAGAGCAAGGAAATCCTACAAGCATTCTGCAGTTCTCTCAAAAGGTGGACCCTCACTCAAATCTATGTGTTCAAAGTAATGAAGAGAACAAAATTTCAACCTCTGCTTTACACTACAGTGAACATGAAACTCCTTTAAGCAGAGATTTTTCATTTAACCCTCCAGATCTGGAAGAAACAATAAGAGATGAAAAAATAGCAAAGCTTAAACTCATGCTGAGGGAACGAGAGGCAGCACTAGAGGAAATTCGTAAAAAAATGCAGCAGACGTGACAAGCCTAGTCCTTACTTAGCCCCAAATTTTGCTGCAACCCCTTTGCAACTTAATGTTATTTCTTGTTTCTTGCATATAAAGCGAATAAAAAATCTAGTTTTTTATGTTTACATATTGAGTGCAAGTATAAACATTTTCAAGCCTAGGAACTTATGTAGCAGAGTATTGTTTGCAGAATGTGATACTTGTTAGTTCAATATATTCTCTCATTATTTCAGTAAATGCAGTTTATATTCTTGTTGTTTATTGAGGTTTCATAGAATGAAATGTAAATGATTTTTTTTCAGTTTTACGTTAAAAGGAACAGCTTAAGTTTGTTTCGGAAAAATGAAATTTGTTCTAGAAAAATTGCTAGTATTAACTTATTTGAATTGGGTACTCGGAATCAAATGTCAATGAATGGGGTAACAGTATTGAATTTGTCAAGTTTCTTTAGTGATAAAACAGTTTGATTGAATTTCCTTAAGCCAACTTGAAAAAAATCAACTCTTTAACTTCACCCAGTTCAGTTTTTAATTAGAGCAGGTGAGATCTGCAACAAAGTGGTGTGCTGTAATGATCGTATTCAGGATGCCTGACAGCCAGCCATGCTCTTTTCTGAGGTACCTCTCTCCCTTATTTGTAAAGCTCTTGCCCTCATTGAAGTGTATGTATCTTCTGGTTTAGTTTGAATAGAATACTTACTGGTCTAATTTGGTATGTTTTATATCACGTTGGAACATATTTGACGGTAAAAATGTATTCATTAAGGTACTGCATATGTAGATTCCTGCCACAAAATGTTCCAGTAGTGTTCTTGTTTGTTTTGGCACTCTCAAAATTTGTCTGCATTTAAACCATTGGCCACAATGCCATATAGAATATGTTCCCTTAGCTAATTATTCTTGGTAATCCATTAATAACCAGCTACCTTGAATTGTATATGAATACAAGTGGTTTAAATGGTTTCGGTTGTCCTAAAATATATAGAAACGAGTTCATCTCATAACAATCTTTTGTTTTATTCAGTTGCCTACTGTTCAGTTCCCTCTTACTATGTAAGAGAAGACAGCCCCATCACCGGGGTTCCATTGACACTGGCGGTACCATAACCTTACTGTTTATGAAAACAAAATTTTAACTTGTCTGTCTTGTTGATACCAGTATGATCTCAGAATATGTGTGGGATATAGAAAATGTTTGTTCTTCGAAAAGACAAAGGGTTCTGATTTTTAAAATCCACTCAAGTTTAGAACAGACATATCCCAACTTGTCCTTCTCTCATAGAATTGTAGAGTTGGAAGGGTCATCTAGTCCAAACCCCTACAATGCAGGAATCTCAACTAAAGCATCCATGACAGATGGCCATCCAACCTCTGCTTAAAAACCTCCAAGGAGAAAGAATCTACCACCTTCCAAGGGAATCTGTTCCACTGTGGGAAAGTTCTTCTTGATGTTGGTATCTTCTTTCTTGTAACGTGAATCCATTGGTTCATGTTCTGGAGCAGGAAAAAGCAAGCTGGCTCTCTTACATAGTTTCTAAACACCATCCAAATTTTGTTAAGCTGCAGGGGAAGTGATACCATCAATTTTGGAAGGAAATTTCCACATGTTGCTTAGCAAAGAGAAGGTTTCTGTTTGATTCAGAAATTCTACAAAGTAGTATGAAAATACAGTTATGGGAGGAGCTGTGCAATGACTGTACCTCCTACATCTCCCCCCCTAACGTGGCAACCATGTTGTGGCTGGCACCCACAGAACTCTCAAAAATCCAGGTGTGCCCACTGGCCCAGAAAGGTGGTTGACCCCTAATTTAATCTATACATGGAATTTTTTCAATCCCATCTCCTTTCATGAGTATGCAGAATTCATGGACTTCAGTCAGCAAACTTTAATCTGTATTTTATTATTCATTTTATAAAAATCTAGAAGAAATGTTGCAGGCTGCTACTGGCAGTATTACTTCATATTCGGAATTGCATTGCTTTATGGCTTAATTAAAAATATTTTCACATAAGTGACAGATTTCATTAACAATCCTTCATCAATATTTGCATATAAAATGACACATTTTTACTGCTTGCACAGAATGTGCTAAATCTTAAAACACATTTATAGAGTTGTAGATGTGGTTGATGACAATGAGACAAGTAGGCATCTATCTTGTTAGTTGCATATTATGACTGATGGCATAACTGAGTAAAATCCAACGGTGTCTATGCTCAAGAGCAATGGCACTTCACTTTACTTAGGTGACCCTCCAGGACAGATTTGGGGAGAGGATAGGGAAGTCCCATTGTGTGAGCAGAAGTGCACTCAGGCAACATTGGATTTTTAGACACAAAACCAACACAGGTTCATCAGATATTAAAAGCCAGTGTTTGATCCAAAGTTTCCCTTCTGACAGAAAAAGCCATTCTCTGATGGACGGATTCCACCTTTGGATCCAAATCATACTCATTCTCCATTGTTATCTTCTCATATATTCCCTGTGGTTGGCATTCCTTGGTCATCTGCTAGTAGCTGCTGTTGTGTATAATAAAGATTGTGCCCATGCAGCAGTGCTTCTGTACGCAAGGAGATTTTCTGAAGAAGGGAACAGTGGTGGAAAAGAATGAATAAGGTCTGTCAATCCATTTTCGCAGAGCAACAACCGCAACATCAAACAGTTCTCCACTAGATCTCCTTCACTAGGTGGTGATGGTGGAATTGATGGGTCTCAATGGTTTGGATTACTATTGGCTGTTTTTTAATTCCATAGATGTGTGGTGGGATTTTTTTCGGCTCAATGGCTGCATTTCCTCATGGGGAACATTCCAGCAGCTGCATCCCAGTAATAGGTGGGCTAGAGGTAAAAGCGGGTAACAAATGGATATAACTCTTACCTATTTACAGTAGGCTACACTCCAGCTATACAAGCCCCACATCTCTCAATCCACATAAACCAGAGGAATTATCACAGTTTAATTATTATTATTATTATTACTGACACATTCTAGCAAGGCAAAAGAACTCAAGGAGGGTATTGAGTAGGGCTGTGACAAGGACTGGATAGAGAAGCCTTGAGAGCTGTATCTAACCTGCAGGGCTGAGGTTCCCCACCTAAGCTACAGATGTACCTGGAGAGATTTAGTTGAAACACTTAAACCAGGGGTGGGATACCTGTGGTCCTCCAGATGTTGCTGAACTCCCATAATATCTGACCTGTGGCCATGTTTCCTGGGGAGGATGGAAGTGGAGAGTCCAATGTCATCTGGACTTCCTACCTGGCTTAAATAGACATGAGCAGCTATGGCAAGGCACTAAAGGTGTCCTAATCCTCAAAAAAGGGTGGTGGTGGGGAATCACACTTTAAGGGGAAGGTAGAGTATAAATTCATCAAAAGAATAACATTCTGCAGTGCGTAGCAGAAATGAATTTTTAAATGGTTTTCCATCACTAAATCCAGTGATCCATGAGACATTTATAAAGAAAGGTTTCGTGCATTTCTTTGTAATTTGGTATTGGCTCATAAGCAAGGATTATACTAGGACCTAAGTGCCCATGCAAGTCAGCAGCTGGCCTCATTATGAGCATAAACTTGCCGTTTATCAATGTATCCAAACCAACCTGAAGAAGACATAACAAAACGAAGACTATACATGGGAGCCTTGTTGCCAGAGTCCTTCATGTACACAGTCTTATCTAGAAGATTTACTACCTAGCTGTACTCTTGATCTCGGTTATATTGAATGGCAAATTGCAAGACTGCATACAGTGGTACCTCGCAAGACGAATGCCTCTCAAGATGAAAAACTCGCAAGACGAAAGAGTTTTTCGTTTTTTGAGTTGCATCGCGAGAAGAATTTCCCTATGGGCTTGCTTCGCAAGACGGAAACCGGAAACGTCTTGCAAGTTTGTTTCCTTTTTCTTAAAACTGTTACAGTAATACAGGGTGCATTGCTTGAAGAGGTGCAGTTGCGACTTGACTTCGGGGAGCAACTCATAGCATGCAGTGTGGTAGCCTTTTTTGAGGTTTTTGAAGATTTTTTTGAAAAAATTGAAACCGTGCTTCGCAAGATGAAAAAACTCGCAGAACGAATTAATTTCGTCTTGCGAGGCACCACTGTATATTCTTGTCAAGTTCTTTGTGACTACATACATGCCTTGTGTGGATTTTATTTTGAGTCATACTACCAATTGCACTGGGACTTTCAGTGCATATTATACTTTCATTGTATACAGAGTTGGGTTTGTTTTCATAAGCAAGGGAGACAACGCAGACAAAATGTTGTTCTTCATGCTTAAAAACAGATTTCTGAAAAAGGTAATATTGCAAGGCCAGCAATAAAGTAAACTATGCTTGTATGAAGTGTTCTTTTTCTCTTGTAGCTCAGAAAAACAGCCATTTTAATTTCTGTGCTCCATCTAGTGCACATACTGTCTTAATATTGGCTATCTAGTGTGCATACTGTCTTTAACAGTGGCCAGTCATGTACGTCAAAGAGGAAGTTTACAGATCAAAAGCCACAAGCTTTTAGCATGGGGTGATATTTACCTTACACGATTTGCCATGGAAATTCACATTTCATATTATCCCATGAAGTGCCTTCCTTGTTGTGTTAAGCCACCCCCCAAAACTTCAGGATGGTTAAGGATATCTATTATCGCTTAGAAGCTATTCAACTAAAAACTCGCATTGGTTTACCTGGAAGTCACGAATGTAAGTAAGGAAAAAGCTGAGGAAAGAGAAAGCCAAAGACCACTCAGAGACTGTGCTCATGATGTGAAAAGTGTAACCCTGTAGAAGACAAAAACAGATTTCTATGAGAATACATCTTAGTGGTGAAAGATCACTAATAGCAGTTAAGTGACTGTCAACTAGTAGTCAAAACAAGAGGGAAGTTTCAGCATGCCCAGGGGAACCCTACAGATTGCAAAAAGGTATGAATTGTTTTTGAAAAGATGAACACTTAAGGGGGCAAACCCTATAAAATCAGCTCATGGATGACTAAGCATGCTCAGTAGGCATAGCCTTTAAAGTAATAGTTGGAAAAGAAAAATGGAACAGATGGGGATGAGTTGAATACTGTATTTAGAGGAAATTAGGATGGGGGGATGAAACCCTGAATGCAAACCACCCTTTTACAACTGGGGATAAACTGCAGCATTTTGTTGCAGGTTTCTCTTGTTCCTTCTAAAATAGTCTCATAGATAATAAGTGTATGGAAAGTGTTATGTACTGAGTTGAATAGGATCCAAACTGCAGCAGTCTGATTGGTCCTAGAACAATAGGATCCAAAATGCAGCAGTCTGATTGGTCCTAGAACAATAGGATTCAGAATGCAGCAGTCTGATTGGTCCTAGAACAATGCAGCAGTATGATTGGTTGGCAGGAACCACCCAATCATGCTCCAGATAGAAGTGAATCCACAACCTGATTGGCTTACAGTAGAATCCGGAATTAGCCAATCATGTGCAGCCCATTGTGTAAATAATGTATATAAAGCAGATACTGTGAGGGGACTTTCATTCATTCCTCCTCACCACTATGAGCTGAATAAAGAGCATGAAATCACTTTGCGACTCTGAGTATATTTCAGAAAGTGTGTTGAGGGCTGATTTTCCCATAGCCACCTATTTGGACAGTATACAGAATGGCAGTGAATGAGTTCTGATTTGCGCTCCATACATTTTTGTTTGGTTATTTCCAGGTTCAGAGGCAATAGGCCAGTGAATAACCATGTTAAGGAGGAATGCTACACAATCATCTAGTGCTATGTGAATGAGCCTAGGTTCCTCATTCATATAGCACTAGACACTAGCTTTTTCTTTCCCTTAACTATGGTTTGTCATTTCATCCAAAAAGCTAAGTAAGGTTTGTTAATACTAATTACAGTTAATTTCAAAATAAGCCTCCTTCAAATAAAGATATATCGTGTTAAAGCTAACCATAATGTAGTGAACCACAATTCACAGTTCAGACAAAAACAGGCCAGAGTTAAGGAAAGCAAAAGCCTCACTTTCATGTGAAAGGAAGGAAGGGAAACATGCAAGCTTAGGAGGAGGCTACACTTATTCATGTAGCATAATGGGAGGAAACCCTGTTTTAACAAGGCCAACTTTGACTCCCCTGGTGGGTAAAGTCTGGCTCGTGAGCTGGAGAATCTCCACCCCTGTGCTTAAACCATGGTTTAGCACTATAACTGAAGATGGTCACTGCCATATGCTGAAGAGTAACTGGGGGCTATTACCTTTATACCCTGCTTGTGGGCATTCCACAGACATCTGGCCGACCCAACTGAGCTCTTCTTACACATTTCTCTAGACTGGACTGGCATGAAATGGGCCGCAATATTTATAGAAAATGTGAGAAACACTTGTCTCATACTATTTAGGGTTATGTTTGTTAATTTATGTGCTACTTTATCGGGGGGGGGGGGGCTAGCAAATTGGCAGAAGCTCAGGCAGGGCAACTGTCATGCAATCTGGTTTTTAACTTTCCAGGTACCTTCTGGTTCAAATAGTCAAGCCAACAGTGGGTTTTAAGCTCCCTACATCACCACTGCCTTACTTTTGTATGCCTTGGTAATTTTTTACTGTGACTACTTAGCTGTTTGTTTTTTAGGGTGTGTGTGTGTGTGTGTGTGTGTGTGTGTGTGTGCATAGCTCTCCCTCCCCCCCCCCTATATATATATATGCTACAATGCAGAGGACCAATTTCCATTATGTCTTCAATTTTTCTCATAAGAATATGAAACTTACGTTCTCCTGGGGGTCCCAATGCAGCTTCTGTACTAAACCTGTTCCACACAGGCCACTGTACAAAATGACTGAAGAAATAAACACTTTTAGCAGGTTAAGGAACACCCATGAGGCATACGGAGCACCCTCACTTTACATTCATCCTTGCTTGCCTTTATTTGCTTTTTCTCTGATCTAGGAGCTCTCCGGTTTATTGGCTAACTCCTATCAAGAAATAGAAGATATATTATTTTTCCTGGTATGGATCTTCAGTTTTGCTGGTCTCTTCAGTTTGTCCATGTCCTTTAAAAATGTGATAACCATTAACTGACCAAATGCCTCAGGTGAGATTTAGGGAGCAGTCCAAATCCAAGATCTGCCAGGATGAGTGGAGTTTGGAACAGGTGTATCTCTGGGCTAAGCCTAAACTCAGCCGGCTGAAGACCCTCAGTTTGGCTCAACTGGAGAATACTCTTCCAGCCAGCACTGGAATGAGTCCTGAAAAAGTTGTGTTCTGTGGAGAGGCAGAAGACTTGCCTCTTTTCCAAATTCAGCTCAGTCACATGATTTAACTGCTCAATGGTAATCTTACTTGCAAAAAGGGTGGTGGAAGACAAACTCTATTTAAAGACTTGTTTTCCCTCTTCAGGCTTGGGCTCACTCAGTCCTACTCCTGAATGGAGTTTGGAATAGGAGTGAATTAACAGCAGCATAATTTACCCCAGTGCAATTAACACTGGCTTCCGACAGGTTTGATTGCTCTCCCCATCAATGCCAAACAGAATATTTTTCTTACCTCTTGTGAAATGTATACCAATATAGTTGAAATTTAGAGACTCACAAATGGATTTCCTTTCAAATACCCCTAACATCTGCTTTGCGCTTTCAGCATTTGAAAAACCATTCAACTTTATCTTAGTCATTTATTTACGAAATAGATTTGCAGCCTAGTCCCTATGCAGAGAAGTATGAATAGATTCAGCATGTTTTTGAATAGCAGCTGCAGATTGTGATGTGCAGGAAGGGAGGCTAACCATTTCTTTCTGTGCTGCAATCCCTAAGAAAATCCCTATGCTTTATTTTTCCTGGGAGGGAGGCTGTAATTGGCACCAGTGGCATCAACGTAATGTTGTTATACAAATATATGATGCAGCTGCATTTCGAATCCTACGTATACTTAAATAAGCATCACAGAACTGGGAAAGATGCATAAAAAGAACAAAAACTATCTGAGGGCTTGAGAACCTTCCATAGAAGGAAAGGCTAGAACATTTAAAACCTTTGGGTTAGGGAAAAAGTCAGCCGGAAGTAAAATACTGGACTAGATATACCTTTGGTCTGATCAAATAGGGCTCTTCTTATGCTCTTATACTAACACCCACTGAAGTCACAGAGACTTCCAAATAGAACATGGATGAGTTGAACTGCAGTCTTATGTTCACATTCTACTATTTGAATATAAATTATACATGTTCACTGTTTTAATGACATTTCACCACAAAGGATACTACTCACTATGCTCGATGTACACCACAGCAGAACTGTCAGTCTGATCCAAAAAATGCCCTTTCCATGAATCCCTGGTTGCATCTTGTAAGAAAGAACTGTTTGAACCAGAATGTAAATGGCTCCTATTCCAAACGTGAGACAGGCTCCGGTTACATGCATAGAAAATAAAGTGCTTTTCTGGAGGAAAAGAACACAGGTTTCAAAGCTGGTTTGACCAAGTAATATTTGAAAGCTGAACAATTCAGTCAATAAACTGAGACTTTAGAGGGGTGGCTCCCAAGGAGAGTTCACGTTTTCAAAAAAATGTGGTTTGATAGCAAAATCATATACCTATTTCTTACATCTGTCTCCCAGACTTAATTCATGTTTTGTATTTTTTACACTTACAACATTTTTACCCTACTCTTTAGTGGAAAAGAATAGTTTACATGCTAGTTTTTCTCCAGGAAGCTCAAAGTAGCACACATGTGGTTTCCAGATAGTCTCTCACCCAACTACTGACCAGACTCAGATATGTCTAGCTTGAAGGTTGCTGGATTATGTGTGTCTAGAACTCTGATAGCACTTTAACCTCAACAACTCTTAGAAGGTTAGGCTGAGAGACTGCAACCAGCCCAAGGCCATCCAATAAGCTTTGTGCCTGAGCATTTCATTTCATTTCTTAAGACTTATTAGTCACTTGTCACCTGAATATCTCCAAGCGGCTTACAGCAAAAAAGGTAAGTTTTGCTTAACAAATCATGTGTAAATATTGAAATTCACACCAATAAAACAAACCAGCACTAATTGCTACCAAGTAAATGTACAGCAAGGTCATGGCAATCGTACAATTGTGGCCTGACAACCAAAGCCCAATTGTAAATACAAACCTATTATGAGATGAAAAATTGTGTTTCATGTGCATTCACTACCCAAATTTATGCTGGAAGGCAATCAGTAGGCAACTTCTCTGGAGAGAGAAAAAAGCCTATCATATCCTGTATTCCAAAACAATTAAAGATGAAGTACAAACCTGGAAGTTTGCAATGACGCAAAGCCCAAAGCAACTAACTGTTCCTAACACAAAGCCAGCTTTATTTAACCTGAAGATCTTGGGGTTGTTAGGATTCAAAGCATCAACTTGTTTGTATCGGACATACATGGTTGCCATGCCTGTGAAATAATCCAAATACAGCACAGTAAGACTATGGTATAAAAGACTGCCCTTGGAAGAAGCCAAGTATAATTGGTGGCCACCTAAAACTAGCTGTCAGGTACTCAAAATACAATAGGAGGGAAGAAAGTCTGTGAATACAGCCCTGAGGGCAGATGAATTTTACTTATATGACGTAGCCATGTTAGTATGTTGCAGCAAAAAGAAAATGGCATCTTTAAAAGACTTAACAAATTGATTAAGGTAGAAGCTTTCGTGGACCTGTTCACTTTGTTAGATGCATGAAGTATTCTCCTGAGCTATAGGGATATATTCACATGGTTTTGCAGGAGCAAAATTGTAAACAGTATGGACAGAAGGAAATGCAATGCAGGAAGCACAAAACAGTGATAATCATATATTAAGAGAGAGAATTCACAAACAGTTGTTTATAACAAACATCCTGGCATTGGTATGGCTATTAACTATGTAGGATCTCAAAACCCTTTGTCTTACACTTTAATGCATTTGTAAGTTTTTAAGCTGTCACAAGATTCTGTGTCATATACAATTACTTGTCTACTATGAGACAGGCAGATTTAGCAGGATTATTTATGGAATAATGAATAGTCAATAATCATATTGCCACCTGTATTTGCCATGGCAATCTTTAAGGACAGTTGTTGTGGTGTCCTTGTCTCACTTCCATCAGTGCACCTTTTCCACATGGCAAGGGCATCTCAATAGCTATGCTACAGATACAGAATTCCTTCCCTTTGGAGTCTCACAAAGCCTATGTCTAAGCATCTTTCAGAAGCCTAGGATTCTTTCCCCCCCGTACTTACCCAAAAGAGCGGCAATGTTTAACATTATCCCAAACAAACATCTTTCAGGGGGTGTTGTTCCTGTGTCACTGAAAGAAAAGCAATGTAAGATACAGTGACTCTAAAACTAACCAAATGCACAACTAAAAAATGGGAGACATTTAAATTTTTAAATACCAATTTGTAAGTATCAAGAATAAGCAGTAGATGGGAAAAAATACAACTATCAAAAGGGAAGCAACCAAAAACAAATCCATGCCCATGCAGTACTTGAGGCACAATTCATTTGGTTTTTGTATTATTTCAAAATGCATAGAGTAATTTTTTAATGCTGGAAAATCTAGCACAATTATATTTATTAAAGGAACAAGTTTTTTAAAGACTTATAAAAGGTTGTTTGTCAAATATAGAGCCTTTTTATTTATTTATTTAATATAGCCAGCTATGCATGGCTAAAGTTTACCAATGTCTGACAAATTTTCTGACTCCAAGTCATTTAAGAATTTCAATACATGAATAATGGCAAAGTTCTAAAAAGCAAAGTGCAGTCTTATCAGGCTGCCTATATGCTATCTCTATGTATTCATCCAGAAACGTAGACCTTCACCCCCACCCACTTGCAAATTATCTGCTGAAAATATTTGCTAGTAATCCTTTCTCTTGCTCACAGCATGCTGGATCTCTGATTTTTAACACTGCCCAGTGAATTACATAACGCAGGAGCAGGGAACCTCAGGCTGGCAGGCCAAATGTGGCCCTTGGAGCTCTCCCTAGGCCACAACACCTCACCGGCCTTGCTTCACACCCCAACAATTTTTGCCAGGCTAGGATGTGGCCATGTATTCTGATAACGCCTCTTGCTTTTCTGCATGGAGATACAGAGGGGTGTGTGAGTATGTGCAGAAACTAGCCTTTCATTGCTCAGCCTCTAGTTCTCCCTAACACTAGCATGTGGTCCTTGAAAGGTTGCCCAAAAGGGGATGCAGCCCCAGAACTGAAAAAAGGTTCCCTGACATCAGGCATGACAAGGCCTAGAAATGGATAGCTCAGTTGGTGAGAGCATGGTGTTGATAACACCAAGGTTACAGGTTCGATTCCTGTATGGGACAGCTGCATATTCCTGCATTGCAGGAGGTTGGACTAAATGATCCTCTGGATCCCATTCAACTCTGCATTTCTATGATTCTAAGGTTTATCTGCCACCCCAGACATACGGCATTACGAATAATGAAGCAAGGACCCTGAAAATATATGAAAGGGGAGAGTGTTCATATCAGCGATATTATTTTTCTTCATCTGAACACATTAGATTACCTTTTTCTATAGTACTAATATTATTTATTTATATTATTTATTCATCTTTATATTTATATGCCACATTTCCTCCATGGAGCTCATGGTGGAGTGCATGGTGCTCCCACTTCCTCATTTTATCCTCACAACCACACTGTGAGGTAGCGTAGGTTGAGAGGCAGTGACTCTGCAACACTTCCCCCCACCACCACCCCACAACAGTTTTCTTGTAAAAATGTATACTTATCCAATGGCATTTAAAACTATATATTTAATTAAAACAGTAAGAAGCTCTTATGGATGTTTGGTTACAAGGAATATATGCATCATAGGAAAGAGATCTAACTGACCTGCTCTAGGACCTGTAGCTGGCATGTTAATGGAGAAAATGGATAACTCGGATGCAGGTTTCTTCCTGCCTCTTGGTTTCCAGTGATCACAGTAGCTACACCCACATTGCCTGGGAATAGCCAAATAGGAATCTGTATCTTAGTCAAAATGTGTATGCGGTTTATTACAGCTGCAGATTCTTGCAGTCTCCTATAGTTAAAACATGGCTGCAGGCAAGTTATAACCTATAACCATTTATTGATTTTGCCATACTCCTCTGTAAGGAATTGGGAAGTATACAAACTTCACTGTCCAGCAAAGCCGAGGGGAGAGGAACAAGTTTTTCAGCATTGTTAGATAGAAATGAAATAACTTTAAATTGGTATGCATATGACTTTTTAAAAATTAGGAGTTCCACACCCCCCAAAGGGGGAGTGCTTTCCTATGCAGTGATCTTTTGTTATACTGTACAGTGGTACCTCTGGTTACAAACTTAATTCATTCTGGAGGTCCGTTCTTAAGCTGAAACCGTTCTTCTTCTGAAGGGCGCTTTCGCTAATGGGGCCTCCTGCCGTACGCATGCTTCTGGTGCGCAATTTCTGTTCACATCCTGGGGCAATGTTCACAACCAGGAGCAGCTACTTCCAGGTTAGCGGAGCTTGTAACCTGAAGCGTTTGTAACCAGAAGCGTCCATAACCAGAGGTACCGCTGTATGTAACAATGCAATAGTAAAAGTCTTACTGACCTGATGTAGGGCACCAAAGGGTCAACATGATGTAAGATGACTGCAGTAATGTATGAGAACACAAAGGAAGCAGATGTCCAAATAACGAGGGCAGAAGGCAAGATGCTCAGACCTTGCTGAAACCACCACATCTCAAAATCATCTTCCAAGTCCAAACACTGAAGAATGAAGAGATACCATTAACTATGTTTTCTCTTCCCCTTCCTTGCCATTGAAAGCAAACAATTCTTTTCGTATGCAGTCTTCTTTGTGTTTAGAAACACACCCAGGCAAACAATTTTACTGACTCAAGACCTTTGTCCCAAGAGATTAGCTTGTTTCACTTTCCGTGCCTGCACTGCAATACCAACACAAACCAGGAAACAGAAAGTTATTGCAATACAGAAGCTGAATGGAAACTAGAAAGCAGAAATGTATTTTGAATATGTGCAAGACTAATTTTTTTTTAAAAAAAGGAGATGGGGGCATGGGAAAGAAAGAATCTAATAAACAGTGTCAAATCTTCCTAGTTTTCTTGACTGTTTCATCTCTTGGCAGAGATATAAAAATGATCACTGTTTTACCAATTATGTGCAATATCGTAAAAGCATAAAAGAGATGGATGGCATGACAACAAATTCCACATACAGTGAAAAATAATCTTCTAATAAGCAATGGGAACATATGAAAACCTGCATAACTGTTAAGAGGATTAAAAAAAATCAAGTACCATGACTAAAGACTGGAACTAAACACATTAGAAAAGAGCAATTATTGTTTCCAAGAGAGGAGCAGGCTGATACTACTTGGAATAACCTGGGTCAATCTCCATCTAAAGTTGGAGAAAAAATATGGGCATTGTAAAAGTGGGGTCCTTTTTTATCTAACTGTGAGCATAACTTCATGTTTACACAGTAACAACAGCAATCCCAGCCTTAGATATTGGTTTATCCAGCTAATGCTGCTCAGATTTCTGCTTAAAAATGGACAACACAGTGTAGGGGAGCATCATTGGGCTTGAAAAGAATGCAGCTCTTCCTTTCTACACTCCATTATTTGGTAATGTGCTGGAACCATCTAGCTTTACCCTTAATATTCTTCTGAATCTGTTCCAAGCTCTGAAACAGGGGTCGGCAACCTTTTTCAGCTGTGGGCCGGTCCACCGTCCCTCAGACCATGTGGGCCGGACTATATTTTGGGCCGGACTATATTTTGAAAAAATAATGAACAAATTCCTATGCCCCACAAATAACCCATAGATGCATTTTAAATAAAAGCACACATTCTACTCATGTAAAAACACCAGGCAGGCCCCATAAATAATCCAGAGGTGCATTTTAAATAAAAGGACACATTCTACTCATGTAAAAGCACACTGATTCCCAGGCCATCCACAGGCCAGGTTGAGAAGGCAATTGGGCCACATCTGGCCCATGGACCTTAGGTTGCCTACCCCTGCTCTAAAAATTTTTGTAAGAATATTAATTTTAATATTACCAGCATGCTGTTTTTATTTATCCAAGATAAGAATTTAAACAGGGAATCCAATTCATTCCTGTTTGAAGCCTTTCCACTGCTATGTATTTTTTAGAGTAAACGATGGTTGAATAGCACTGGACACTGCTAATTGATGGTAGGGACTATTTAACAAAAGGGACTATTTAACATTTCTTAAGCATTAACAGTGGGGGGGGGCTCTATATGGGCCTCTGACTATTCTCAGATACTGATACTTCTGCACAAAGGCTAAGTAATGCTTTTAGATGAGAAAAGCATATATTATTGGATTCCTCATATCCCGCAACAGCAGGTGTCCCACAGAAAAAGAGTTAATACATTCAGCACCAGAGACAGAGAACATTCAGAAGACCTGTAACATGGTTGTGCTTTCCTGGATTTCAAACCATAGATTGTAGGTAGATGTGTTCAATTTCCAAATTCATACAAGTACATGAAAATGTGGTACATGGCATTGTGGGCAGAATTCAGTTTGCTGAGAGCCTCACCTTTCATTTTAAAAAGTGTTTCCTTCCCTTGTGGTTGTAAAAATAGGACACAAAGTATGTGAGCAATACATGATGAGTCTCAGGTGGGTGGAGGAGTATTTCCGGGGGGGGGGGGGCAGAGATTTAATGCCTTGCATGGATCTTTACACTTCTCCATAAGAGGTCGAAGCAGACTACATTCTAATCTGAATAAATTATATAGATTAAAGAATTAAAGAGTTTAACACAGCCACAGAATTACTCTAATAGTGAACATGGAAATCTTCTCAGCGGCTATTCCAGCAGGTCACCAGTTATATAACTTTTAAAAATTAGTACTTTAATTTGTTTCCCCCTTCCCTTTCCACTCCTTTTCCTTTACTATCATGTCTACTGTAAACATTTGGGCAGTTTTTTAGTAAATGTGCATCACTTTAAAGTGTTAGAAGTTGTATAAATTATAAAGTAGTAACGGAAACAATTAGAACTTGGCTTAGGTCTTATCCTATCCCCCTATTTGCTTTTCATATCAGCACTCTACTTTGTCAGGGCCACTGACCCCAGGTTACAATGGTGAAACCTGCTCTCTGACTTTGATCTGATGCACCTATCTAAGGGCGGGAATATATGTTGCAAACACATAATATCCATAGCAAAACTTGAGAACTGCTTTCCAAAGGGAAAAACTAGATGCAGGAGAAAGATTTGAAGCAGAGAAATGGTGAGGTAAGGGGAAAGGGGCTGTTAAAACCTCTCTCTACCTACCACTTATTCACTCCACACCAATCACCCTTCATTCAAAGCCACATTTCCTTCCCCCAGGTTTCATACGCTTGCATGCAAAATGTAGCCAGGTCCTAAATATGGCAGTTTCTCTTTTAACCATCCTGTGAACTCCAACCACATAGCTTTGGATATTTTGTATTTTGAAAATACTAGGAATCCTGAGAGCTCACTGACAATTGGATCTATTGGGAACAGAACACAAATCCTCACTTTCCCACAATGGAAAATCCTCACATATCCTTAGGTATGGCATTCTAGTTTGGCAAATAAGCTCTCGCCCCTTTCTGCTGCCAACGCTTGGACTCAAGAGCCTATTAATTCTATAAAGAGCAGGATGTCCATTCACAAAAATACTGGTCATACCACCTACCAAAAACACTTATCATCAGCTAGAACTGTCAAATGCAACTACAATTTCTACCATTGTGTGGTGAAAGGTTTATTCTAGCTGGAGTACTTGATCATTACACTTGATATGCTGAAGCCACAGGAGTACTGTGCATGCTGTTTTTAGCTCACAAAGTCTAACTAGAAAGTAATCAGGGACCATAGCACAACTCTTTGGCTGTAGTAGGTACTACTAAACTACTTCCCCATGCACCCCACAGCTTAGCAATACAACTCATAAGGAAAACAGTTGTATGTAGGATGTAGCTTAAATCAACTACGGTATACGCAGAGCGCCAACCAGGATCAGATTCTCAGTGTCTATGATAAAACTCCCAATTCTGTTGGGTAAAGGAAAGTTTAGGGTATACGAAAGTTTAGTTATTGGGAATAGCGACAGGATTTTATCATTTTAAACTGTTTATAAAGTTTCTGTATTGAAGGCTTCTGGGGCTCCACATTGGGCATAAATTTGATAAAATAAATATTTTATTTTCCCTGAAATAAGTATGACACACACAACATAGAGTGGAGCTGCAGGTGTTAATGCAGATTTCAAGATACGGGAGATACATTCTGATGAATGTGGATGTGTCCGACTCTATGAAAAAGGAAAATTAGGTGTTTCTGAAACTAGTTGCAGATAAAAAATACTGATGAACTCTGGCAGTAGGTCACATGCCATTCATGAGAAAGGGTTGCAACATTTGGGACATTTTCTTTTAGAGAAAGGCAAGTAAGAGGTGGCATGGTGGAGAGAGAAAAGTTTACTTCCTCATAACACTGGAATTTGTGGACATCCAGTGAAGCTGAAAGTTGGAAGATTCAGGGCAAAAGAAAAGAAGTACTGTACTTATTCATGTGGCACATAATTAAACTATGGAACTCACTCCCACAAGAGGCAGTGATGGCCGACAACTTGGATGGCTTTTAAAAAAGGATTGGACAAATTAATGAGGAATAAAGCTATCAATGGCTACCAACCACAATGCCTATGCTCTGCTTCCATGGTCAGAACAGTATCCTTCTGAGTACCAGTTGCTGCAAACTACAGGAGGGCAGAGTGCTCTTATGTTCAGGTCTTGCTTTTGAGTTTCCCACAGGCATATGGTTGGCCACCGTGAGAGAAAGTTTCTTTAGTTACCTCCCATTTTTCTTTCTTGTTGGAATTGTCTGCATTTGCACCTGCATTTGCAACTTTTAAGAAACATCCATCCATTTTGGACTCTCTTCTCTTTGAGTATTTCAGACTATGGGATCTCACCTGCATCTTTAAGTTACAATGGATAAAAGTTAAACTCCTTTTCAACATTAAAAGCTGCAGTATTTAAGCTGTATATCTATAGTAGGAAATTCGGTTTCTGAAAGTTCCATAGCTCCCAGATTTTAATTTAAACTGATGTTGCTACTATTTTACTCTTCCTCCTCAGCTATTTCATTGGTTCAAAACAAGAAAAAATGCTACAAGAAAAAAAAAGGTTTGTGGCTTTCTAGTCAACAAACACAGCTTCAAGCTGGACACAACTGCAGAACATAGCACAGAGCTAATGCCCTACCCTCTAAGAGTGCAAAGAGGGATTCTTCCCAGCACAGTCATTCGATTACAAAGCAGAGCCCAACTAATTTAGGAGACACAAAAAAAGCCTTCATTGGGACAAACAAAGGCATAGTCATAATGATAATTTCGTCTTCTCAAATGCAGGAAGTCATACCTCAAATGAGAACGTCTTAACGTTTGCATCAAAAAAAAGCTACCAGAAAGTTACCATTCTCGGGCAAAAGAAAAAAACCCCTGAAAAATAAACACTCTTACCAGCCACCAGCTCTCTTTAGGCTGAGAAAGGGGACAACAGCAGTTGCTACCTCTCCCTCCACTTTCCCGACTCGTGTGCCTTTAACAGCTACCAGAAGTTCAACGGGGGGGGGGGTATTCTGCGTATGGGGCTGTGTTTAATGGGGAAACTAAATCCGTTGAACGTCTGCCTGTCATACGGCTGTTAAAGCCACAGTCCTTCCCTCCCTCCCTCTCTCTCGGGGCGGGGAGAAGGTGCCCTTGGCACGGAAGAGTCGTTTTCCTGCGACCCTCCTGAGGAGGAGGAGGAGGAGGAAGGCGGGAGGCAGGCGCGCTCCCTTTCCCCGTCCGCGGCACCTGAGGTGACCCTGTCCCCCTCACGCCAAAGTACACACTTTGATATTCGACCCTCCAGGGAGGTGTTAATTTACCGTCTCGCTCTCTCCCTCATCTCGCTGCTCCAGCCGCCTCCTCTCTGAGGGGGGAGCAGCGAAAGGGCGGACGCGAGAGGAGGAAACGGGTCACGGGCGGGCGCGCGCGACGCTCCCTCCTCCCTCAGCCAACCCCCGCCTTCCCTCCCTGGAGCCAGCCAAGCAGCCTGCCGCCGGCCCGCGCGCGCTCCCGCCGGCTCCCCGTTAGGAGCCTCTGCCCGCTCGCGCGCCCGTCCTAAGCAACCACCAACCCGGCCTTGTTTACGGCAGCCGCAAAAGGGACGTAAAAGCGCCGCCTGGGCGAAGAGGCTGGTTGAGGTAAATGCCGGGTGTTTTTCGGCGCGGTTCAGGGCGATGGTCTCTGTCGGGCGGGGGGCGGTGTTGGTGGTGGGAACTCGGCCTTCGACGGCGCCGGGTCTCCTCCGGGCCCAGCGGAGAGTTGGCTAACGTGAGTTCTCCCCCCACCTCAGCCACCGGGGTCCTTCGGCGAGTCGGACCGCGGGGTTCTCTTCTCGCTCCCTCAGCCTGCGGGGCATCTGCGCAGGGGATGGTGGGCGGGTGGCTTGCGCTAAGCGGACCCCGGAGGCTGCCCTTGCCGTTGGCTCCTCTCCCTAGCCGCCGCGCCTGGGAAGGTGCGTGGCTCCCGGTGCCAGAGAGCGAGAGAGACAGGAGGGTGGGCTGCCGCAGTTCGTGTCATGTCAGTCAGTCCTTGGAGCCGTGTAATCGGAGCGGGTGCCACTGCTGGGACAAGTCAAAACAACCACCCTCCGCGCTACAAACACACACGCAGGCATGCCACAGTTTGCGTCAGGTACAGGCGTGGCAGGCTCAGGACAAGGCTGCACCTAGTGTCTCGAGACCGCGGGATGGTCAGACTTGCATGGAGTCCAGAGCGTTAGCCCAGGTAGCGGCCCTTCAAGGTCTCAGGTATAGTTCTTTCAATCAGCCTCGCCGCCTGCTTCCCTTCAGCCGCTATGGCATCCCTGTTCTCTTTACAGGAGGCTTACATGCAAAGTATGTGCCCTGACAGTGAAAGAGTGGTGCTTTCACTTCCCTAAGGGCAGGTGTGGGATTTCCTCATCCCCTCCCCCCATCCTTGGAGTAATTTTTGTAGCCTGGTGACCAGAGAGGAGACTTTGGACTGGATCTTGGCACTGTGCTTTTTCTTTAGTTTGTGACTGTTGATACTGTATTGACTCAGTGCTTCTGACCTGCTTATTTAACTGAAGTGAATTATTAGCAAGGGTCTGGCAAGCTTCTGTTGTACTTTTAAAGGACAGATGATTTCTGGAACTCTAGGCAACCTGAGGGAGTTCAAGGAAAAAAATGCTTTCATTTTGTGTCATCCGTAAGACTTGAGTAAGATTTCTTCAGTTTTATCTCTTTATCTTCTATTTATTTTGCTGAATCCTGTAAAAGTTTTCTCCTTTCCTGTGCTTCTTGTCACTCTTTGCAAAACTACTTCTCATATTGCAGCAGATGGATGCTTTCTGCTTGTATTAATAGCAAGGAACAAATAAAAAGGTGTTCTTTGAAGTACAAACTTAAGTTTCAGTTAGAGAAATTGGCATGTCCAAATGCCCCCAATCAAAAAGAGACCATTTATTAAACTTGTTCCTTGTATTTACTCTCAGATAGTTCTAGTCCTTGTTCTATGTCCCTGTATATGTCCAGATTCTCCTAAAGTAGCTTTTAGTTGTGACAAATGGCTGCTAAATGCCATGTTGGTGGCCACAAACTAATAGCAAGTCTTGGCTGATCTGTTTTCTCTATCCCGAGCCAACTTGAAGAACAGCATAGCCTGGGACAGGCACTGTGGCCATGCTCACATGTCATTGTAAACTGTAAGCCATGGATTACCATGCATGAGCTGATTGCACATCCTTTGCTCACCCCAGTTGGGAAGAAACTAACCATGACTTCTGCTGTCTTCATTTTATGGTTCCTGTCTAATTGTAGTGGGGGCACTTTTTCTGTCACGTGAATCTCTGAGCACTGTTTGTTTTGTTTGTGAGTAGGCTTGGGCCTTCAAATATCTCATGTTTTGCTATGAAACACTCGAGACATTCCTGACAGCTTTCCACCTGTTACATTAATCTAAATACTTTATGTTCCAGATAGACCAGGATCTTGAGATACTTTACAACGGTTAAAATCTGTCAAATACAACATCAAGGCTAATAAATCCATGAGTGGGAATCGATCCGTGAAGAAACGATGTGGGGAATTGCAGTTGGAATCCCCTGTGCGCTATGGTCATGTTCCTTCAGCAGGATGTACATTAAGCAAACTGCTTCAGTTGCCTACGCCACCTTTGACAAAACATCAGCTAAAACGGCTAGAAGAACACAAGTATCAAAGTGCTGGACGGTCCCTGCTTGAACCATTAATGCAAGGTTACTGGGAATGGTTAGTTAGAAGAGTACCAGCTTGGATTGCCCCTAATCTGATTACAATAGTTGGACTGATAATAAACATCTGCACAACCATAATATTAGTGTGTTATTGTCCGACAGCTACAGAGCAGGTAAGCTAAATATCTCTTAACGTTTCTTTGAGGAAGGGATTGTACTCCTGTTGAACGGCTCAGTATTATATTTACTTTGGTGTTCTGTTAACAGACATATCTGGAGTTTTATGTATGTAATTTTTGCTCTTAAAGGATCTAAATTATGTTTCTAAAATTCCCAATAATACTTTTGCACAATCCTTAATTATTTCAAAAAAAGATACATTGTTCATTTTCACAAAGGTTTTCATAATATCATGAGCACTATGCAATGCATGTTGACTGATGTGTGACAGAATGTGAGAATGATAGAAAGTTTAGCAGTGGAGCTCATAAAATTTGTAACAAGGGCAGAGATATCAAACATAAACATGAAAAATATGAAGAATATCAAAATGCCTCTCTCCCAAGGTCTGATACTACCAGGCTCTTGTCATTCTCTGAGATCTGGAGATTTAAAATGTTTTAAAATATATGTGGGGGGAAGCAAAAGTTGAGCTGTTTATTGTTGGAATTCAGCTATCAAATATTGGAGGACTCTGCACACATCACACCATTGCAATAGATCTCTTTTCCTTAATTCAAGAAGCTTTCTGTAGTACACGATCTCAGTTTTCCTTCCATCTGTACTGCTGTGAAATATATATGTAATAAGCTCTAAGTGACTCAGCACCCTACTAATGAAACTTGCTTATGCTGAGATACTTGTTTTTCTGCCTTTACTTATGTAGTGTTTAGCAGCTGCTTAGCAGGATTCCTGCTTGAAAACTTATATGTGAAAGGGATTACTACTGATCTGTATTGTGCTTCGCCAGGCACCTATGTATATCCATATAGATAAAGTGAAGATTATATAAATTTTTGAATAAATAAAATATAAATAGCATGTTAAAAATAGAATCTTAAGGTTTGAAAGCATCATCAAGTATTACCTAATTAATCTCTCTTCTTCTAAGAAAGGAGCAGGTTCACCTTAAGTTTCTTGACAGATGCCTGCGCATAATGGAGATTCCCCAACTTCTCAAGTAGTTAGTTCAGTGACTGTTCCAAATATTAGGGAATTCTAATTATACCTTCCCGTATTTTGACTCTAATCAATAGGTAAATAATCCCCCGCCCCTTCCTTCCCTTCCTGCATCTTGGTTCTTTCCTAGGATAACCATACTTTCTTCTTTTTACTCTTCTGGCAATTGATCATTTTTATAGCTCTTCACTGGATCTTTTCCAATTTTTGCACATGGTACTCCAAATGAGGCCTTATATCGGGGTGGAAAACCTCCAGCCTGTGAGCCTAATCTGGCCCACCAGACCTCCCCATTTGGCCTGCCACACCATTTTGGCCAAGGCATGCCCAGCTGCCTTGACTTCATATACAATGCTACCTCCGGTTACAACTTAATTCGTTCCAGAGGTCCATTCTTAACATGAAACCGTTCTTAACCTGAGGCGCTCTTTCACTAATAGGGAGTCCCGCTGCGCATGCCCCTACAGTGCGTGACTTCCACTCACATCCTGGGGCAAAGTTCGCTTCCAGGAGCACCTATTTCCGGGTTAGCGGAGCTCATTACCTGAAGCGTTTGCAAGGAGGATGGTATGTAACCAGAGGTATTACTGTATGGTGTCAGGTGTGGGAAGGTAAAAAGGTGGTTGCGTTGGGCCAAAGGTAGCTTTTGAAGCACCACTGTTAGTTGGTTGTCAGGACTTCAAGCACAACCTCAGCAGTTTTGCAAGCCTCTTTGCAATCCTCAGCTCTGCTAGGAATTCCAATGATCAGCTGGTCATCAGCACTTTGAAGAGCTCTGTGCAGTGCATTAAAGTCCCAACAATCAGCTGATTGTCAGGGCTTCAAAGCCCCGTATCACTCAACATCATTGTAACATCAGGTGCTTGAGAGGTGGGCAGCCCCACCCATGTGTCAAATTTGGCCCATGAGTTAGAAGAGATAAGAATCTGGCCCATTATCTGGATGCAGTTTCCCACCCCTGTTGTTGTTGTTCATTACATGTATTACTTACCCTTCATGAGCATGTCCCAGTGTGGGTTACAACAATTTAAAATTCAGTGTTATAACTGTTAAAATTGATTACAATCAAAGGCATAAAGTGGGCCCTGAAAACACCCATTTCAAGTATCAAAGGCCAGGGTAAAGAGGTGAGTCTTCGGCATTTGCTGGAAGCTATATAGTGAAAAAGCCAGTTTCACCTCTGTGAGGAGGGAATTTCACAACAGAATTCTCTTTTCCAGGCCGCCACCACCCTGAACTTCTGAGAGGTAGAACTACTAAGATGGTCCTTTCTGCTGATCTTCACATTTGGGGTGAGGGGGTGTCTGTAGAGAATGAGGCAGTCTTTAAGATATTTGAGTCCTAAGTCGCTTAGGGCCTATAGGCTCAACAGAACAATATTATTGCCTATGGCAGGGGTGAGGAACCTCAGACCCAGAGTCTAAGAGAGGAATTCAGCGTAGCACTAAGCAGATTGCTCCATCAGCGCAAGCGTTACTATTTTCCTGATAGAATGAACTGTCTTCTTCCCACATGTGCTGTTCTGGGGTTTTTTCCAACCCTTCCCCAACACCTGTTTGTGGGGCCATGGGGGGAGGATAGGGGGCTTCTGCTTATGGGACTATTTAGTGAAACTGAGCCATAGATATTGCTCTCCAGGCCTCTATCTGCAGCCCATGGGACTCTCCACAGACCACCCAGTCTTCCTAGGCCACACTTCTTAAAGGCTTTGCCTAACACTTCTTCATGTGTTTTTGTCTGGTTGAAATGTGACCTTAAACTGTGATGACACCTCTTGCTTGCCTGGATGAAGGGATGGCTTGCTTTGCATGGTTGAAAGGAAGAAAGTTAAGAGTCGCTTTACTCTGCCCCCTTTTACTTCTGGACCCTTGTACAGCTTGGCATGTGCTCCCCCGAAATATTCCCCGCGAGGTAATGCAGGCTTTGGACTAAAAAAGGTTCTCCATCTTTGGTTTACATAGTCTTTGAGGAATTGCTTCAGTAATAAAAGTAAGCATTTCATTGTCTCTTTTGATTTCAGGTCAGATTGTTGACTTGTGCTAATTTTGTTTTTGTTAGTTACCAAAAAATCTTTAGTAATGCTACTGCTTGTCTAGATCTTGTTTTCAAAACTCACACTTTTCTCTATTATAGCTTCCTTCCCTTTGAATTTTGAATTTTTGCAACAAGTGTTGGCAATCCATCCTAATCTGTGGTTTTTTGTGTATTTGCTGTCCACTTCTTCATCCAGATAATTAATGAGGGCACAGGGCAGCACTGTGGCCTTTGCATAACTCCACTTAATACTTCTTTCTTATATTTAATCTGTCCATTAAGTACTACATCTACCTTTTAGTATTATTGAGTATTTCCAGTTGCTGCTCATCCAGACAAGAGCAAAATTAGGAGTACAAATAGTCATAAGATTTTGGGGATCAGTACTTCTGGACCTGCACTGTACAAGTAAAAGATCCCATGGATCTGGCATTTTAGAAGAACCACTTTATTCATAAGCACAGTTAAACTCTGCTATCAATAGAGGCATTTTCCTCCTGACAACAATCCAGTGTGAGTGTTGTACTTTGTATCAGACTCTCAGAACACAATTGGGAAGGCCTTGAGACACATCCTTTATCTTGTAATTCTTGTTTCCCTAAATATTTAAGGTACTTCTTGGAAACCCCATATATGCTGAAGTTACTTAGTTACATCTGTCTTGTTTATTTATTTCATATGTCTTCCTCATACTCATTTCATAAATATACATGTGTGATTCAATGTCACCTTCTAAACAATGAGCAAGAATGCTGCTTTACTACTACTACTACTAAGTTATTCTCAAGTAGTACAAGTATGTAAGATAGTACTTTGCAAACATCCAGCTGATTAGCAATCCTTGAGAAGTACAAGTTGAAATATATTGAGTTACAGTTAAAATCCTGCCTCAGCTCTTTGAGTAACTATCTGTATATACACCCTGAGACATGCACAGAGTTGTTTCTGTAAGACAGGGAAAGAATATTTACTTAGGCTTCTGATGATGTTTAAATAGAGGGGGAGGAGAAAAATGGAGCAGAGAAATTATAGTTCGAGGCGACATTTTAGGGGAAGTGTCATAGAAATATATAAAATGACTAGCAATAGTATTTATTACAAAATTGAGATTAATTGATACAGACTTAGGCATTGTTGCTCATCAAGGCATTAAAAATCTAGATCAGCATTTATGATATACTGCTGTATTGCAGAGCACTGTTTTGGTTTTCCTTTTGAGAGTGGGATTGATGGCTGGATCAGCATATTTTTTGCATAATATTGTTACGGCAGTATACAACTTATATTTTATGATCACCCAGTAAAGCAGACAGGCTTCATACCTTATAAGAAATTATTATTTCTTTGTGTAAAACCAAAAAATGGCAAAAAACAGAAAAAATATTCACCAAAACCCAAATCACTCATATCTATATAGCAAAGGTTTGTTGAAATTTTCTCCCCTTTACTGCAGTTCTCTTAAATACACATTGGTAGTTAAATGTTAACTATTTCAAGAATGGGTGCCAGTTTGTTTCTAGGGTGGTATGCAATAATAAAATGCAGGAATCAAACATTCCCACTTGACATGGGGCCTTTGAAATTTCTATGCACTTTTGAAAATGTATTGAAATAGTGATTTAGATTATTTGAGGCTTTGGCCCAAATGAGCTCTGAAAATTTCCCCATTCCTTTGTGTATCTTAAGCATGGCCAGAGATTGCCTTTTTACATTCTTGGCAAGTAGGATGCAGTGTTTCTAGTCCTGGTAAGAATCACCTATAGGAAAGCTAATGTAGTGCTCAAAGCTGGAGAAGTAATTGTGTGAACAAGTTATTTACTGAGGGCTTTATATAGTATTGACATTTTAAAAATCTAAGAAATTTGGGAAGTAGCCTAATCCTAGACATTGTAAATGTTTGGTAAAAATGTGTGCCATAGAATCTGTGCTAAGGGTAAATTTTGAGAGAATTTGTTTCTTTCCAGTATGTTACATAAACTGTAAAACTAAGACAATAACAGTGCATAGTTTGTTATTATTTTATTTATGTGGCACCTTATACGCAAAGATATTAAAGTGATTTACATAGTAAACAAATATGAAAAACTTACAAGTGATCAAACATTCCCACAAAGTTGCCAAAGTACACATGTCCTGCTATAAAACTATTACAAGCCATCACAATAACACTGCAAGCAGCTAAAAAACCACCCACTGAGAGTGAGTAAGAGACAGATGTCAACACTCAAGTGTTTGGGTGTATAAAACAAAGTCACCACCTGGTGCAGAAAATATTTTGGGAAAGTCTGTGGCTCAGTGGTGGAGCTTTCATTTTGCATGCAAAAAGTTACAGGTTCAATATGTGGCATAGCCAGGTAGGGCTGGCAGAGACCCCTGTCTAAAAATAATGCAGACCTACTGCCAGTCAGTGTAGATAGTGCTGTGCTAGATGGACCAATGGTCTGACTTGGCATAAGGCAGCTTCTTATGTTCCTGTGTTATGCTTGGAGCCAGGTATGCTTTTCTGGGATGAATGTACCAGAGACCCATTACAGAATTAGGACTTGTTGGACTTTGAGACTTATTCTCAGGTATCCTGCACAATACATGGGTATTTGGGAGTGGGACCTATTGAGCAGAGTGAAACTAGCTTCATGTGTCAGATTAAACTGTAAGAGTACTTGAGGCAAACCATGTCATCACAGCTAGGTTTTCCACACTCCAGAAAAGTGGGAATATTTATAACCTTTTACAGATACAGTGGTACCTCGGGTTAAGTACTTAATTTGTTCTAGAGGTCCATTCTTAACCTGAAACTGTTCTTAACCTGAAGCACCACTTTAGCTAATGGGGTTTCCCGCTGCTGCTGCGCTGCCGGAGCACAATTTCTGTTCTCATCCTGAAGCAAAGTTCTTAACCTGAGGTACTATTTCTGGGTTAGCAGAGTCTGTAACCTGAAGCGTCTGTAACCTGAAGCGTATGTAACCCAAGGTACCACTGTAGTTAAAACTGGAAATAAATTTGCAGCATGGGAGAACCACATCTGATTTAAGACCCTGTAAACTTTTTATTGACATTAACTGCAGTCACATGCTTTCTCTCTTAGGCACCTGCTTGGGCATATATTGCATGTGCTTGTGGCCTTTTCATATACCAGTCTTTGGATGCTATAGATGGGAAGCAAGCGAGAAGAACCAATAGTAGTAGCCCTTTGGGAGAACTTTTTGACCATGGCTGTGATTCACTGTCCACAGGTATTATGTCATATATTACTGAAATATAAGGGTCTGTTAAGTGGTTTATACTTTGAAGGATACTTGGGATACTGAACTGCTGCTGGGAAGTTTCTGCCTTTGCACATGAGTCTGGGAATGTTCTGATCAGTTCACATTGAGTTCATGAAACAGTGTACCCTGACAGAAAGAAAAACTTTTGGCGCTCTGGCAGAATGAAAATAATGTACTCTGATTGTATAATCCTGTGCCATCTTTCAAGGTTTAGCTAGTACGTTTAATACAGAATCAAAATTTCACTAGGTGATTTTAATTTCTTAGTAAATAGTTTAAATTCTTATTTTAAAATGACAGTAAATCTAAAGTATTAAAATATTTGAACTATGATTGGGCATTTAGATTTTTAATCTACCCCCTGTCCAGATTCTTTGAACAAAGATGCAATAAAGTAGAGCTGAGTACCTTAAACTATAGTTAAAAGAAGTGATGGTTTAATGTGAGAGTGCAGCATGCTTGCACATACCACTGAAATCACAGGCACTTCACGCCTGCACCTGCCATGTTGCTGGAAAGCAGACCATACATAGTCTGGTTTAGTCTTGCATCCAAACCTGGACTCATGAATCCTTCCCACCCCACAAAAAAACCCCACAAACCATAAGTGGTTAGCATACCTTGGTTTTTCCACGTGTTTGGAGAGAAACAAACCACAAGCCCAGGTTCTGGGGTAATGCATTCTATGCCACTCTGTGGTTTGTTTCCTGGCTGGAGCACTTAGGATGCTACACATTCACATTAAACAATAGCTTATTTGAATTATGGTTCAATGTGATGTGCAAACTGATCTGAGTCTTTTAGTTTCATTCTCACTTCATTATTGTTGAAAAGCACCATGGTTTTCCAGTTCCCCTGGAATTTCAAACAAATCCTAGACATCAGAAGGGAGTTTATGAAAGATTATAAGGTTGTTTAATAAGATGCCAGAAATTGAGTTAGCCTACATGCTACAACTCAGGGAAGCTCCTGAGCCTCAGGAACAAAGGCTTTGTGCAATCCCTCAACTTGTCCAACCAAACTTGAAGCCAAGTGCACCTTCGGCAGAGTCTCTCTGAGCTCTTACCTGTGTCCATGTGATAGACCTCCCTTAGTCTCAGCCCTGTTCCTGTAGGTGGAAAGGACTTACAGAGATTATATGTCGAAACACTGCTTTGCTTTAACTTGGTCCAGTCCCATCCACACATGGTCAGTGATTGCAAGTGCCTAAGACTCAGAAGCTTCACAAACTGTCCTGTAGGCTAGCTCAGGGACTGCACAATTCCTTGAAGCCCCCAAAGTAGCTTTAACAGGTTTTTTAAAAACATTATCTAAGATGTGACTAGTGTGCAAAATTTGGGTACAAAGCACACACACACACACTGAAACTGTATGTGTAATTTTCTTAGCTGTTGGACCATTTTGTCGAACTCACTGAACATCCAAATTTTGACATGAAAATTGAAATTGTGATATTTTAGCACAGTTTTGCTGTAAGTTGGATGTTAAATATAAAATAGAATAAAACTTTTAGTTAAGAAATAATGTTTAGTAAAACATTATTTAGCACCCCTAAACCTACTAAACAGAATAAAACATGAAGAACCTCTGATAAAAACACTAAACAGTCTCATCCAGTTGCAACCAAAATTAGCTGTGCTGCTTAAAGTGATGCTTAATGCTATGATACATTAAGTACCAGTAGTTGAGTTCCTGTCTAACAACCTGTGTACTAAGTACTTTGCTACAAAAGGGCAGCAAAGTGAGCAAAGCTATTTCAAATACTGCTTCATCAATTTCACGCTCCTTTACCTTGATTAGGGGAAGCAGGAGGAATTATAACACAAGAAAAGGAAACAAATGTGCTTAATCCTAATAGTCAGATTTCTCCTCTTTCCTATTATGTTTGCAGAATTACAGTATCAATCTAACAATTCTGGATCTGCTGTAGTGCCACATTAACTTAACCATAACAGAATTGGGCTGCCCAGTGGTTATGAAATGTTACTTACCATGCAGTTGTCTTATGTGTGTCCGCTTGGAAGTAAATCTCACTCCATTCAATGAGACTTACTCCCAGACAAGTGTGTTTAAAATTTGCAATCTAAATCATGCAGTTATTAAAACTCAATGGTAATTTTATTTTCATATTTAAAATGTGTAACAGTATAAATTCTCATGGAACTGAGAACCCACCAGTTTTCTCTAGTTTAGTTACTTTGACTGTTGAAATTTGTTTCTGACTATACTTTATGCATATATTTGATCTTGAATCTTAAAATTCTTATGACCATGCATCAAAAATACAGAGCAGTAAGTAAAAGAGAGTGCCAACTGCGTACTACAGACTATTGAACACATTTGTTTGTTCATTCTTTGCTTTTGAAATCTGTAATCTATGCTCATTTTAACTGATTTTTTTCTGCAGTGTTTGTGGTTTTGGGAACGTGTATTGCTGTGCAGCTGGGGACAAATCCTGACTGGATGTTCTTTTGCTGTTTTGCTGGAACGTTCATGTTTTACTGCGCACACTGGCAGACATATGTCTCTGGAACATTGCGCTTTGGAATGTAAGTAAACCACCTAAGAGAGAAACCTAATATTGCCAAACATTACACTGCTAAGTGATTAAGTCAGTCAGAAGAAACATGCAAATCTGTAATCTATGGAAGAGTATATTGAAGCAATGTTTTGGCCTAAACAAAAGTAGTGCTAATTAAATTGTTCTTTCAGATAGGCACCTTTTCATCATAGTGAATAATCAGGTTGAAAATAATCATATGCAGAGGCACCAACTTGCACCAGAGATTGGGGCAGTGTCACACACATGATGTCAGGAGGCGGCTCAGCATGGTGCTGAGTGCAGTGCAGCTTCAGTGGCCAGTGGCTCCTCTCTCTCATGTGGCCTCTTTCCGTGGGAGGAGGAGGAGCTGGCCACTGAAGCTGTGCCATGCTCGGTTCCACGCTCGGTCTCCTCCACCCTCTCAAAATTGGGGCCACCAAAATAGCTCGGCCTCCATGGTGTCCCTGATCATAGAATTTATTAACAGCACAGATTGATTAGGAATAGTGTAGGAATTAGAGACATAATTAGGTGCCATGCAGTTCTGTTTTTTCCATTTTAGACCACAGTCCAAACTCCCTCCTCTGGTTAGCAGGGCTTTGTCAAGCCGTGGAGCAACTTTTGCACCTGCTGCTCATGGTGGCCACCGTGGATGGTGGGGGCAGGGAGGGGGAGAACTTTAAAAATTATTTTTAACCTCTCTTGCAAGCCTAAGCTCATTCTGAGTTTTGGCCCACCAGACGTTCCCTGCAACTGTTGGCTACTCGGGTATACTCTTCCTTTGTGATTTCCCCTTTCTTCCATTTCTTATACATGGCCTTCTTAAAACTGAGTTCATCTGTAAGCTCCTTATACAGCCATACTGGTTTCTTTAGATGCCTCCCGCTTTACCTGCTTTGGTATGCAGATACAGGCCAGAGGAGAGGGAAGAAATGAGTGGGAAAGTTTAATGGAGTGCACTGGAGTTCAGTGTTGCATAAAAACATTGCAACACTAGCTTTGAAGGGCAAAAGTAATTCAAGCAAACAAGAGTGTTGGGTAAACTTTAAAAAAAATGGGGAAAGGAAGGACAGTTGCCAGGATTAATCCCTTCTGTCTCTCAAAATTACAGTGGTGTGTTAATTGCTTAATATTAAAATTAGTGCCTCAGAAGGGCATTGCTTTCTTGGAGCATTAATAATATCATACATCCAGTAGAAAATAGACAAATGTAGGCCATTCAATTGCTAGTATGGAAGCTAAAGTTTCTCTCAGGCTGAAGTGAGAGTTTCTCTCAGGCTGAAGTGTTGCAGCCTAACTTTCTTTCTGCAAATTCTATGATATGCTTATTGGAATCTGTGTATATGTCTATTTTTTTCTATTGCCCACCCTTCTCCAAACTCAAGATAAATGTTATGTAGCTGTTTTATGCAGTGATTTCATGCAATTGTCTTTGACCCACAATTCTGGATTTTGGTGAGCTCACTGAACTCCAGCTTAGGGAGTCACTAGGCTGTCACTGGGTTAGTTAGTGCATATCATGAAATGAAACCCAAGCTTGAGTGTAACACGAGGTGAGACATAAGCTTAGCAGCTTTGCTGGCAAAAAGAACTACATAATATTAAATAACACATCTTTAAATATATGCTATACATTTACATTTTTACAGTTTGAAATGTACACTAATTAACCAAGTTTGTTTTATTTGACAAAGCAAGAAAGAACAAGCATTCTGTTCTGTAACCTTTAAGTAAATGTGTTATACACTTCGAAAAATATGATTAGTTCATTTCAATCTGGTAGACTGTGCTAGTTCAGCTAGCTTTGTTTCATTAGGTCTTCTCTTTTATTTAAATGCAAATGTTTTATTATAATGGCCTAAAAATGGACTTGAGTAGCTGCGCTGAGTATAACTAATGCTGACTATTACCCAAATGTTTAAACACAGCATTCAAAAAATCAGATGCATTGCTTAGATTGCAATAATTGTTTACTTTGCATGTTGAATGCTGTCATTATTTTTTAAAATGTTCCTTTCTTTAGCTTTACCTGTCATGGAATGTTTCTCCTTTCCTAAATACAATTCACGTTTTAGTGCCTATTTTTAATATAGTGGTTACAGATCACTAGTTAAGGATTTAGCAGGTTTAAAAGGCAAAAAGAAAAAAAAGAAAAAGTATTGTTTCCTCCTAAGTTATAAATTTACTGACTAATCAAATCAGAACATGCAAATTATTGTCCACACCCATCTCAAGGGTAGGAAGCTTGTTTAGCAATAAGTGACCTGACATCTTCTCGCATTTGGCTTTTCTGTCTCCTATCCTCATTGCGGTGCTACAAGGTATAATGCTAGTGTCACCAGTTACCATTCATACAATTTGAAGAGTACATTTTTACTAGATTCAAAGCTTCATAGGTAATGTTAAAGCAGGAATGATAGTTGGGGGGAACAAGCCTTAACAATACATGGTGACCGAAACATTAGCTAAATTTGAAAGTAGACTGTCAGCCTTAACGTGGAATATTTTAATATAAAATAGATGCACAGCCCCCTTACATTCTTCTTACTGCTTTATTTACAAAGAGACCAGTGTAAGTGCTTAAGGAATCTAGTGTGAGTAAAGCTTCCTTCTTATAGCTGCTTTTCCTGAGTACAGTGGTACCTCAGTTTCTGAACTTAATGTGTTCTGGAAGTCCGTTCTTAAACCAAATCTGTTCTTAAACCAAGGTGTGCTTTTCCTAATGAGGCCTCCCGCCACTGGTGCCCTTCCATTGTTCGGCTTCCGTTCGTAGACCAAGGTAAAGTTTGCAAGCCAGAACGCTACTTCCAGTTTTGCGGAATTCATAAACCGAATAGTTCGTAAACAAGACTGTTCGTAAACTGAGGTACCACTGTAAAAGCAAAGTTTACACACAAGTTTAAGTAACATGATTGTAAACATATTATCTTTATTTGCATTCATTGGGTTAAAATATTACTGTTACAACTGACATAATATTTAGTTTCAAATTTCATTGTATTCAGTATTGTTATTGAAAATGTAAATCTTTAATTTCAATTTCTGTGGTGTTTGCCTAGTAATTTGTATTTGAATTATGTACTGCTTTTATAATATTTTCAGACTCCTTATGAGTACAGTCCAAATCCATTAAACTCAATGGGCACTTTACCATTGACGTCAGTGGGATTGAATAGAATTGTATGGGATGTGGATTTACTACTGCTTTTCATTTCTCTCTATAATTGTAATTGCAACTGTCATAACATTCTGAAGGAGATTACCCTGATTTAAAGTCTGTATCCTTAATTGTGTGTGAAAATCTGTTCTTATGGAACTATTAAGCTGAAGATTTCTAAGCAAGCTGTTTTTAAATGTTTCTTTCCCTCACACATAGATTTGATGTTACAGAGTCTGAACTCTGTCTTGCAATAATTCAGCTTCTCACAGGAACTCTGGGACCTGGGTTCTGGAATAACACGGTAACAGATACAAATCAGTGTTACCCAATGAACAATGGCATGAAATCTCTAGAAGCAGCACCTTTTTGTCATGCACAGAGTAACTGCAAAAATGCCAATTGTTTTCCTGGTGATATTTCATGGACATTTGTTTTAAAGGCAACTCATAATGACTGAATGAAAAATAAAAACTCACTCAGATTATCGAACTTTTCCGCCCCTCTTTACTTTAAAACAAAACAAAAAAAGCTTTGTTTTGAAACTCTGGTGTTTTCTCCCTTATTGGCTACTGTAAAATATACAGAACTGACTTCACCTCTTTGAAAAGCAGAATGCCAGAGTGGTGGAACCATCTCTATACATAAGGTCTGGATTAATTTTGTTGGAACACCTTTGGAATATTTCCTCCCTTTTTTGCTAGAAACCTTTCCACCAGGAAAAAGAATTGTTTACATAGTTAGCTATCGTGAAATATATTGATGTTAGAAAAGTATTTTTACAGGGCAATCCTAACCATTTCTACTCAGAAGTAAGTCTTACTGAATTCAGTGGGACTTATTCTCAGGTAAGTGGGGTTAGGATTGCAGTTTTAGTCATGTTTTAGAGTTCCTTGCCCTCACGCTTAGGAAAGAGCGCTATAGGATCTTTCCTAACCATCTTTGTAATAGTGATGTAATTTCCTCATAAACCGAAGTTCCATTGCCAGCTTCCGTTTACCTAGATATTAGGAAAGTAAATTCAAGCTCTTAGAAGGGGTTTTGAGCTTTCTGTTGCTTGGTAGAATCCCGTATGAATATGTTATTTCTTCAAGATGACATAATTCTAAGAAAGCAACTAAACTTGGGTCTTCTGAATCTCTCAATATCTTGCTTAACTTTGCTGTCCTTTTCTTGCACCTCTTTCTATTAATATTATATGTGAAAGCAAAAGTCATTTCACACAGAAAGATTGCTGGAACAACCTTTCTCAGTCTAATTTGTACCTGTTGCCAAGTAGCATATGGGTGTTGTTTTTTTCAGTACTTGCTAAACTTAGGGATTGAAGTCTGTTTCACTCCTGATACCGTCAAGCGGGGTTGGGTTGGGGAGTCCCATTCCAAACAAGACTCTCAGGCACATGGGCATGGGAGCTAGCTGTACTCTGTTCATACCGAAAGGAAATACTGATTACCTTGGTCAAGCATAACTGGCATATTGTATGAAGCAGCATAAAGTTTGGATGACTTGGTGTGGGGCACAAAACACGCTGCAGAACAGACTGCTGGTAAGTTTGAAACAGAGAGTCAGCTGTGCCAGCATGTAGGATCAGTAAGGCGGGGGGGGGGATAGCATTTATATCATGCTTTCAGCTGTTCAAATGCATACATGGGGTCTGTAATCCTTATAGCAACAATGTAAGGTCCTGAGGAGGACAGATGCTGGGGCATAGTAGCTTCGCTGAAACCTTGTAGTGAGTAGTGGTTGAGGTGGCATTTGAACTGAAGACCTCCTGGTTTGAGGGATGCTCATACCGTAATAAAACTCAACAGGACCCTGAATATTTTTTTCACGAGTTTTACAACTAACTTGCCCCAGCTCTGTGGAGCGGCTGTCATTTTTATTTCTATATTCATATATGCATCTGATCAGATTTTTTTAAAAAAGCAAGACAAAATGAGTACATGGCGAAATGAGGACTGAGGTAGAATGGCTCCTGGAGTTGCACATAACTGACTGAGCATTTTGTGGTAAATAAGCTGCACCCGTGAAAACTATTAGACAGAAGGTGTCCCACTTGGTTTCAGAGTATGCACCACCACAAGTGGTCTTTCTCAGGTGCAATCTTTTAAAATTCCCCATCTCAGTCTAATAGAGCTGCGTTCCACTAAATAGAAAGATTTAAAAGCTTGCACCCATGAAAATAGTTTTGGAGGGAAACCCAATGCCCACCTGAACACCCTTGGGTTGGCAGCATTCTTTGTAGGGGCTACCTGCCCCCGTTGATTTTTACACATACTGCCATCAAAGACACAGGCATTAGAAAGGCCTGCAACCCTCCCTGACCCTGGTTACCCTTGACAGCTTTGTGCAGCCAGGAGATACCGTATTTTTTGCTCTATAAGACTCACTTTTTCCCTCCTAAAAAGTAAGGGGAAATGTGTGTGCATCTTATGGAGCGAATGCAGGCTGCGCAGCTATCACAGAAGCCAGAACAGCAAGAGGGATTGCTGCTTTTCACTCCGCAGCGATCCCTCTTTCTGTTCTGGCTTCTGAGATTCAGAATATTTTTTTTCTTGTTTTCCTTCTCCAAAAACTAGGTGCGTCTTGTGGTCTGGTGCGACTTAGAGAGCGAAAAATATGGGTATATATATCCCAGTGGGACTTCTTCTAGTTGTACAAAGTTGTCATTTAGTAGGTGGTGTGTGTGTGTTGGGAGTAAGCTAGAAATTCTGACTCAGATTTTATCAGAACCAAAGAATAAGTTGGTGATTTGCAGTATGTGCCTCTTTCAGGCCAGTAATATGACCTGCAAGTTCATATCTGAACCTGTGCCTGGTGAGTTTAGCTGGCACCTCAGCTTTGTACATTTAATGTAAAAAAGTTGAGATCTCACATCTTAGATTTTAAAGATGTAAATGATGCATTTAATACCTTCAAACATAAAATAATGGTTAATAAAATCTGAATTAAAGCAAAAATAGTAAATTGAAATGCAGACATTATTTCTTTCACAAAGTCAATTTATAATAGGGATCCTCCCTGACACAAACATAATTGATAGTGCAAGTGTGGTCCTGAAATGCTGATCATATGTGGGACATAACATGGATTTAACACAGTTTGTAAGTATTTGAAGGGAGTGTTTTGAAAATGTTATAGTCTCTCATTGTAAGACTTCATATGTTAATCTATTATATTTTCTCACAAACCCATCCTGTTCCCACTTTCAGATATTTCTTCCTCTTCTGTACTCTCTCTGCTGCCTCAGTTTTCTCTTTGACTAACAGTGTGATTTACACAAGTTTGCTTAATCCAGTTCTTCTCTGTTCTTGGTGTATATTTCCCCCCCTGCCATCATAGATGAAACTAATTAAAGTTTCTGAACCAGTAATTGCATCTGCCACAACAGAGTATTAAATGTTATGTTAGCAGTGATTTGAGGCCAAACGTTTGTTAGAAGTTATGAGCCATACACTTAACCAAGTGCCTTCAGAAATTATGTAACTCATGCTGGGTGTGAAGACACTTTCCTTTGTAATTGGCCCTTGGATGCGGGCACATCCACATTTGGCTTTGGAACTTGAACCTATGTAGATTGTAGGTATAAAGTACATATAAACAGAAGCATTTCATTTCTAGTGCTAAGGTCTACATTATGTTTCTCTTGTGAAAATAAGGGAGTGCATTGGTGTCCATTAGTAATGCCTGTGGAAAAGAAAGAGAGTAGAAAGCATGTGGCAAATTAAGAAACCATGATTTATTTATTTTTCTTTATATTATGTACATACAATTATATACTTTATCATTATACAAATGGAGTATGTACACATATGCAACTTTTTTATTACTCTCTGTGAATTCAGCAGCATTCCTTCTCATTCATGAAAGACAAGACAGGATTATCTGAAATTAAACTTTTATTGTGACTCATGGAAGAATCTTAATCCATCAAACAGAAAGTCAGCACTGTCAGCTTTGTTGGCATTGCTCACCTTTGAGAAGAGGGGAGGGTACCCAGGAATGTGCCCTCACTTTCTAACATGGTCACCTGCTTAGCAGAAGCACTGTAGTCCACAGCCAACCATGGCCTCTTAGCTAATGAATCTGCATAATTAACAATAAATGGTGAAAACATGTATGCTGCATGCAGTCTTTACATCGTTATATGGGGCTACTCTGAGTATGGCTTATTCATACTACCCATAAGTGTCAGTTGGCCTATTAAGGAAGACCCAAACCCCACAAACTTCAGAGTTGCAACCAAGTGCCCTTCAAAAGAACAGCACTAGCTAAGACTAGTAGAAAACAGTGGTGTTGATGGTTCACTGAAGGTGTAACACTGCCAAGCTCTTCACCATGGTTAAGATATTGGTAGCAAGCTGCAGGCTTGCACCCTTCCTCCCTTCTCCAGTGCAAATCCCCTTTACCTTATTTGCCTTAACCAATTTGGTGCTACTCAGGGATGCTTCTTAACCAGAGTTTGCAAACCTGCTTCAAACCCTGGTTAGCGTTAACCATGGTCACTGCCCGAAGGTATCACATTTAACCATGGGAAAAAATAAAGGGGGAAGATTTATTATTGAGAGGTGAGGGTCCTAATGTCTTATCCATGGTTAGGAGACTGGTAGCAGTATATCAGTTCCATGCCTACGTGAATAGCAGGACAGAATGAAAGGAGAAAGATTGTGATGAGGGCAAACATTTTTTTCAAGAAAGTAAGACTCGGAATTCTTTTTTTTGGTGGGCAAGGTTTAATGCTTACATTTCTGCAACTGCTTATGGTTAGCTGAAAGAAGTAAACAAGTTCCAACTTTTCCTTTTGGCCACACTCCTAGACAGTCATGGTGTAGGTCGGAGAGAAGCAGAGGTGCAGCCAGAGGGGTTTTGAAAACCTGTCCAGCAGCCAGTCATCGGTGGAATGGGAAATCTATCTTGCACTTAAAACCAGTTTGCCTATACAGCCAGTTGATTGACTTCACTAGAAACCTTTAAAACACCTCTGGCTATGTATGTTTGACACATGCCTGCTCTAGAACTGTCTAGAATTGCGACCCCTAACTAGATCTCCATTTTCTGTGCTGTGATGTTAACAAACAGCGGTACAGCAACAGTATATCAAGAAAACATTTTCTCCATTGTTTTGTTTTACCTTGTGCATGATAGAGGAGCGCTGCCATGCTTGCAGATGGATTATAATTGGCTTTGAGTAATTGTGCTTTTTTGGCTTTTTTGTACCTAATCAGAATTGATGTGACTGAAGTTCAAGTCTTCATAATAACCATGCATTTACTGGCAGTGATTGGAGGACCAACATTTTGGCAAGCGATGGTAATTCTGTTCATCTTGTATATCACATGTAACTTACATTGTTTATTTTCCCCAACCCATTTTGTTAATACATTTAGAACAGTATCTCTTTCCTTTTTGTTGGAGAGACCTTCCCATTTTGGCCATACTGCACTGGTTCATCCCACAAGATATTTAAAGCCATCATTCTTTTGTATTATGTGCTGCCATTTAGGCAGAGGGAGCCCAACACATATTCATTAAGGAGAAACTTGGTCTGTTGGTTGAACAAAGCATTCACATCTTGATGGACAGTTCACAAATCTGCTAAATTTGGAAAGGGAGGACTATTGCAACTGGATGCAGATCCTGAGCGTAAATGCGATGGCAGTGGTAAATCTTTGGTAACTATGTCCGACTAAATAATTTTTTAAGATGATTTGGCTGCCATAGTTGCTTGAGCATGCTATATGTATGTCTACTAAAATATAAAAATTTGGTCCATAACATAGTTGTGTGTGTCTTGTTTTGTAAGCTATCTTAAAATCAAAAGCTAATTTGCTGCAAATCAAATTTCTGCTACAATTTAATTATACAATAAATAAATAAATAATATGGAACTTGCAAAATGTGAGTTAATGTTAATGTGAGTTACACTCAAAAGGAAGTGGTGTGTCAAGAAAAGCCTGGTTAAAAGTAAGCCTAGCTTTCTTTGAAGTATAAAACACATAAAAGTATTTTGAAGTCTGCTCTGAAAATTTAATATGGTGCTATTTATATACACAGTGGGTTTTTTTAGATTTTCTTGACAACTGCTGCTTATTTTGGTGGTTTCTTATACTGGGGAAAAAAACACAACTCCACTTGTATAGAGGAAAATGTATCATTAAAATGTTTGCTTATTATTTCAATTGCACATGTACTCAATCATTCCACTTTTCTCTCTAGGGCCTTTCTGTGGCACTTCAGCATTTGCCCAATAGTTTCACAAGACAATAGAGCAATATTCTGTTCACAGCTGATGGAAGAGAGGCAGAAGGCGGGGGGGGGGGAGCTGATACTATACTGCTGTTACCTTCTATGCCTTTTGTTAACCTTGCTACTTAGGTATGCAGCTCAGCAAGGGAGATGGAAAGTGCACAGCCTCCCAAAGAGTAAATGAATGCCTGCATAAATGTTTACAACATGATGGGAGAGAGATAGTTATGCTGTTCCTCACCACTTTTAAAAAAAAAAAAATTAAAAGCACTTCTTTTTAAAGCTGCAGTGATGGTGTGTGCAGCCATTATAGAATTAAAAAATGATTTGTTTACAGAGTTGTTTGTTAATAGGAAAATTTGGTTGATTGTCATTAATTGACTCATAGAATTGTAGAGTTTGAAGGGACCACGAGGGTCATCTAGTCTAGCCCCCTGCAATACAGGAATCTTTCACCCAGTATGTGGCTTGAACCCATGGCCCTGAGATTAAGTTTCATGCTGTACCAACTGTGCTATCCCAGGTCTTGGCTTAGTTTGGATGATTGTTCAAGTCATCATAAAACATGGTTTATGAAGCTGTGAAGCAGTATTTACTTAATTTAATTAATTGTTAAATTTCTATACTACCCTTCACCCAAAGATCACAGGGCAGTTGACAATATAAAAACACAAAAATACATACCAAACAACCAACAATAATCCCCCACACCACATTTTAAAAGGCCATAGATGGTTTAATTAGCCAAAAGCCTGTATTAGGGTTGAGTGTCCCACTCCTTCCCCTAATCTCATTGTGTGCCAGCATTGGTGTGAAGTTGCTGTTACACTCAAACTGTGGGACTTTGATTTAATGCCAAAGGGCGTGGGATGTCCTGCTCCCCACTGATTTGTCAAATGGCTTTTGCAGAACCATCTGTGTGTGCGTATGTTGCCAGTGTGACAAGACCACCCTCTAGTGTCTGCCACTGACAAGGAACTAATGGCCACTGGGATGTTGCACCCCCTGCCTGCCAGGAAGAAGACATGGCAAGGGGAAGATCAGCCTGGTTCCATCCATTAGCCAAGGAAACAGCTGTTCCAGGAAATTTGTTCCCCACCTCTTACGCTTAAAGAGAACACTGCTACAACTGTCAGTTGTCCTGGGACTTGTGAGAGCATCCATCAGCTTACTAGGCTGTGTATGTGTGAGCTTGGGTGGATTTGCTTTATTACCCCTTACTTGTAAACTGTCTTGAGAATCATTTGATTGAAAGGTGAGGTATAATCTTCAAATTAAATAACAAGCCCCTTTTGTTTCTTTACAGTTCTCTTGGTTTTGTTAAGTTCATATCACTGTTTTTCAAGTACTGTTCTTAGTTCAAATTTCAGGGGAAGAGTTTCAGAATAATACCGTAGAGTAAGTGCAACATCCCTACCAGCTGTAGTTTGGTGGTGGTCAGGATTTTGCAAATTAATTATATAAAACAGATTGACGGTGGCTGTTCAGAATTGACAAAAGGAAGTTCTTTTTCCACATAATGCTGTTTTGCCTAGGGGATTGAAAATGCCACAAGATCCAGTGATGGCCACAGGCATAAGTGCCTTAAAAACAGAATTTGATAAATTCATGGAGGGTTGATCAACAATGACGGTTATGCATGATAATGGAACCATCATTTTTCAGGGACAGTATACCTTTGTCGGATGCTGGAGACAAACAACAAGGAATGTCGTCACCCTATTGTTTAGCTTTACAAGCATCCCAAGAACATCTCTCTGGCCACTGTCCAGGGTACAGAAATTGACCATGTTTTCACCCAGCACTGCAGCCCCGTGTGCTTATTTTTCTATTTGCTTTTCTTCATTTCTAAGCTCTTAACATGAAAATTTGAAATATATTGAAATGTCCTTTCCTAATTCTTTAGACATATCCTATCTAGTCTGGCCTCTATGTGACTTCCAATTTCTTTATTCATATTATTTAATGTATATCTCACCTTCCCTATAGGAACTCAAGGGGATGTGCAGGTTCGCCCCCTTTTTTCCTTCAGAACAACTTTGTAAGGTAGAGTAGGGTGAGAGTAGAGTGGGGATTTGAACCCTGCTCCTGCCAGTGGCAGGTCAACATTAACTACCACACCATACTTCATGGATCCTGGTTTCTGACCACCTCAGAATGGAAACCTAAATACTGACTCCTATGTCCATTCAGTACTGTCTGCTCTCCCCAGGAATAAGTTCTCAAATACTGATATTTCTCCTGTGTGTCATCATGGATACAGGTCTTCAGCTTTCTGAAAGGTAATGTGTGAAAGAATATTGTACCCCCTGTTGTTCCTAGGTAGTTCCCAAATACTAGATTTGGAAAAGTGGAATGTTTGAGTTTACTTGAAATCTAGAATTCTTTAAACTGTGTCCATATTTTTCTTCCTCTCCTGTTAAGATTCCAGTGCTAAACATCCCAGTGAAAATACTTCCAGCTCTTTGTACTGTAGCAGGAACCATATTCTCCTGTACAAACTACTTTGGTGTGATCTTCACAGGTGGTGTGGGCAAAAATGGATCAACTATAGCAGTGAGTTTTTCTTTACGTTTTGGGTAACTCAGTCTCCCTTTTCCCCTGCCAGTCTTTAGAATGCTATATGTCTTTGAGTGGAGTCGTTTTATTGGTATGGTCTTCTACTTTGCATACTGGTGTAAGGAACACAGTTGGAAAGGAGTTTGGCCGTTGAGTCCTGTTGCCTATCAAAACCTCTTTCTCTGTGCTCAGCACAGAAGCCAAGCAAGCTGCTGATGGAAGATATTGGCAACTTTCCCCATTGGCAACTTGCTGAGAAAGGGAGCCCCCTTTCTCAGTGGCTGGCAAAGATCATCATGTATGAATGTGTGAAAATTGAGAAGTGTGTGTGTATGGAATGTGGGCAGGATGTTTGTGTCATCAGCCCTGCTGACCACTGACATGGAGACCCCAAGTTACCCTTGAGGGAAGGGAGCCCTCGAGTTAAAAAATATTCCCTATCCCAGTCTAAATGAAACATGCAAAAGCTTCAGGGGCTTTGGAAATGAGGAAATTTCTTTTTTTAAAAAAAAAATCTGACCCAGAAGACCTATAATTTTCTGACATAATTTTTATTTTTGTTTGTCTGCTGGTTGTTTTAGGGTAGATGTTGAGCAGATTGATTTATTGCTCAGATAAGCCTGACGTCCGGCACGCTTCCCACCGCGCAGCTCTTGCCGGCCAGGCCTCTGCATTCCAAAGTCCACATTCCGAAGCTCTGAGCAAAGCAGAGATCAACAGCGGCAAGAGAAAGACTGCAAAAACTCCAGAGCATTCTTCAGTGTGCTTAAATAAAGTCCACTCAGGATCTTAGCAGCTAAAAGCAGTTTTATTTACAGCAGACTATCCATTATCTATCACAGCGAACAGCATCGTGAAAACACGTCCTCTCTCCTCAAAAGCGAAAGTAGAGAGGATGTGTTTTCACGGCCCTGGGCTCCTGCTGAGCTCTCACACAGTAGATTCATAGATTTCACGTGGTAAATGGTTCTTCATTTTTCACCGATGATGAAATAACCATGTCTCTGATCTACCACACTTATTTTCAGATTTTAGTACAAATGTGGATTTTCAATAAATGTGTTTGTGGGTTTTGCATTTTAAACTAAGATGGTTGACTTTTTAGTATGTAGTGATAGACATTGTTTTTTGTTTTGTCATCCAGATGAAAATATCTGGGCCACTTGTGCTTTAAAAATTCATCTGCTCACATCTGTTAGGCTAGAACTTGGTATGAATTGCATTTCATCCAGCTGTTTTGTGACTGAAATTGCACTTAGGCCGGGCATGCAGCACTAAGTTCACCATGCCTGCTTTTCTGTTAGAGACTCCAACCACACAGCCAGGTGACATCCTTCTCTACACTTCCTTACTGCCAGCTGAGTGGATTAAAGAAGGTAGCGTTAGAATGTTACAAAAGGACAGTCAGCCAGCCTCCAGTTGTTCTGGAGATAGCATGTTGAGATACTCGTTTCTGTAATATGCCCTTGATAAATACAAAGCTCTTTCTCTGTGTAGGGAACAAGTGTCCTTTCACCATTTCTCCACATTGGATCCGTCATTGCGTTAGCTGCTATGATCTACAAGAAATCTGCTGTGCAACTCTTTGAAAAGCATCCTTGCCTCTACATACTGACTTTTGGTTTTGTTTCTGCTAAAATAACTAACAAACTGGTGGTAAGTTAGAGAATTTATTTTATGAGGTGTCCCATAAATACAAACAAAGCACTTAACTCTTATTATTTGCTGGTCTCATATGGTATACTTTGTTGTGAAAGGTTTACTTTCTTTCTCCAGCTGCAAACAACGATTTTCCAAACTTCTTTCAAATACTGCATTTATGAAAGTTGTATAGTGGTATATGTAATGATACGCCTCATTTGCTTCCAACAGAGTATGCCCTGGGAAATTGGTGATAGCCCAAGCTATAAAGAGAAATCAGAATTCAGTTGTTTACCCCTCCCCTCCAATATTAAATTATTCAGTATAGATGCTGAAATAGAATATTTATGAGTTTTAATTTTCCCCAACAGGTTGCACATATGACCAAGAGTGAGATGCATCTGCATGACACAGCATTCATAGGGCCAGCACTCTTGTTTCTGGACCAATATTTTAATAGCTTTATTGATGAGTATATTGTACTTTGGATTGCCCTGGTAAGTATTTCCTTATTTTTCTGGGCATGAAAAATATCCTTGTGTGTTCTTTCACGTTAATGTAAGCAACTTTAGTTTTGCAGCAGTCTAACGAAAAAGAGGGAATGGTACAGAAAAAATCTGGGCAGCATAGATAAGTTTCCAAGCAGTTGTTTTATTCTTGCATGCTGGCGTACATTTGGGGGTTTTGTTTTGGATTTGCTTTTTAATCTTGTTTTATATTTAGTTTATTGTACATAACCTAGAGAATTCATTATGAGGAGTCGAATATCAATGAATAGGGAATATATACCTGCGGCTGGAGATTGGGGAAGGCTGCTTTAGAGTTTAGAAAAAGCCTTTTGTTTCAGAAAGACAAGGATAATTCTACACTTAACTGAAGAGAGGAACCCATTGCATAGAGAATGGATACAAAATTTGCAGAACAAATTATTTCTGAGCCTTTATGTTTGGATGTCACATGTAACTTCTGTTCTTCTTCCAGATCTTTTCCCTTTTTGATTTGCTCCGATACTGTGTCAGTGTTTGCAATCAGATCGCTTCCCACCTTCACATCCATGTCTTCAGGATCAAGACCTTTTCCACATATTCTAATCATCATTAGTTAACTTGGTCACTGACACAATAAGAAATAACTCACAACTGTTTTCTACAGGAGAGATTACAAACATACTGAGGAGACTATGAAAACTGGAGCAGATAGGAACAAATCTAATTTATAATAATGTTGTATAACTTCTACTCTTTGTTACTCCTTAGCTAGCCTCCTCCAACAAAAGGGGAATCCCAAGCACTCTCCAGTCAAACATGCATATTGCCTGCTCTGCTGGTTGTGTGCCCAGGAAAGCATGCAGAGAGTAAAGCTTTGTCTTTGTAATTACCTTGACTACACGGCATAAACTCTTGGGGAAATGGATTCCCAATAACAGAGTACTCTAATACAGTGTGATTACAAGCTGTAAGACAATTTGCTTTCTAATTTTAAGAAATCATCTATTAGTAAAAAAACCTCACTTAGTACCCACTCAAAAAATAATAAATAAGAGTTGAGCTTGTGAAACACAGTTCCCCCACTAGCTTTTGTGGCTGGAATGTCTTTGACTTTTGAGTCTGGACTGTGATCTCATTATTCACCTGTTACTGATACCAGAGGTAGATTTTTAAGAATCCAAAACGACACTTAGGCACAGCACTGTCACTGGAAACCAGGCATTTAAAGTGCCATCTTTGCAAGCAATCCACTGTGGCTGGGCAGTCTCTGTTCATTTCAGTTGGGTGGTGTGTGTCTGCTGAATTCAAGTTGCTCAGTTGCTGTGCTTGTTGAACTGCACCTTTTATCTTTAAAATTCTACCCCCGGTACCCTGTGATGTGGGGGTGAGCGTCCGCATGCGGTAGTGTGGTTATCTCGGTTTATTTTATTTTTTAAAAAATAAACATTTAAAGAATTTATTTCTGTTTTCTTCAGTGGAAAGTCTATACAAAATTTACAGTTACTTTTTTTGTATAAAATTTATGCAAAAATTTATTTCCGCTCTTTAATAAAGAAGAAAATTCTCATAACTGTGACCATCCTTATGTTTATTTTGAGCCATTCTGTGGAATATTTATTTGGACTGATAAAAGTGCATTCCTGCTGTCAAAGCGACTCCATGTTTTGCACATAAAATATTTAGTTTCTCCTAGCAAAGGCTTCTTGCGAAGCAACTGGGACAAGCCTTGGCACAAGGAAGAGCACTGAGCGTTCTGAAGGCTAAAGGTGGCTGAGGGGCCTCAGGAACAAGGAATGGTGGCTCCAAGTGCAAAAATGGAGGTATGCCAGTGGGGCAATATTGCTGGAAGTCCTCTGGCCTGCCTGTGGAAAGCTCCATCAGGTTGAGGTTCTGCAGGCAGAATAGGTGCAACGGGATGTGCACAGCACATATCAGGGATGAAGGGCACAGGGATACCATATCCTAAGTCCCAGCGAACTGATAGGGCAAAGTATTTAGGGGCTGGCAGCTCCTCCCAGCACACTGGTAAATACAGGTAGTATTTACTCTTTAGTCATATAAATACTGGTAAATACAGGTAAATCTCAGCAATTCTGATTTCCACTCCTTTGGTAGCAGCAAAGGCACTTGCTGGTTTAACCAGGGGGGAACTAATGAAGCAGACTATGAGGGAAACTTCAGGAAGAGATACCCTCTGAAGTAAGTAGATGTTTCAAAAGAATCTATTCTTGTGACTGAGCCTTGGCACTAGAAGGTGAATGCTAGACTGAATATATAGCTGGAGTAGGAACTAAGAGGGCTTTTGGCAGAGTTGTTGTCACCAATGCTTCTAAGGGTGCATCTGCTGGTTGACTAGTCCCTGAGTTCAAATGAAGCAGGCACCAGCAGCCTTTCCCTTTGGTACATGTGGCAGATTGCCACCCTTTCCCCATTGCCCTTCTTTCCTCCTATATGAACAAGAATTTAGAGGAACACCATTGTGGAACCTGAAGAGTGAGGCACACACTCCACAGCTGAGATTATGTAGGTTCCAGTGGCATTGTGAATATAGTGCATTGCATTTCACAGCAGCAATTGAGTCCATAGCAACTGAGCACAGAAGTCAGGTAAGACAAACTGCAATAGCACTTCCAGTTGTTCCACCTGTAGTTAAATAGGTTGGTATGCTGCCTTTCAAAGTGGTTTAATCCTTACCTTTGTACATGAGAAGCACTTCCTCAAAGAAGATTTAACTCTTATACTCGGACTCTACAAGTTAGTGATTAAGGACTGAAATTTTAGAAGTGGATTCTCAATATATTTGTCTCTAAAAAGAAAACAGATATTTAAAATACAAAGGCAAGTCTTAGAATAAACAGTGTAGGAATCTGCAGATGTTTTAAAACAAGAGTTAACTGGAATTCATTGAAACCTTAAAATACCAGGCCAACTGGGAAAATATAACTTTTTTGATTTAAAACATTTTACTATTTGTTCACTTATGGTGTCACATCACAGCAGCCTTTGCTATCCGTTGACCTCATTGTATGGTTAAGCTGCCATAGTCCTTCAAATAGCATTCAACTAAAAGTCCTTCAAATAGCATTCAGCGGCTTTATTGTTCCCATTGGAACAATCTCCAGCTCAATCACATGCCAACCCCAATTTATAATTCATATTTTATGTGCCAGGTGAAAGGGTCCCTTAAAAAAAGAAAAGGATGCTTTGAACTAGCACCTCTCTATTGTGTGGTTCAACAAGATTAGGCTGCTTATTCCCCTTCATGGTGTCAATATGAGATAGCATGAAGTTTGCTTTTTAAATCCCTGTCTCACTTCCACATTTTCATTTTTTTTATTCCTTTCAAATCAGTTTGATAACCTTCCTTTCATTCCTTTGCATGCTACTACTTGCCACCACACCCCTTGATTATTATTATTATTTAGTTGCTTTACTCATAAAAATGTCAAAGCAATTTACAAACACAATGCACACACTAAAACCAATGCCAATTACCACAGTCATGAAAGTCTAAACAAAACAAATCCATCTATACAAATAAAAGACAAGTTCTGCAGATCCTGCCCCACCAAATACTTAGAAATCCTTTAAACTAAGGGCCAAAAGCCCTAGGTAAGAAGGAAAATTCAATATGTTTTTTTCCCTTAAGAAAAAATATATGGAACAAGTGGAGCCATTGCTACCTGGCTGAGTGCAGAAACACAACTTTACAAAAATGGAAATAAGAGCAATGAAAAACAGAAATTTGATTCCAACAAAAGGATGCCATTAGAAGCAAACACTGCATGAAACCATTGATTTGGAAACCATTTAATGAAAACAGAAACGTTTCCAATTAATATAATTTTTCTCATCACTTGCTATACAATCTTTGTCATTATTAACCATCCCACATCTCCTTCATTTGACTGAATTTCTAGAGTCCTGTTTTGACCAAGATGATCACTTGGTTCATTTCAGTTTCATGCTGCCGTTTTCTTAAAGAACTGCAGTCCTACTTCCAAGCTGGGCTGTTAAATGCAGCCAAATTTTAACTATATAATAGAAAAGCTCTGTAGTGCCAGTCTTGAAAAGGAAAAGAAGATTAAAAAGTAGAGCCTGAAGCCAAGCTGGCCTCCCATGAGAACCAGCGTATCCAATGATGTTGTTGTTCTTCCTAGGAAGTTATCTTTGTCCAAACAGGCAATTACTTTAGGCACAGGCCTGTCCATCTGCTGGTGAGCAATCCTGAGAGCCCAAATTCAGGAGAGTCTCCTTTGCTTCTTTTGTTCTTCATATTCATTTAACCTCTTCTGAAAATATCCTGTGAATAAGAAACAAAATGCACCAATCACTACATATGGATTTCCCCACCTAAAGGATCTTGACATCTGCTTCCACATTGCAGTAAAATGTTAGGAACATAGGAAGTTGCCTTAAGATCCATCTAAATGCTGTCTTCATTGACAGGCAGCAGTTCTGTCTGAGGGTGAGGAGCAGTGAATCAGTGGGGCAGTAAACCCCAAGAACAAGGGGATTGGGTACTAGGACCTAGAAACCTAAATGTTCAGCGAAATCTGGGTAGATGAGTTCTACAACAGGTGTGCAGCAATTATTTATTTGTTGCAGGGGATCCAGCTATCAGAAGAACACTGGTGGGCATAATATTCATTTTTGCAGCATTCAAACTTGGATGATTTCTCAGTGGGAAATGCCCCCCCCCCCCCGCTGCACCTAGCTCTCAACTGTGATAAGTAATTATGTATGGATTGTGGTTGTGAGAAAGACGGAACTCCCAATTTATTCAGCCTGAAAAGCGAGTCCTCGTATCCAAACTATATTTATAAGGACTGTTTAAAGGAAGAATGCTTTCACTTATACCAGTTTTACCTTCAACACTCTTCTTGTTCCTTTCTGCTTCTTGAATAAATAAGGAGAACATCTGCGTCTTCACAAACTTTTTCAGAAACTTGCGACTGGTCTTGGAGGTGAGGGCCTTGCAGAACGACCTCTCCTGGAAGCTGCCCTGACCATTCTTGCCCCATTTGATGTGTGCCGGATAGTGGCCAATTGTTTTGACGAAAAACTGCACAAAGGCGTCTGAAACACGCGTGTTGAGTTCCTCAGATGCTTGGGGGTAGGGAGAGAAAATGAGATAATGTACAGTTCAGGTCTAGCACAAATGTTGCTCCTTTCCCAAGCCTCAGGATACAGGACCAGACGGCCTTTTTGTCTGCCTGCCTCTCTTGTGTGTTTTCTTGCATGGAGAGAATCAGCCAGTACTTAACATGGATGCACACAAATGGTTCAATATGTGCCGATTTATTATTGATTGCGTCTATATACCCCTTAATCCTTAGCATTTCTAAGAGGTGTACATAAAAATAAACCATGCAGAGAATAAAACAGTAAAGAGAAACCATAAAGCTGAAGCCTGCTAGAATAAGGAAGTCTTTGTTGTGTACCTGAAGATCAGCATGAAGGGCACCTGCCTAATCTCAGCCAGGTGGGAGTTCCACAGGTTTGGACCCACAACACAGAGTGCCCCGTTTCTCGTGGTTACAAGCTATATTTCTGAGTCATGGGGAACAAACAACACAGACTCCCCGAAGATCTCAGCGATCGGGCAGGGATACAAGGGATCAGGCGGTCCTTAAGATATCCTGGACTCAAGCTGTTAAGGGTCTTGCAGATTAACAGAAGAAGCTTGGTGACATATACAAATACACAGACCCCAGGGAACAGACATTACTCATCCTTGCTGAGTTCTTCAGAGTTCTCAGACATTAATCTCTAATAGGGATTATGGAGAATTCACGTGAACATAGGTACTCTTCACTCTCACAGCCCCTTTAATCAAAGAGCTTTAAAGCTCTGCAAACTCATTTTCTTAATGAGGAAATGTCTACCACTTACACACAGTGGAGGCAGTATGGCGTATTAACTCATCAATTAACTGTGGCATCCTTAAGTCATAAAACCCAATCCCCTAGCATTAAATTGCTAAGGAGCTGCTGCCATGGAAACATAGGGCTCCAAAGGGAAGATCTACCTGCACCACTAGCTTACATATAATCTGTAATGGCAGAAAGAGCTAGAGATGCAAAATCGTCTCCTCCATCTTTGGAAAGAAGGATCTCCTATCTGAGCTTATCTGTCCAAGGACAGCCATTTTGGAACCCTTCCTTAATCACATTTCTCAAATAGCTCTGTTTTATGTATATAAAGGGAGACGGAGACAGGCAGGCTTACTTTGTACGTTGTTGTTCATCGTGGGCAGGGAGGACAGCATCTCGCTTTGTAGCTTGGCAGGCAAAATCTCTTCTTCATCACCAACCTGCAGAATTATTAACAGGGAAGTTTAGACAACAGCCGGCCACTGAAAAGCAGCAGATGTGAGGACAAGGGGCTGCCACTCAAAAACAACCCCTTTCTGATGGCACTTTCAGGTCTGCAGGGCTATAAACACGTCTTGCCACTAGCTCCTCCAAGACACATTCTGCACAACGTACAGACAGATGTAATTTATATGTGTCAGGGAACTGCCATCGGCACAGAGGTGAGAGATAGAGGGGGAATTGTGTTACAGAAAGCCTCCGAAAATCTTGCGAAGCAGTTCCTCTTCTGGCGAGGAGGAAAGCCCCACCTCCAGTGGAGAAGAGGTGCAAGGACCAGAGGATGCTAGAAAGAGCCTTAACACCGCACCTGAGCAAGCTGGAGAGGAGGGAAGCAAGCCCCTGCCAACGCCCATCATGCGCAGTAGCTTGAGGCGCAGGGAGGGGCAGAAAAGGCTGGGGGTGACGAAACGTTTATGTTGGGGGAGGTACAAGAACAGACCACTCCCGGATTCTGCTAGCGATTGAGCCAGACATGAACTTATGACACTCTTCACTGTAAATAGTTTGCACCAAAATAAAGCCTGTAAAAGACAGGTCGGAGTCCTGCCTGGTTACTCTCGAGCAACCACAACAGCATCTGACAGCATGGATATGCAGTCTCTCATTAGCTATCAACAGGAGCCATCCCATGGTATCAGAGAGGGTACTAAGGAGAACAGAAAGATTATCTCACAAGGAAACCAAGAAACAGGTAGCATGACAACCTGGGAGCTGGATTTGCCATCAGATTATACTGGCCTAGCCTGGCAGAGTGAAGACTGTCTAAATGATCCCAGGGTATTGTCTGAAAGCACATGGTCTAGTAATGTTTTGGAGGCTAGGCAGGTCTGAGTTCGGTTAAAATGCTATTTCTATTCCAAACAATTCCAATACTTAATGATACACGATGTCTGAAAGATTGGCAAAAAGATCTGTCTAGTTTATTTGGAGGGAGAAGAAACCATGGATAAAACATTAGACTCTTATTGACATAAAAGACAGAGGAGACCCAAGGATAATGTTGGATTTGGATTGAACTTACCAATTTTAAGAAATTTCCTTTGCACAGATCAACAAGGAGCACCTAAAAAGGTAAAAATAAAATAAGATCCAGCTTTATTTATCCAGAACTACTTTAAGAATGAGCAAACTATCCAGAGAATGTTCAAAATTGGAGGGATGGAAGAATGCAGGGGATTCAGAAGGCAGTGGCTTCAACCTGCCCAGTAATCATGGGAGTTTTAATTTTTATTATTTGCATTGATTAATCACTTTATACAAAATAAAAAGTCCCAAAGCAACTTGACAAGATATAAATACAACAAATAAAAGCAGTTCAAAACCAGAAAAGTGTGGAACAATGAACAATAGAAAATATATGAAACAGACATTCAGTAGAATATTGTAAGTCCTACCCAACCCGCTAAAATATGAACAGCACTGTAAAAGGCAAATTAATTATCAAAAGCTTGAGCACACAAAAAAGTCTCAGCCTGGCACCTAAAGACTGACAAAGACGGTGTCAGGCACATCTCCCCAAGTAGAATATCCCGCAGACTGCACTGGGGGGCACCACTGAAAAGGCCCGTTCTTGTGTGGCCACACTCTGAACCTACTACTGGCAAGGCACATGGGGAAAAGCATCTGATGAAGACCAGAGGATCCGGGCTAGTTCATATGGAGAGAAGTAGTCCTTGAGGATTTTGTTGTTTTGGGTTTCTTTGGTTTATTTCAAGGTTTTGATGCAAGTTCCTTTGAGAGGTTTGAGTCAGGCCAAAAGGTGTAAACTGACACCATCATAAAATTAAACCAGGAGCCAAAGTGAAATATTTGCACACACAAAAAATATAGGCGTACTGCAGTTGGATGAACAACCAACATTGATTTTATGAGAGCCAAATGCCCATGCCCAGCCTTTAAGATGACATGGAACTGGATATGAAGGTGGAAGTGATGAAGAATAGCAGCCTTCCCAGCAGGAGGACATAGGCGGACACCACAAATGCCCATCTTGGGTGCTGCAATTGCCCCCAGTACAGAGTCATGTTTTGCTCTCCTGTCATTCAATGCCACTTTCCCCTTACTTAGAGACATGAAGGACAGTACCTCTTCCATGGGTTGCTCCTGAACCTCGTCTAGGTAGCGCTTCTGGATCCCAACCATGAAGGGTGTGGGGCAGCAGACGGTGCTGAGAAGCTGCTCTGGAACCACCGGGATGTACGTATGGGCCCAGGTGAAGGGGTAAAGAAGAGCTGCAGCTGCATGGATGCACTTGGAAAGGGAGCTGAAATGGGAGTCATAATACTGATGAGATTATTACAGTGGTACCTCGGGTTACGTACTTAATTCGTTCCGGAGGTCTGTTCTTAACCTGAAACTGTTCTTAGCCTGAAGCACCACTTTAGCCAATGGGGCCTCCTGCGGCGGCTGCTACGCTGCCACATGATTTCTGTTCTCATCCTGAAGCAAAATTCTTAACCCGAGGTACTATTTCTGGGTTAGCGGAGTCTGTAACCTGAAGCATCTGTAACCTGCAGCGTATGTAACCCAAGGTACCACTGTACTGAGAAACACTCAGAAAGGTTAGGTGCGCACCAGGCCAAAATCAATTGAACATGGCACACAAATACCCTTATTTCATTACTTTCATTTCACGCCAGTAGAGAGGGCCAAACAAAGTGGCTAGATGGGCCACATTCAGTCATCCTCCACTCCAATCTACGCCAACAGGGAAATAAATTCTGACTAATCACTACACTTCCTGACAGTACAAGCAACAAAGTCACCCCACTGATTTCGGTGGGGCTGAAGCGCAATTAGTTTTCGGCCTAGACTGAAGCCAAGAAATTCACCTGAGTTCCTCGGCCAGGAATACTATCCGTCGTTCCAGCACTGCAGAGGCAAATATCTGGAGGATCTTCTCGGGACTGAGGCACTGAAAGAGGGCCTGAAATTCCACGTGTTCCAAGTGAGAGTCCAGAGGCCGTGTCAGCTCAATATGCTGTGAGGAAGAAAGCAAGACATAGCAGAATGACTATGTTCATCTATGTAGACAGGAGTGGGTACATTTTGTATCATAGGCTTAGCAAAAAACACTCCCCGTTTCCCCCGCACACTATCTCCAGCTACTCAATGAAGAGGAATCATTATGATCAACTAAAATTACTGCCCTAGAATTCAACCTAAATGCCCTTTTTGAATGTAACACTAAATTATGATTTTGCATTATGTGCACAAGTAGCATCAAGCCTTGGGCTTGAGTTCTACGTTACATCTGAACTCGGGAGAACTAAGGCTTGTTCAAATAGGCCAAGAATCTGATTTATTATCCAGATTCGTTCTCAGTTAGTTTAAACAAACCGGAGTCCCCATGAGTTTGGACACATGGCTTAAATGTTTCTTATCTCCTTGTAGCTACAGCAGGGAAGAGAGAGAAGGAACGGCACTTGAGCTCCAGGCTTGCTGCTGCTTGTAGCCTCCTGTTTTAGACAACAGTTTCATATATTTTATTTACTTCCATACTATAATGCTAATTTTCGCCTGCAGAGGGCAGTGTGCAAACATTCCTGCTATACCAGTGGCACCGCAAGAATCATGTGTCTGAAAATCCACAAGCTGAGACAGCCAACAAGCCAGGGCCATATGCATACACCTTACACCTGCCAGGATACATTTAATAGGTAAAACAAGAGCAAGCTGTGCACAAAGGGTGGGCCTCAACCGCTTGCAGTTTCGTGAGGCAGAGCACAGGCTTAAAAGAGCATCTCCCAAGTGGAATGGAACTGGTGTGAATGGGGTAGGCTGGGATTACACCTCTTCCACTCCCTTTGCTTGCCATGAAGGATGGTGGAGAAACTTGATCCAGTTTGCGTTTCAAAGTGAATTTGCCAAATTTGAGCTTTCTGAAGCAAAATGCAAAAAAGCACAGCTGTCATTCAAAATTCGAACATACCTGAATTTGGAGCTGCAGTGATCCCAAGAATGCACATATTGTTGGGAAAATGTGCATTAGAAATCTTTGTGAAAATACCATACAATAGTCCATTATATTTGGGGAAATTGTTTGCAACAATGTGCACATTATTCAAAACCGTGTGTGTGTGTTTATTGGGAGAAATTAAACAAAAAAGCTGACTAATGTTCCCAAGGATTTAAATAATAATAATAATTACAATTTGCTGCAGAAATGCGGAGAACTGAATTTCAGATCGGAAAAATAAGAAACTGAGAACCCAAAATGACATATCCTTCCACAGGCTACTTGCCATTCAGCAACATCAGTCAATGTCTAGAGGCAGCCCATCGGCCATCATCACTGACTGGAGAGCAGAGAGACAGCCAGGAAGCAAGGAGGACTGTGCCAACTTTGGCTGCAATCACATGCACACACTTACTTTTGAGTATGTCCCATTAAAACCAGTGGAATGCACATCTATTTCCTCCTCTTAAGCCTGTCATTTGCACATAATCCTTTATTTCAAAAGGCAACAGTGGTGCAACAGCTTCGGTAACCTTTGGACTTTCCATACTGCAAGTGACTCACTACAGCAAAGGCAGAGAAGCAAATCCTTGATTCCAGGCAGAACTAACTATTCTTGTTTATTTTGCAATCTTAGGGTGGAATGCAGTGTAGTCCTAACAAGATCATTTCATGGGCGCAGGCATTTCTGCAACATTCCCCTCTCTCCTCTCCTGCACCGTTCTGGGGGTTCCCCTGACCCTCCAGAGCAGACCTGGGGGAGATGGGAGGGTGGGAGTGCAGAGGGAGGCAAGGGCGGGCAAAGTTATGCCGTGCTACTGACGGTCCTTGTGCTGGCTTCTGCTAGCAGGACTGGGTAGTTAAAACCCAGATCTTAATTTTAGCTGCCCACTAAAAACAAGAGAGACTATGGCCTGCTCAAAAGTGGCAGAAATGTGGAATGAGGTGTTCTCTGAGATCTCTTTGACAACTAAACTAACTATTAAGCCATCATTCCACCTGACACTTTTGAACCTGTATATGGAAACAGAACAGGGTCTGAAAAGCAAGTAATTTATTTCTCATCTCTTAACAGCAGCCTAGGGCTCTATTACCAAATCCTGGAAGTCCTTCAGTCTTAATAATTTGGATTGCTGGTACTTTAAAGTTTGGCAAATTGCCCTCCTTGAAAAGATATCTCATAAACTACAAGCATCTAAAGGGCAGAGCGGGAATGAGCTCTTTTTGTTACATGGCATGGTTTTATTTCTTAAATGAATACTGAGGTACATGATCTCTCGCTGCCATCAGCATGTGCAAACATATGGTGAATCTAAGATGTTATAGAAGCTTTATTCTCAATAATGATGGAATTCACAGGTGGAGAATAGTTTATTTTTCCATATCTTTATTATGGGCAAAGGGAATTGTTGCAGGAGTTAATACTTTATTACCCCTCTGAGGCCGTGCTGTATCTTTGTACTTTTGTCCTTTCAGGCTGCGATGCTTTATGGGGTTATATGTTTTATTCTTTTTATTTCTTCTGCTCCTTTTTTGGACTAACAAATCGATAATTTTTTTTTGTTAAAATAAAACAAAATACAAAATAGACCATAGTAATCCCAGCCAAAGCGGCCTATAACTCTGTTGGGCCAGAAAATAGCCGCATCGACTCAGAACAGCTTTTTGACAATTTGCACAGAGAAGACAAATTTGTGTGGTAGGTCCAAAAGTACATACTATATACACCATACAGGACTTGCTGTAGGTTTGCCTGCCCTTCCATCGCCATTCTGTTTCCTCCTGACATTGCACTGTGCAGCAGGCGGATGCTCTGCTTGTCCTGTGAGAATCAGTAGACCTCTGAATACCAGTTGCTATGAGCTCCAGGTATGGAGAGTGTTGCTGTGCTCAGCCCCTGCTTTCCCACAGGGATCTGTTTAGGCATTATGAGACCAGGAGGCTGGAGTAGGTGGGCCTTTCCCCACTTCTCATGCTTTAAATTATCAGGTTTTAAAATTTATTTTCAAAGCACAATGAAGTTTATTCCATTTGTTCCCCCTTTCTCGTTTTTAAAAAGCAGAATCATTCTTTAAAACATTTCACAACTATTCCTGTAATGGGGTGAGAAAATGTCGTTTAGTGACAATAACGTCATTCCAGCCACTCCGTCTTGCCCTAGGGTCAGCTTCCACTACAAAGATGAGAAACTGGCTCTTTCCTGAGCAAAGTCTGCAATGCAAACACAAGGAACTGGTTTCCTGAGCAAAATCCTGCAGAGGAGGTTTATACATGTGCACAAAAGCCAGCAAGGGCACTTCCACAAGGGTGTGACTGCTGAAATAATCAGTTTTCTGTGCGCAGTTTCTCTTTCTCTATAAAAGTCAAGCTGAAAAGTGTCTGGTGGAAATATACTGCTTTGCCCATTTAAGGATAATGAAAAGACGCTGATGCTTTTGAGGAAAATGCAGGCTGCACTCACTATCTAACTCTTCCAGCTGCCTTAAACATTGAACAAGCCAGGAAATCATACCAGAATTTCATTCTCTGGCAGCTGAAAGAAACAAACTTTTGACATCATAACAGGAAGTCAAAACTCACTAGCACAGAGCACAGAAAGGCAAGTCACGCTTTGTGGCTGAGGACCTAACTAATATTTCTAAGTAAGAGGACCTCTCCCTAGGGAGGAAACTTGCTATGGGCTAGAAGAGATGCCAGACACATTAGAGGGCAGGTCTCTTACACCTTTCATGGTTGCATCAAAGAGGAAATTTGGGTAGGTGCTGTTGTCATGTCCTAGTACGGCGGGAGGGAATCTACGTCAGCCCAAATCTGTGCAAATATTAAAATGGACACAAGTCCTGTCCTCCACTGTATCTGGCGACTTTTTACAAAGTAGAAAACCACATTCCCATCCCATTGTAGAGAATTTCTTGCACTATGATTCAGCATGCCAATATCAATCCAAACCACTCATGCTGTTATGATCAGACAAGCAATACTAATGGGGCAGGTAGATGCAGAAGCAGTCACAGATTTTGGATTTCTAATACAGTGGTACCTCAGGTTAAGTACTTAATTCATTCCGGAGGTCCGTACTTAACCTGAAACTGTTCTTAACTTGAAGCACCACTTTAGCTAATGGGGGCTCTTGCTGCCGCCGCGCCGCCGGAGCACGATTTCTGCTCTCATCCTGAAGCAAAGTTCTTAACCTGAAGCACTATTTCTGGGTTAGTGGAGTCTGTAACCTGAAGCGTATGTAACCTGAGGTACCACTGTAGTTATAAAGGACAGGGTGTTTTTGGCAGGTACGACTGTAATAAAAAACTACACCTACATAAATTCCCTCTCCTATGCAACTGTTAATAGCCTAGGAGTCTTTTCTTGTCCTCCTGAATGACAGTAGTAGAGCACACTCTTTGCGTACAGATTCAATCCCTCACCTGTCCAGGTGGAATGAAGGTCAGGTAGTATGTGACATGAAAGGCCTATTTCTGAGATCCTAGAGCAGCAGTGGGAAACCTGTCGCCCTTCCTATCAGCCCAGATTATTGACCATGCTGGAGGCAGCTGATGGGAGTTGGAGCCCAACAACATCAAGAGGAGCACAAGTTCCCCACCCCAGTCCTAGAGAACCACTTTCAGTCAGAACAAACAACAGTCAAATAGCCTGACCTGGTATAGGGTACTTTCCAAAGTTCCTGACTGTGGGCACGTAAGCCTCTCAAGGCACACGCTGGACAATTCATATGTCTAATCTTCCCATGTCAATTGAGTTTTCTTCCCCTGCCTCCTATCTCAACTGCAGTGTGCTTGCAGTGGAGAAGTCATCAGTTTTGTTAGTCATACCACTTTCTGAAGTGAAAAATTGTGGTTTGTGTCCATGACTAACAACCCATGTGGTCCATGGGTTTCAAGATGATAAAATCCAGGCAGACACATATAAACAAAAGTTAGCCACATAAAGGCTCACTTCAAATGTAGTACAGATGTATGTTTTGTGATGCTAACCATAGTTAAGTGAGCAACCCATTTTTAGTTTCCAGGTGTACAACGGGCAAACCATGGCTTAGAGCTTCTTGACCAGTCCCTTCCATCTATCCACCATTCCTTTTCCTAAATTCACTGCCATCTCCATTGTGCAGTAGTCTCTTCAGGAGGAAGCATGGCCCATAAAGTGGTTTGTCAATGCTCCGTGAATTGTGATGTAATGCGAAACCATAGTTAGCTCAAACTGCAACTTGCAGACCAGCTTCAAACCATGGCTTCAGCACCTGGTTTATCCCCAAGAACTATGTTTTTGGGGCAGGTTTGGGTTCAGATGTTAACATGAAACTGTGAAATTCAGACCATGGTTTCAAGTTAACACCTGAACCCAGGCAGAGAGTGTTTTGTGATCACCAGCTCCTGCCTTATTGCACTCCCTGCTGAACTACCACCATTACTGACTTATTTACTAGTCATGATAGAACCAGCTGAGGTTATTATCAGCAGCTACAAACCTCTGTCCCTGAGTCGGGGATGAAGCTTTTAATGGTGACCGTTTTTCCTGGTGCTGGAAAAGGGGATTCCCGTAGACCTTGCATAAAGGGATAGATGACAGCTGCAGAGATCTGCCGCCTTTTCTCCACCTCATCCAATATCTAATGGGGAAAAAGAAGGGTATCAGTCGCTTGACAGCCACTCCGAATCTGCTCGCACCCCTCCAGGGACTTACCAAAGAAAGAGAATTCTCAGCAAGGAAGCCACATTATGATGCACAAGACTTAATTTTGCCTCTTTCATCTTCGACATCTTGGTGCCAACTCCTCTTGTAAACTGCCTTTCCTCTAAGGGCATCTCATCCTCCCAACCACTCTGCAGGACTGGGAAGCTTGAGTGGCAGCACTTCCCATGCCTAGGTTACTGTACCACACTGGCTCTTAATTTTAATAATGATGTGCAGAGCACATTTCCACTGATCAATAGGTTTGGGATTACAAGGCATGTCATCTAGGTGAGATGGAGCCTCTTTCTTTGTACTGGTTCCTCATAAGGGGAATACCAGAAGTTGGTAGATTTAACCATGGAATAACGAAACAAGCAATTCTGAGCCAAATCTATTTTTCTGTATGTGCTGAAGAGTAAAAGGGATGACTGGGGTGCGGGGAGAGATAGTCCAGAACTCCTACCTTTGAAAACAGGCCAAAACAACCCAAGCAGCTTACAATGCAGTAAACCTCTGGAAGACGTGCACCTCGTCCAGATGGCTGAAAAAATCATTTTGCACAAAGGTTAACCACCACAAAATGTCATGTTCAAACTGCATGTTTATAGTATGCAAATACACAAAAACATTCCTATAGCAACAAGAAGAGGTGGCTTAAGTCACTAAACACAACTTTCAAGGCCCCTAAACTGAATTGTTGGTTATGGAGTGGTGAAAGCAAAAATACAGGGCTATTTGCAACAAGCCCCTTTGGGGTGGGATGTATTTCTTCTTTTCTGCAGCAGATGGAACACATTTTGTCATCTAGGATGCTAAGGACAGAAAGAAAGCCCCGAACACTAGACCAGTTTGAACGCCCTCCTGCTCTCTCTCAAGATCAAGAAGACACCAGCTTAACTCACTGAACACAGAAGAAAGGTGAATTCTGGATGACCCAGTTTTGTGAAAATCACCCACGGAACTTGAAAATTGGGTTTAGCAACAGGAAGCAATGCAGTTTCACTATGCCAACAGAGGGGGAGAGGGGAATCTCCTGGTTTTTTTATAAGCTAACTAAACAGTTTATTTCTAAATTTAGCCGAGTCCTGATTAAGTCGCAGTGCGCATTTCCATGAAGCATCCTCATGACACAAAATGAGCCTCAAGTGATTTCCTCTCCCCCCCTTACCCACAGCCTGAGACATGAGAATTTAGTAGATGTGAAATAAACCGGATGGTGAACAGATGGTTAAGCTCTTTGTCACCATAGAAAACAACCTAAGCTGTGGAGGGACCAAGTATAAACAGCTCTGCATGGATGAATATTGACTGGGCAGAAGGCATCTGCGTGGTGTTTCCTTTGGAGCTCTGACATGCTGAGGCTGAAGCCCCAAACCCACCTATTGCGGAGCAAGCTGCATTAAGTTAATTAACTTCTGAGTAAAACGTGCATAGGACTTGTGCTGCCAAGTGAGAGCAAACTGTCACTGCATGTAGGACATAGCACCTGGACACAACCATGGCAGGTTTCCTGGTAGTCCACATGACAAATCAATAGAAATCAGCATGCAAGTCCAGGGCACTGCTATGAGATACCTATTTTGGGGGCTGGAGAGGCAGGGGCGACACTGCTTCCTGAACTTCCGGTTTCACACTAAAGCACTGAAACAGGCACAAGGAAAGCTTCCCTGGGCACACGCCCTGGTTCTGAGTCTGGAGTTTCCTCAGAACACAGGTAGGAGCAATGATGGCATGACTCAAAGTGAGTCATACAAGAGCCTTACAGAATGTGAATATACAGATTTAAAGGGTAGCATGGGCTGGTGGTCGGAGTGAAGCATTTCCCTCACCTACAAACCTCTCCTAAAGCCCCCCTTCAGCCACTTTTCTCCCTATGTGTGTGAAGTGGGTTATATGTGGACACAGAATACCACTGGGAGGGGGGAAATGGCTTTTTAAAAAGGCAGTAAGGAGGCAGAAGCTCAGCCCCCTTCTATGGTATGTTTTAAAGAACCACACACCCAGTTGTGGGGGTTTGTTGGTGGACACCCCCCCTATGTCATGCCCTGTTTGGCCTCAAGACAATTCCTTCTTTATGGTCACACATCCAACTGCCTCCCCCTTCTTCTGAATCACTACATTTGAAGTATTTCCCACCCCTCAAACTGTCCCTTCAGCTGTTTGGGATTTTTCTTTGTAAATATTTCTATTGAGTGGTTTTCTGAACATACAAATAGCAAACATCAACATCAAACAGAACCACAGAATATCTGCTACAATAGTGTTCACTATGAAGTCCTGTAGATTAACTTAAAGAGTCTCTCCACAGGTCTCCATGGGTTGATGGAGGAATTATGGGATGACTAGTTCTGTTAACATATGAAATAAAGCAAAAACCCGTCAGTCAGCTTTTCTTTCTTTTCTTTTTTCTTTACCTTTCAAGGCCTTCAGTCTTCCTGTTGACTTTTCAACTAAGCAGCAATTGAAATATTTGCCCTGAAAGATGTGTATGTGTTTCTCTCTCCTCTCCCCTCCCCTGCCTAACATCAAAGCTTCATCAGCTGGAAAGTTGTGCCCTGTAATTATTATGCAGAAATTCTTATGCACACAACACTTTCTCATTTGTCCTCACGAAGTGTTATGGTGTGGGTGCATGCCAAGCGAGAAAACCAGGTTTCCGAGGAGCCAAGTATTTGTGTCACAGGAAGTGAAAGGAGGTACTTCTGCCTAAAGCTTCAACATCACTGTACGGATGCAAAAACTGAGACACAGCCAGTACATTGCCCAAGAATCATAGAATTGTAGAGTTGGAAAGAACCCTAAGGATCATCTAGTCCAACCCCCTGCAATGCAAGAATATGCAGCTGTCCCATATGGGGATCGAACCTGCAACCTTGGCATTATCAGCACCACGCTCTAACCAACTGAGCTACCCAGGACTAGAGTTCATCTTTCCAACTGAGATCCTCTGGGGGAAGGATCTGAACCAGATCACCAACCTTCAACTAGGCAACAATGGGTTCTTCAGCCACAGCAAATGAAACAGCCACATTTGGTTCATTAAGAGAGGGGTTGCAGGCTGTTCCGTGATTTTAAAATTTATTGTTTATATGAGATATTGTATCGATTGGCTTTGTGTGAGTGTGTGTTACAATCTCCTTGGTGTGGGTCTGTATCCTAAGAGGTAGGGCACAAACACATTCATTCATTCATTCAGTAAATTACTTCTTAAGAATGTACAAGATAATCTGAATGTCGGACATTATCACGACAAATACTGATTCCCAATCTGTGATAGTTTTCCAATTCAGCTTCCAATCACACATTAGAAATCAATTTGCTTTAAAGTGAGTCTAGATTCCACGTGCACAAAAATGCTATTATTAACAAATAACTGGAACTGTTTGACATGCAGAAATAAAAGTACATAGCGTGCCTCATATGTTAACCAGAACATCTTCAGAACAGTATAGAATACAAGGCTGGTCTTGTCATTAGACAGAGGAAGGAAACTGCCTCAGGGCTTAGAGCTGTGGCAAGGTGATTAAAGAGCTGTGTGTGCCATGTGGCCTGGCCTGCATCCCCTAAGCTAATTTGCAGTCTTCAGGTGCAGGGAAGGAGTTGAAGGAAGATTCAACTGCCAACCTGGAATGGGCATGTATGCCAATGTGACTTGTAGTTTGCCTCAGGCAGCAAAATCTCTTGGTCCAGCCCTGATCTACGACATGCACAGTTTGCAGCCAGTTTTCATTGTACTTCTAAGAGCAATGAAATCAGACTGTAAGCTTTGAATGTTGCATATCTTGTCAAAAGAGCAAACAATCCAAACAAAGGTGTTGGCTACACTAGCGAACAGAATGCCAACATGTAAACTTCTGAGAACATACAAACTCACTTCTGAATCAGACTGCTATGAATCAGTTTGTAGGGGAATTAAACTAGTAGACTGTGTTGTTTTCGGCTAACTGGAAACAAGCAAAGAGAAAGCTCTTATCATCTACATCTCCCATTTACAGGTGGATATTAAGAATATTCAAAATAAACTGAAAGGCAAAGGAAGAAAGGCAGTGCAGAATGTCTAACAGGTTAATTTAAGATATGAATATTCCAGTTCACCACCTCAAATTTAAGGAAGTGCACAAAAGAGGCTTCCTCAAAGAGGTCACAAAGTTTACGTGAAAGTGAAAATGAGGACAAAAAACAACTGTCCCTGCAGAACAGAAAGAGACAACAGACACTCTCTTGTGTTGAAAAAGGAACAAATCACAATGAATGATGGTTGTTCAGTCTAAGGCTGAACAGTGGGTGGAGGGAGCTGTGAAGACCCCCATTTCATCTGTACAAAGAGTAGTCAAGAGGCCTTTTCTGGCCTTATTCACAGCAGCTCTTACTTGAGGACTCACTGCTTCCCACCCCCGCCCTCCGGGACTTGGAGTCTCACATCTTTCAAAAGCCTGTCCCTTTGTTATCATCTGAGTTAAAGAACCAGTGACGAAGGCTCTGATTTCCTGTCCTACTTTCTGGCTGCTCTGTATCTTCAGCAGGAATAGAGAAACTGTGGCACTGGAGGTTATGTGCAGCCTTTGTTCTGACTTCATGTGGGTAGCAAGTGGGGAAACAGGAGGGGAGGATGGGGGGGGAGTGGGAGCGCACTTGTGCCCATGCTCCATCTACATTTGCCTCAGGCCTCCCCCCATCACTGGCATGATCCAGATTGGGCCAATGCCAAAATCACCACCACAACGCCAAGGTTTCCCTTCAACTTACGTAGGGAGTGCTCCAGAAATGGTCACTGTTGCAACCAAGAGCAGCCAGTGCCATGGAGGTGCACTCTTGAACTGGCACCACTTAACTGGATGGGGGGGGCAGGCAGCAGTGAAATCCGGGCTGTGGGAGTGCCAGCTGCAGTAGCAGGAGCCCTGATGGAGGAAGATTCAACAGCCAACCTGGAATGGGCATATATGCCCTGATGGAGCCAATCTAGCACCTGGTCATCATGCTCACACAACCCCAATCTCACCACCCCCCTGACTTGTCTCTATAATGTCCAGGTGAACGACAGTGATTGTGGTATCAGGAAGGTGTCTCCTCCCATTGCCTCTCTCTTTCTCTGCTCTTACCTTATCTGCTGCTAGGGAAAAATCCCACCTTGTGTATGGATTTTAAAAAAACAAACTAATACTTTAGTCACCTCGACTTGTTCACCCCTGATCAGAAATACGTAGCTGCCTGAACCAGCAGTCTCTGCTGGTCCTCTCTGCTTCCCCCTCTATGTCTGTCTTGTCTATTCAGGCTGTATATCCTTCAAGCTAATTATTTATATTTTGATCCCAGTGTGTGTTTGTCCAACTCTTTGCACAACAAAGCCCCCCCTACCCTCCCACTGTTCCCTTGAAGGAACAAACATAATAAACATAAAGCCGCAAGCAACTCAAGGGCAACTGTGCTGTGATTGATACAAACACTTAAAAAATAAAAAGATCAGTTGTTGTTTCATTTATCTGAGAAATTGCCCCAGAATTTGCATCAGATTGCCTTGGAATGTAAGCCTAGATGTCTCCAGAGGCAAAGGGCCTTGACTATGATCCAAGTGTCCTTTGTAACATACAGTGCAGAGCTCTGGCTGGTCATTTTTGATTTCTGCAGAAATGGAGTGGATCCAAGTCACTCAAAAAGAAGGCTGTTTTCCTCCCCTCTCAAAACTCTTAGCCACAACCCGGACCTAAATGTGATTGTGGATTCTTGCTTTTTGTTTTTCCTATTTTATTTGGAAGAGGTGATCTGAGGATTGTTGTTGTTGTTGTTGTTGTTGTTCCCCACCCATCTGGCTGGGTTGCCCCAGCCTCTCTCCAACACAAGAGTTCTACCTTTTTAGAGGTCCAACACTAGGTACACACACCATAGATGCTTACACAGTCACATATTTTTAAAGCTAAAGGCACTAATGACATAGCTCAGAACAGCCTTTGCCAGTCAGGTGCCCTCAATGTGTTTTGGACTACAACTCCCACCAGCCCCAGCCAAATAGGTTGGGGAAGGCTGCCCTACATAATGGTAGGGACATAACAAATGCTCCATTCTAAGCATGGATTCTATGGACCGTATTTTTCGCTCTATAAGACGCACCCAACCATAAGACGTACCTAGTTTTAGAGGAGGAGAACAAGAAAAACAATATTCTCTCCCTCTCTGCGCAGCGCCTCTCCAGCAAAGTGGGAGGAGAAATGGAAGGGGCTCCGTTTCTCCTGCCGCTTCGCTGAAGGGGGCACTGCGCAGAGAGGGAAACCTGTGCAGCACCTCTCCAGCGAAGCAAAGCCAGGAGAGCAAGAGGGATCGGTACGCACCGATCCCTCTTGCTCTCCTGGCTTCAGTGAAAGCTGCGCAGCCCGCATTCGCTCCATAAGACGCACACACATTTCCACATACTTTTTAGGAGGGGGAAAGTGCATCTTATAGAGCGAAAAATACGGCAAGTGTTCACCAGGGCTGGGACCCCACGAGACCCTTTACCATTATTATTTATTTGTAAATGTAATTTTAAAAAACAGTGGGTGTTTTTACTCATGTGGAAAGAGCTGCTTGCACACGAGGGGGAGGGGAACCTTCTTTTCCACCTCCGCAAAAGAACAGCCTTATCAACTTTTAAGTTGATAAAGGACTGTGGTAAGGGCAAGGGGCATGCTAGGCACTCTGCAGCAGCAGACAGTTGTCCCATGATGCATTTTATAAAAGTCGTAACACTATGCTTGGATAAGGGCACCTATTTTGCAATGGTCTGTTCATATAAAAATAAGGTTGTGAATTGCCCTGGGATCTTTGGCTGAAGGGCAGTATACAATATATTATATTATTATTATTATTATTATTATTATGCCTGTGATGGAGAAGCAACCCAGATCTTTGGCAGCCTAGCCCACTCTCCTACTGCCATCACTACTATTATTACTAATTTGAGTTGTTTTTATCATTTGAAATAAGTACATGACTTTCATTCTGCCTTTCTCCTCTAATGTGTAAGTTCTTTTTTATACCTGACAATGCTCTTTCATTAAAGCTCTGTACGTTTTGGGGAAGAATCTGGTGGTTTTCATAGAATCCCTGCCAAATCCAGCAATAGCCCAGCGCTGACAAGGACTTGACAAGTTCTCATGCCCTGGAGAGGCCCCAGTTCCTTCATCCAACACCCTGCTGCAGAGTCAAGAATTTCCATCACACTCTCTGCCCTTGCCTGCATTGCTAGGCTTCAGAAACAAAAATCCCATTACAGCTAAACTAATGCATTTGTCCATCGTATTCTCTCTGGGAGCTCCACATGCTGAATTTATCAACATTGTTTTCTGATAGTGAATTTAGGACTAAATGAAATCTGAGGGCCTAAATCACATCTTTAGAAAGAAGTACAAAGTAGTGCATCACTATAGATACGATCAAGGATGAATAAGCTGACCGGCTGGTATGTATTATCCAGACCTTGCAAAACCTTTTTGGTCCCAGTCAATTCAAGCCAGTTGTTTTGTACAAGAGCAACTTATGGTCATTGGGTGGGAAGATGGGATTGCTGTAGTAGTGCCTAGGGATCCTCTCCTTCTTGCCAGATGCCCAGTCCAAGATACAATCCATTTGACTATGAACACTTGGTATTGGGCATCTGGCACAGAACAGGGATCCTGCTGTTGTCATAACCACCTCCCTCCCTGAGTGAGCAGTGAGATTGTCTTGGGCATGGCATTGGGGACTCCTTAAAGAACAGTACTAGGGTACTGCAATTTCAACATTGAGACCTCCTTAACAAGCGCAGATCACGATTCATGGCCACCTTGGATCCAAAATATGCAACAGGGCAACACTGGATCATGTTTCCTGTTCTGACCAAGATTAGCGTGATCAGTGTGTTTTGTGCTTAGAGAGGGGAGTGCAGTTTAAACTGGTAAACACCCAAGCACAGATTTGGCACTTCAGTAAGGACTGGGGCTAAGGCACTGGATTCATACACGTATTAGCAACTTCCTTCTTTTGTAAGTCTTACAACTATTGGTCAATATGAAAAACTATGCCTATTCTGGCATACTACAAACTCAGTGCGGGGTTGGGCCTGACTGCAAAAACTGCATGAGCTCCTTGGATTAGCCAGCCCCACTCCCCTCCCAGGGCCTAAACAACAAACTAAAAGGAACATTTAAAAAATAGTAGTAAAAGAAATATTCACCAACAGTCGCCTGCAGTAGCCAATCTTCCTACTTCCATCAACATTGGTGAGAACAAAAGAAAAGGTTTCACTGTAAAAAAAAGAATAAAAGACTTAAGAGTTTTACCAGTCTGCTAACTATTGTATGGGGGGAAAGCAGAACAAATCGGCTACTTAAATGAAGATTTGGGAAGCAGGCTGCAATCCTCACCCAACTTAGCTGTGAGTAAAACCTACTGAATTCAATAGGGCTTACTTATGAGCAGACAAGATTAATTAGTCTCTGAATGTTTCAGGGCTCAGCAAATACAGTCTTCAGGTAATAACTCAGGAACCTTACGATCCATGTGTCAGAGAGATTCTATGACTGGCCCAAACATGTGGAAAACATGCCCCGCTCCCCCAGAAGTGCCTTCACACCACTCAGCAGAAGATAAGAGTGTATTCGTTTTCCTGCTTGGTTGGCAACATTTTTGGGAGCAAACAGATCATCTAAACCATTTCTTGCAAGCATAAACTACGATTTTGCACTGCAGCCTCACTCTTCTGAACATAAGCTGAGCAGTGGCATGGAAAGCAGGAGTTTTTTTTTATGACAAGTGATTCCAATGAACCTGTTAACTACAAGAATGAAACCAGCAAAGCAGTATTCCCCTGAAGATCTTGAAGTTATAAACGCAAACTGGGTAACATACAAAGGTCACGTTTTCAAGGCAATTACGGGTGTTACCAGCTTCCCTTAGCAAACTGCACTGCAACAGGCAAGCATTACTACCCCTTCCTGTGAAGGGAAGTGAAAGATAACAAAGGCTTACTCAAAACTAGGGCAGTCAGATGCAGAAGTTGTGTAGAAGGGGAAAAAATGAGCAGGTACTCAGAACTAAACTTTTACATTTGTTATGTGTGGCCAGTGCATTTCAGAGGCAGGGGAAACCCTAAGATTTTTATCACACTGAAAAATGTAGCATCTGTTTTTGTCTTAAGGGAGGACTATCATGATTTTAAGTCATCCGAGAGAATGGTAAGAGATTGTGCAAAAATAATCAATTATCACAATCTGCAGAGAGAGATTACAATGACAGTTTAACATCAGCCCTTTGCAAAAACAAAACAAAACACTCTCCGCACTCAACAGATGCTAGCTAAACTAGAAACAGGATTATAAAGCATCATTATAAAGGTCCACCGATTATGAGCAGGTGGTTTTACAGAATTTCGAAAAGGTTCTGCTCACAAACATACAATTTGAAGTACACACCATATAGTTAAAGCTGTATCGTGGAAACTAGCTTCTTAAGGGTGGCTGAGAACTGTAGTTCCATGAGGGATAAACTAGAGTTCCCAGTACTCTTTGGGAGAGGCCAAATGTTTTAAATGTGGTTTAAACGTATATCATGTGTATGTAGCACTATGTCTTTGCCCCTTGGTGTCTATTTTGCTTTCCTAATCTCTTGTGGGACAATACAGCGCTAGTCCCTTGCTGACTCACAAGTCGCACGGCGCTTACCTGTTAAACTCTGTGAGCGGTGCCCATTCATTGCCATCAGGAAAGCAGAAAAGGGGAATGGCCTGCAGCAACCTTTCCTCCTCTTCACGCTGTCCCCTCATCAAGTTCTCACGCTGAAATTAGAAAAAAAGCAAAAAAAGAGATGAAAGAAGTTATCCCATGATACTTAGGAGATTTCTGTTGAAATACGAAGTGCCTAGCTTGCTTACTTTCTTACTTGATTCACTGATTCATTCATTGCATTTTCATTCCACTTTTTTCTCCAAGAAGCTCAAGGTGGCACGCACAGGTCACCCTTCCTCATATAATTCCCCAAACTGCCCTGTGTGGTAGGTTAGGCTGAGAGGCAGTGACTGGCTCAAGGTCACCCAGTAAGCTTCATGGGAGAGTGAACCTTGGTCACCCAGGCCTTAGTCTGACACTCAAACAACTGGCTCACTTGCTATGGGGTATAAGAGTCCACACAGAAGATCTGAGTTGCTCCCGAGGTCAATTCTGACAGATGCATATGACCGCCAGTCTTATAAGGTGACATACCACCATTCTCAAGTAACATTTGTCTGCATTCTATAAGACTGAAGATCATATGTAACTGTAAGAAAGGACTTTGAAAGTCCTCAGTCCTTATGTGTGGATCATCATTTTTGTATTTGTAAGTACAGTATTACACTGCCAAAAATAGGATTACCACGGTAAGGATTTATAAGAGAATATATACGAAGCATGGGACGCGGGTGGCGCTGTGGGTAAATCCTCAGCGCCTAGGCCTTGCCGATCGCATGGTCGGCGGTTCGAATCCCCGCGGCGGGGTGAGCTCCCATCGTTTGGTCTCAGCTCCTACCCACCTAGCAGTTCGAAAGCACCCTAAAAAGTGCAAGTAGATAAATAGGTACCGCTTTCTAGTGGGAAGGTAAACGGCGTTTCCGTGTGCTGCGCTGGTGCCGGCTCACCAGAGCAGCTTCGTCACGCTGGCCACGTGACCCGGAAGTGTCTCCGGACAGCGCTGGCCCCTGGCCTCTTAAGTGAGATGGGCGCAGAACCCTAGAGTCGGACACGACTGGCCCGTACGGGCAGGGGTATCTTTACCTTTACCTATATACGAAGCACACTGCACCGTTAACATGGCAGCCTGTTCTTTGGTTCACACACTGGACTGAGAAGCTGGCAAGGCCGGCGTGGCATGATGGGATCACACCCCCCCGACCCCTTACTCTCATTTTGGGACAAGCATTTAAAGATCAGACCACCTGACTCGGGGGGGGGGATAAGGCAAAAACTGGCAAGGATTGGCTATCTAGAGGTTGACTGAGGTGGAGGTCCTTAACCAAATATCCTATTGTACCCTCAGGAAACAGGCTTCCTCCTGTCAAGTGGTCAGATTGCAAATGAAGGGAAAGACCTCTGCTGGAGTTCCAGGAAAGCCACTGTCAGTCAAAGAAGACAATAGCGGCTCAATGATCTGACTCAGCATAAGACAGCTTTACATAGCCATACTAGGGCTGCCATATTTTGAAGAGCAAAATACCCCTACTATATGTAGGCTACAGAAGCTGTAATATATTGCTGAGGGGGGCAGGAGAAGAGAAGAGGAAAGCAAGTCTTCAGCCACCAGTTATGTCTAGGTCTCATCCAGAAAGCATAGCTAGAGACATTTTGGCGAACTTAAAAAAATCCACCCAGACAGAAATTTTACCCCTGAAAGAGAGGATTTGTCCTGGAAAAAGAAGACACATGGCAAATACATACTGAAGATGTTTCTATGACTGAGATGACAGGAACCTAGCAGCAGATAGTACTTTGCAGAGGAAAACAGTTGCTGGCTAGCAAAATGAAGAGGGGTCTAGTTTGCAAGTGATGTTTGGTGATTTCACTGAAAGTCTCTTGAGCAAGGCAGTACTTGAGCTCATGGCACCTGCACAGATTTCTGCATAAAGTTCAACATGGGCCTAAAGCAGAAGGTCACATATTAAATTCACATACTACACTGAGCAGTGGATTGTGTCACTACACAGCCTGCAGGACACATGCATGAAATAACTTTAAAAAGAAAATCTGAGTCTGAAGCAATTCTGTACTTTTCCTCTCCATGCAGACCGAGTGGTGAGAAGGTATGCCCAGATAAAATGAAAGTGCTGCGGTGTGAAATCATGCTGCATGAAGCGAAGCCACAAAGGAACATGGTTTTATTCTGCTTTTAAAAGAAATGCTGAGGCACAGACTTTCGGAACGGCTGTTGCATCTTGTACAACAATAAGAGTAACAAGCCTCTTTCTGTGATCACTTTGCAAAGACCGGCCAACCCACTCAGTGACAAGGATTTCAGCCTCACATGAGTTTTTTCAATCAGGCAGAACTACTTTAGTAAAACGCGACACTAGATCAAGACAGCTTGGGATTCTGTGGAAGACCCCTGCATTTCTCTAGAGGTCAGGGTGCTTCATTTAGATATAATATAGCACTGAACCCTGGTCCAGCAGTGCTAGATAAAGTCAGGTAAAGAATACACAAGCCATCTCCTTAAATACAACTCCACACATATGAACTGGAAATTATTTCATTGAGATGCTTAGGCTTACAGCAGGGGTGAGTAACCTCAGGCCAGAGGCCAGTAGACCCGTTTGGCCCTCAGAGCTCTCCTCAGGCCTCCGCCCACAGGCCATATACTCCCCGGGTGCAATGTGTCCCTTGAACTGTGACATGCCTCTTGCATACCTGGAAGGAGCATGGAAAGATGCATGAGGTGTGTGAGCCGAAACCTCTGACACGTACATGGATGGAATGTAACATACAGCACAAAATTAAGAGTCACATCTATTGCTCTGCCTGCTTTTGCCTCAAGGGAATGTAGTCCCTGAGCTGAAGACGTTTTCCCCCACCCCCTCATCTTCTAGGATATGATTTTAACCCAGAGATTAGTGCGGAAGTGCCAACACACTTGGGACATTTGCTGTGTGCTCTTTTCACTGCTCCCACACCTGCCTAGACCAGCCTTCCCCAATGTCCTTGCTGGCTGAGGCTGATGTGCATTGTAAACCAAAACATCTGGAGGCACCAGCTAGGAAGGTGGGCCTAGGCGACATCATTACTGTCCTAGCTTAGTGACTTAGGGAGTAAGTCCACGTCTGATCGATGCCATTGCAGGCTTACAAGACAGAATGTGCCTCCACAATAATAATAAGTAAATTTCTTCAGATACTAATCTAGAACTCTTCTTCCTGACATTCAGCTTTGCTACATGGAGGGATTTATTTATTTTGGTACGGAGGAACATTCACTCATTTGAGCTCCAACCCCTGCGGTCTGAAGTGGAACAGCCCAGCCACAGGCCCCAGTCAGCGCTAGGTCTAAAAGATATATGTAGGCTGCAACAAAGATGGCTTGCCCTGCAGATGGCCTAGGATTATATTCCACAGCCACAGAGACCACTTATGTTGATATTCTTTCTCATGCCTTCTTGACACGCTGGGCCTGATGTTCCTTCCTCACTCCATCAGCAGCATCCCTCCTACTTTCACAATTACCAAGGGAGCACTTTCCTTGGCACAACTCCAATGGATAGAGAGAAGATACACCATGAAGCAAAACACTGAGGGACACTTCAAAAGAGAAAGATTGCTGCAGGCACTGGTTTTTGTTAGCAGGATTTTCTGCATTTCTTAAGATAAATCAATTCTACTGGAGTTTTACAGACAGGCAAAATTTTGCAATGCAGGCAAAATTCTGTGGAACTGGAGAGGAAGGCAGGCAAAGAGAATCTAAAAGATGTAGGATCCAAATCAGCATTTTTTTTCCAGCACCCCCCTCCCCTGCCTTCACATTTGCAGGGAATGCTTGGGCCTGCTGTCATGAATTGCAACAGCAAAAGTGGCCCAACATTCCAGTTTCCCTCTGTTTTGAAGCAATCTCTGTTTTGTTTTTTAAAAAAAACCATACTGCACTCCAACTTGTGTGTTTTCATTTCAGCTTCTGAAATGATACACACATACACTTGCATGGGCATAGGCTCATCTCAAAACAACACAGAGGTTGGAGTACAGCAGCCTTCTCCTCATACTTGACCTTTGGCCCTGGTCACAGAGACTGATGGGAACTGTAGTCCAAAACATACACAGAGCACCAGGTTAGGGAAGGCTGAAGCAGAACCGACCATCATGGCACTGCTTTGCTTCCAGCATTCATCCCTCCAAAGTGTAATATCTGAGGAGCGTTCCTCACTAATGCACTCCAGTTCTGTCATCTGGCAAAAGAATCACGGTGGGTATCTCACCTTTGGAAACTGATAGGTAATCTTGGGCTCGTAATCTCCTTTAGCATTCTTTTTGAGCGAGACCACAACCAAATATTCAAAGAACAAGTGTCCTGCAGAGCTGGGGAAGCTGCTTCTTTCTCCTGGTCTCTCGCCAATATCAGGTTTGCTTTCAGTAGGGTGTGCATCCCGGGATTCATCCGCTGCACAAGATGACATTGACACAAAAACAAGAATTAGGCCTTACAGAAAGATTTGAGGGACACATAACCATTTCTGAAAAAACCAAATAGATGATGGCCTGTGCACAAGGAAAGTGGTCTGGGCGCACAGTCACTGCCCTGAAAACAAATGCCTCAGGAGACAGTGAATTTGTGTTCAACTGCTTTAGAATGTATCTTTCAGGGTGTTCATTGGTGGAAGCTGGGCCATGGCTATCAGTGGTGGCTAGTGCTCATTGGAACTGGTGGGGAGGAAGGTGGGGAGACCAGCAGTAGCTGGAACCACAGCCAATGACAGGCAGAGATACCTCCTGACTGGTGTAAGTAAGAAGTAGGGCCAGCTCACCCATGATGGAAGGTGAGGCAACCACCTTGGGCAGCAGAATGCACAGGGGCAGCAGATCCGGCCTCCAAGGAATGTATTATCCACTGCTGCCGCCACAGCAGCAGCACAACTCTTGGAAGTGGGAACTGCCACCTCCTCAGCCAGTGTGGTGTAGTGGTTAAGAGCGGTGGACTCGTAATCTGGTGAACCGGGTTTGCTTCCCCGCTCCTCCACATGTAGCTGCTGGGTGACCTTGGGCTAGTCACACTTCTTTGAAGTCTCTCAGCCCTACTCACCTCACAGAGTGTTTGTTGTGGGGGAGGAAGGGAAAGGAGATTGTTAGCTGCTTTGAGACTCCTTCGGGTAGTGATAAAGCAGGATATCAAATCCAAACTCCTCTTCTTCTCAGCAGCCTTATGGCAAATAGGGGGCGCTGCTGGTCTCCTCCCATCCTTGCTCCTAATGTATAATTTTGTTTCCCCCTTGTTCTGGATGTAAATCTTCACACACACCTTTTTTCCTGGCTGGTGTGTGTGTGTCTGTGTGTGCCATTTTGTGGTTCGCCTCAGGTGCCAAAATGTCTTGGGCCAGCCCTGCAAAAAGGCAGGCGGGGGCGGGAGCTACTTGGCTCCACTCGCCCTAATGGACCAAACCCCTCTGAGGCTACTGACTATACCCACAATGCCACTGGTCAAGGCCCCCCATGGTCCACATCTTTGGCACCAATGAGAAAAGGGGCTCTATGCATATACAACTATATTTTTGTATACATCCTCCCTCACAAAAACCCTGTGAGGTAAAATAGGTTAAAATACAGTGACTAACCCAAGGTCACCCAGTGAGTTACATGGCTGAGTCAGGGTAAAATGAGGAGGGGGAGAAGCATTGAGCTTCTTGGAGGAAAGGTGGAATAATGGAAAAATAAAAGTGTTCACCATGCCAGAGATGCCTATGGGGCAAAAAGTATGATCAGCACATCCCAGAATGCTACTAGGATCAGGAGCCAAATTCAGCGGAGTAAGATTATGCAAACAGCCACAAAAATGCTAACCTTTGAACAAACAGAATGGGGCATGATCCAGCATAAATATGAGAGTAAGGCTACAGTTCTAAGACTAGTTACTGATTAAGCCCCAAGGTACTTCATTAGACTTTATGCTCAAGCTGTAAATCCCCCACAAGATTTGCTATGTCTGGATCCTTGCCTTAGCTAGCTTATTAAGCAATGATCATTGACCCATCAAATGCACACTTACCTGCCTTGTAAAGAACCTTATGTTTTCTGAAATGGGGGGGGGGGGGGAGCCCACACTAGAAGACTCTTTCCGTACTTTGGAGAAGAGCCCATAACTTCCCATCCCTTGGTAAATTCATGCAAGCTGTAGCTTGAACCAAAGAAATCTCAAATTCAGTCTTACAACAGGACCTGCTTCTTTCCTCAGAAACGGTTACAGGACGTGGAACGTCCCAGGGTTGCCACAAAGCACTTGTCAGGTGACTTGCGCAATTGTTTTCAATGCTACCGGATCTTGAGGTTTTACAGCTTTCTCTGCACAGGTGTTTGGTTGCTGCACAGAGGAGTGAGTCTTTCTTTCTTTCTTTATTTGACTGATTGATTGCAGCAGGAAAGTTTAGATGGCTTGAGCCCAAGCCCCAAAAAGAGAAAAATCACAATTGCATCAGAAAGATTGGGTGGAGGAATAAAGAATTAACACCACCCAGGAAGTAAATTCACTTGAATGCACCCAGAAAGGAAACAGGGCAAACAGAAAGCCTGCGTCATTTGTTACAACAGGTTTGGCAGCAATTCTGCAGCTAGGGATCGGTTTTGGTTAATTTCAGAATCTGATTTTGGCTGCTGCTACAGCAGGTTTTCCCCCACCTGCCTAAACAGCAGCAAGTTCAAGGAACTTATAGGCGGCTGTTTGCACAGGAGGAAAACAAATCGGGCCTTTGTTCCACACTGGGGAATTGTGCTTGTTGCAATCACCCACTGAGACCACTAAATGCTAGCATTAGACTGTGGAGACAGGATTGTTCTCCTATGAGAACAAGTAACTGGCTCAAAGACAGGCTGGATTAAGACCTTCAGAGGCCCTAAGCACTTAAAAGATGTTGGTGCCCTCAGTTACCAGATTCTGATTCTGTTGTATTCCCAGGATTAATGTATATCATTAATCTCTATTATTACTATTGCATTATTATTTTTATTGTTTATATCTATTTCATTTATTGTGGGAGCCTTTTTGTGCAACCTGGTTCAGCTGCACCATTTAGTCCAGGGTAAATCCACCAATGACAAATTTCTGTGGTGCCCCCCCCTTTAAGGATTACACCCTTAAAAGTCCTGCTTCTTAAGACCTGCCTGAACTGTACCTTTACTGTGCATTTATTGCAAATGAATGTCACATACATTCCCCTTTGGGGGACCTTCTACTGATCAAAATAAAAATTTAAAAATCCAAATTATTTCGCTTCTATGTAGGGAGTCATCACTAGCACAATTCTAGACTTAACCGTTTTATGGTGGTAATGTGTATTGCTTTGCTTGCTTCCATTTGTAATAAGCCTGCCCTGCTGCATTTTGAGGCCCTTCTTCCTGTTCTGCTGAGGCGCCCTGGGTGCCTACGCTAACAGTGCCACTAGGTGCAACTCAATCACACCTGCTTCACCACCGTGCCATCTCCCCAACATTAGCTTCAGTAATAAGGTAACTGTGAGCAATAGACTGCAACAAAGGAAATGTTTTCTCTCCACCCTCCCTTGGTAAGTTTGCAAGGCTTTCTTGTCTCTGCAGTTCCTGAACCACCAAAAATGTGGGGAAAGTTTGGCTGTTTTCCAATATAGATTCATTGGGCTTTTGCACAGCAAGTTTTTTTGGGGGGAGGGGGGTTGATACAAACAGAGGGCTTCTGGTGCTTCTTGCTACACCAGCCCCATCAACAACCCGGCTGGTTTAGAGCCAAGTTACACACTGTGCTAAAACACTTCACTTGAGTGTTACATGAATTTAGCAGCCACCAACTGGGGCTCACCACACCTTTGCAAAACAACCTCAGAAATGCTTTATTTATATACAGTTTCCCAATAATGGAATGGTTCTCTTTCCTGGAATGGAAAGGATCTGCACCACGAGGCCAAAATAAACAGAACCGATTTGCAGGTAAAAACATACACCCAATTTTCATAGTGCCCATCTGGTAAGGGCTGGATTAGGGATTAGTCTCCATTTATGATGGCATAAGATGCAAAGCAGCTTGCTCCAATTGGTGCATTCGGCAGTCTGGGGAGCAAAGGTGAAGATCTCTAAGCAGAAGGTATGTAGGGAGAATCCTTTCTGTGTTTGCCTTAGGCAGGTGACTCTGCAGATAATGAGGTGATGAGTGCCTATTATAGAGCATGGGATGTATGTGGGTATGCAGAAGGAACAGCTGCTGAATAGAGTTACTGTTCTTCCAGCATAACTGCCAGGGAGAGTTTACCAAGCTGGTTTCTAAGCTGATATTTAGACATGTCGGTACCTTATCCCTATAGAAATAAGCCTAACACACAGCATTTGAAATCTTGGGGCAGATTGGGAAGGAGTCTTCGTGACCACAAGAGAACATAAAATTGAGTGGCAGTTAAGCCCCCTTGCCCCCAGCTACCCTAGGTTGGTGTGTCTGGACAGGCATGAGATAGTTTCATACATGACATGGTGGCAAGTTGTCCGTCAATATGGACTTCTCAGTGAGTGTATCTGTATGATTGCAAGTGCTTGCAAACATGCATTAAGGCTTTTATGGAGCTCTGCACATAGCATGTGGCTGAATTTGGAAGACAGACGTTTTATTCCTCTTTAAAAAGATGCAAAATGTTTGTAGCTGTGATCTTTTATGTGGCTGTGATCATCTTTTTCCTTCAAGGAGACAGAGGGTTGTAGCCGGTGCTTGTCTACTCTGAGTAGATCCACTGAATTTAACTTATTTCCATTACTTTTAATAGTAAAAGTAGAACTCAGTTGGCTCCAATCCAGAAGATATTATTCTCCAGCCAAATATGTCAATATAAATCCCAAACAAGTCATGGGGAATCTGTGTTGTTCCGGGTATTGTTTTATTACAGCACCCATCATCCCTGGCCATTGGCTATGTGCTGGCTGACCTGAAGGGGGCTCGGAATCCAAGACTATCGGTACAGCCAAAGGTTTTCAGGCTTTTTTCAATAGTGTTTCCAATGTATGTGATTACACTTAAATGTGTGGTGCCTTGGAACGTAAATTGGGACTTGCCTGTTTTTAAACGATGGAACTTGCTCCTGTAGGAGGAAGAAATGGCCACCAACTTGACTGGCTTTAAAAGAGGCTTAGACAAACTTATGAAGGGTAAGGCTATCAATGGCTACGAGCCATGGTGGCTATGCACTGCTTCCGTGGTTGGAGATAGTAATGCCAGGTGCGGGTGGGGAGAATGCTTTTGCAGGCTTCCCACAGGCATCTGGCTGGCCACTGTGAGAACAGGATGTTGGGCTAGAAGAAGAGGAGTTTGGATTTGATCTCTCGCTTTATCACTACCTGAAAGAGTCTCAAAGCGGCTAACATTCTCCTTTCCCTTCCTCCCCCACAACAAACACTCTGTGAGGTGAGTGGGACTGAGAGACTTCAAAGAAGTGTGACTAGCCCAAGGTCACCCAGCAGCTGCATGTGGAGGAGCGGGGAAGCGAACCTGGTTCCCCAGATTACAAGTCTATCGCTCTTAACAGTGGCTCTCAGATGAGCCACTGGCCAGATCCAGCAGGACTCTTATGTTCTGTCCTCTTTGCATAAACCTGGCAGCTGCACTGAACATAGGGGGGCAAGATGTAACTCCCCCCCCTTCTTCCCTTACTGGAAGTCTGTGTGATTTGAGGTTCTCATGAAGCACATTTTCATATGAAACATCTTTCGTGTGGTGGCGGGGAAGGTATGTTTCTGTTCCTCTTGTCACACAAAAACGTGTGCCAGCCAAGTAATTGTCAATAGCAGGCCTCTGAGAACCACTACAAGTATGAAACTGGAGTACTGACAGTGTAATTGTAAAATGGATGCAACAACTGGAAAAATCAACGACAGTTGCCAACTTGCAGCCACACAATAAACTTTAGCAAAAGTTGTGGCCTTGTGGTTTTTGACTTTCTTCTTTATTCTTTACTCAAATGTTTATCTCATCAGTCTAGGGTAAAGTGTGCATAAAAATGCATGTATTTGTGAAAATAGCAAACCCCAAAAGCATTATATTAGAGGAAAGTGCTTTGCAAAAATGTGTGTATTAAGATAAATTTACATTAAAATGCTGGCAAATTTTTTTTTGTTTGATTTTTTTAAAAAATGCTAATTGGTGGAGAATTTAAGATTGGGAAACCAGAATTAACAGATCCATTCATCCCTCCTTACCACACAGTTTAGAGAGCCTCTATTCGTATTCTGTATTACAACCACTAATCTGCATTAGTTAGTACTTCCTCCAGAAGTATATATTCTAAAAAGGCTACCTTTAAAAATCATTTGCAATGATAACTTGGCAGGCTGTGCTTTTGTTCTCTGCTTTAATTAACCCAGAACAACAAAAGCCATCTGCTCTGGTACTTCCAATTATAAATATAATTAGATTCCTGTCCTCACAAGCATGCATAGTAGTGCTCTTAAAAAAAACACCCGCCTCCTATTTTATTATCCCATTATTAGCATCAGGGGAATAAGAAGCAACTAGCCCATTTTACGTAATTTTGTCTACACCCCTTGACGGCGAAAACGAGCCTGAGGCTGCAATCCTACGCGCACTTGAAAGCAGCAGCGACGACTTTAAAGAAAACACGCTGCAAATGCGTCGTTAAGGGAGCTGTGCGTTTCCGTGTTGTCTTTTTAAAAAAGCACTCCAACAAGGGATCGCCCTTCCTTGGGATTCCCACTCTTTCCCGGGGTCATTCCCGAAATGCCCATAGTAGTTACACCCATTTCCCCACACAGCGTATGCTTCAACGGCGCTTTCTCTCTCCCTCCCCAGAGCTAAGCACGCGTGGGGACTTTCCGACTCCTGGAGAGCCAGCCCGGGATTCTCCAGGCGTCCGGGAACAGCGCTGGCTGGGCTGCCCCCCGGGGCGGGCCTCGCTCGGCCTGTTCCCGGAAGCTTTGGCGGCGAAGTTCACGCTGGCAGCGGCAATGGACCCCCACCCCTCATTTCATACGCGGGCGCGGGCTCAGATACCCGGGGGGGGGGGTCGGGCGCGCGCTTTGCTTTCTGCTACCGGGGAGACCTGTTGCCTCCGAAAGACGCGCGCGGGAGGCAGGCGCCGAGGAGACCCAGAACTGGCGCCAGGCTGACGGGCGGCCGGACAGGGGTTGCCGGGTGGGGAAGCCCGGGCAGGGGCGCCGCCGCGGCTCTGCTCACCTCTCCTGGACGACCTCCGGCGCAGGCTGTTTCGGAAGAAGCGCACGAAGCTTTCCCCCGCCATGCCGCGCGCACTCCCCAGGCGGCCGGTCCGCCCTCTGCTTCTTCGGCGGGCGCTCAGCTTCTGCCCAGCGCCTCCTCCTCCGCCGCCGCCTGGCGCGCTTTCGCTTTCAGCGCCGCCGCTGCGGAGCCGCCGCACACCTGAGAGGCGCGCAAGGAGCCGGTGCTGCGCGGAGAGGGAGGCGGCGCCCCGTCGCTCCCCAGCGGACGAGAGCGGAGCCGCCAAGGGAGGCGCATCCCCTGGAGGCCGCAGGGAGAGCACCTGAGCAGAGGTGGGGTGGACCCTGCTCGGATTGGTTAGTTGGACGGCCAGGGCCTTCCTGTAGGCAAAGGGCGCAGTCCAAAGCCACGCGACGTGTACGCGCGCGCTCGTGGGTGTCTTTTGCTGCCCGGAGACGGGGCGCTTGTCTCGTCTTGGCATTATTTCTAAACCGTTTTTTCCCACGGTGTTCAGAGTTTCTTAATAACGCGCAGGCTTGCGAAGAAACTATGAGCAAGGTGGTTCTGCAAAACTTTTTAAATAATAATAATAATACAAGCATGAAATAAATACAGTCTGCGGAGCAGAAAACAAATACTTAATACTACACAAACACATAATACAGTAAAAATACAGCTACAAAAGGTAAGAAAAGATCAGTCTTATTGAAAACACACAATAGTAAGTTTCTCAGTTCCCAAGTGCAATGTGCACACACTGGGAAAACGTAACCCTTGAAATGCACAATTTTATGTGGGTTTTATAGACAGTCAGAATTTATTGTGTCTCCCTTAATTTTCCAAAGATGAAAGCGCTGCTTTCAGGAGTTAAACTGGTAAATTAAGGGAGAATAAAGCAGAGCAAACTCCCAAAGGATTCCAGTCTCTTACAAGAAGAAAGTCTTTTAAACATGTATTTGGGATAGGATTAGTCTGCAAATCTGTTTGTCCAGCCAAGGCCTTATGTCATATGCCCAATTACGCACTGATAATGAGAGTAATATGTTTTGTTGCATTCTGGTGCATTAAAGAAGGGCTGCGTCTAATATTTAATCCACGTATTCTGTCTGTTTTGGTGCTGTGGTTTTATAATGAACTCCGTTTAATCTAGTTGTAATTATTTGCTTCTTGGATGAGATCTTCCATTCTGGGAGCCACATATGTAACATATATCTCTGAATGAATGAAGAAACTTTACAGTGCTGGGTTTAGACAGACTGAATTTGCCATGTGGATAAATGCTCTTATGGTTTGTTCCAGCCAGTGTGGACTTTGCATTAGTAATGTTCAAGGGTGACTGTCCACTGAGGCTTGTGGGGCAGAGGGCAGGACAGGCAGAAGTTAAAATAGGGAGAGAAGACTAGACACAGATGTGCACATAGGGGTATATGGGAAAGAGAGCAAGGCTGTGGGCTGAAAAAGGGAAAGAAAGGGTGGTGTGGAGAAAGAAAAAGGCTATTTGCTAGCATATGAGAGAAAAGGTGGGTTTATTTCTGCAGCAAGGAAGGAAATCTGTTTCTCTCAGCACAGCAAATCAACCAAACAATCTTGTTGTCATAGTTGCCTCCCATGCTTTTTAACCAAATTAACACAATCTAACTGGTGCTTCCCAGTGGGTGGCGCTGTGGTCTAAACCACTGAGCCTCTTGGACTTGCCAATCAGAAGGTCGGAGGTTCATATCCGTGCAATGGGGTGAGCTCCCATTGCTCTGTCCCAGCTCCTGCCAACCTAGCAGTTTGAAAGCACGCCAGTGCAAGTAGATAAATAGGTACCGCTGCAGCAGAAAGGTAAACGGCCTTTCCGTGCGCCAGAAGCGGTTTAGTCATGCTGGCCACATGACCCGGAAGCTGTCTGTGGACAAACGCTGGCTCCCTCAGCCTGAAAGTGAGATGAGCGCCACAACCCCATAGTCGCCTTTGACTGGACTTAACCGTCCAGGGGTCCTTTACCTTTTTACCTTAATGTGCTGGCCAAGCTCCTCTCTCAGAACAGAACTGTGGCAGCTGCAATGTGATTGGTTGAAAGCATCTGAATTAATTATGTTTGGTCCAAGGACACCAATCAGAGTAATTTTGCTGCCCGAATTGAGAGAAAAGATGGCAGCCCCTCTCCATTGCATGTACCTAAGCCAACCGGACTGGTCGTTGAATCTTACTTCAGCCCAGGTGACAGGTGATGGGTGAGCATCTTCCACCACACCAGAGGGCAGCAAGCTAGTTTAGTGCACCATCCCAGGCAACCAATACACAGATCTGTTCTCCACTACCTCACTACTGCTAGCTGCTCCCCAGAATCTGCTGCCTGATTCCACTGACTCACTTAGCCTAATGATAGGACTGGTCTCATGAACAGAGTTAACGTTTCTTACGCTCTGCTACCCTAGGAAAAGGACCCCGTTTGTATGGGCAGTACAGCTGAAGTTTTCAGTTTGAAGAATTGGCCTGAATTCTCTTTCTGGGGAGACAATAACAGCCACCCACAGTGTGAAAGGAAGAATGGTCCCCTCATAGGACGCTTCTTGTGCTGACTGGGCTGGTAGCCAAAGAAGCAACGGAACATACAGCAAGGTCACTTTCCCCGTTGATTCTCAGAAGAAACAATCAGAAGGGAGACATTTTCTCTAGAGCCCATCAGCAGAAGTCGGGTAATTATTTTCTGTCAGCATTGTATTCTCCCTGAGGAAATGACTTGCTCTCAGACTATGTAAATAGATAACAGGTGGCAGGTTGGGAATGCTTTGGGGTCACTCAAAGTCCTTGAAACTATAATTTATCAACTGACATCCATTAAGTTCACACCCATAAAGTGCATGCATGGTCTCACCCTGGCACCCGCTCTATGGAACATTAAGGAATGTTCTATGTGATGTAAAGCGATTATACTCAGTCATAGTTATTCTACGATGCCCAAAGAGAAAGTAGGGAAAGTGGTCCCTACTAAAGAACGGACCCAGCTATGCGCTTATACTTACCTCGCAATAAGTATTTAAGGTGCTTATTATTAAGTGCTAAAACTGTAGACTGTAAAGCCAAAGTGAAACAATGGTTGCACTATACATTTTATTGTATTATACTGGGTACTGCTATACTGTATTTGAGAGCCAGTGTACAGTGATACCTCGGGTTAAGAACTTAATTCGTTCTGGAGGTCTGTTCTTAACCTGAAACTGTTCTTAACCTGAAGCACCACTTTAGCTAATGGGGCCTCCTGCTGCTGCTGCGCCGCCGCCACACAATTTCTGTTCTCATCCTGAAGCAAAGTTCTTAACCCAAGGTAATATTTCTGAGTTAGCTGAGTCTGTAACCTGAAGCGTATGTAACCCGAGGTACCACTGTAGTGTAATGGTTACAGTGCTGCCGCAGGACCTGGGAGAAGACTGTACCAATTTCCCCTGGGTTATAAAGCTTACTGGATGACCTTGGGCCAGTCACTATCTTTCAGCCTAACCTACCTCACAAGGTTAATCACAGAATCATAGAGTTGGAAGGGTTATCCAGCCCAACACCCTGCAGTGCAGGAATCTTTTATCAAGATAAAATGGGGAGAGGGAAAACTGTGAATGCCACCTTGAACTCTCTGGAGTGGAGTATAAATGCCAAAATAAATTAAAGTCTCATTGTGCACTGTTAATTATACACTCTACAGCAGTCTCTGTACTTTTCCTAATAATCCCCAGCTTTTTTTATTGGCTCCAATATGTCGCGTCAGTATTTCTGGGGATATTCACAGCAACTCCTAAGTAAACTGTGTGATTATAACTGCGGTTATATTAACAGTTCAATGTTATTTTGCATTTAGTAGTGGCTCATCTGCCACTTGCTTGTTGCTGGTCAATTATTTCTGTTACTTTTCATAGGAAGGTTTATACTCTTGGATTTAGCCTCGCAAACTCAAGAGGTGCTCAAATGCCAGCACCTATTTATTCTTAGTCAGGGCTTTTTCCCCCCTGCCAGAACCGATTAAAGTAGGTTTGCTGCTCTTGTGCAACAAACCAGCATCCTCCCCACTCCCCGCATAAGATACGGAAATGCACTAGAAAGTATGGGGTATCATGACATTCTATAAACTTCCCACAAAGAAACCAGAACAAATGCTTAATTCAGCTAACCTCAATGTCATCTAACCTGTCTCCCTGCAGCCTTTGTGCAAACAAATAAGGATGAACATCCAGTAAGCAGGCATGATCTGAAAGTTAACTTAGTGAATTGATTTGTTGCAGATTTTTTTCCCTACCACTAGGTGTCAGGATAACAACAAAGAAACTTCATATCAGCCAATATCCATATACCTCAACAGGCACCCTCGGCCCTCCTGGCAGGAACAGCACAAAGGGATTCCTTGCTGTGTCAGACCATCCTGAAGCAAAACACTGCCTTTGGAAGAGCTTCATACCTGAGGTGGTGCCTGTGTACTTTTATTATCTGACGATGTAAGGAAAGCAGTACTGATGGAGCAGGTTGTGGAGGCCCTCTTGTCAGAGGTTGTACAACACAGGTGAGGAACCTCGAGGGCTGAATGCCCTTGAGACTCTTCCTAGAGACTATTCTCCCTCTCCCCAGGCCCCACTCTTAACTGCTCCTGCTCCACATCCTTGAGTGCTTTTGCTTGGCTATAAATGCCCTTAAAGTCTGATGATGCCTCTTATGTTCCTGGATAGAGGATAGAGGTGTGTGTTTGTGTATTGAACTCTCAAGCTTTTGTGTAGTTGAAATGTAGCGTGCAAAAGGTAAGAGTTTAATTCCCCAGTCCCTGTCTCACCTTGATGAGGAATATGTTAGCTGCCCTTCTTCCTCCTACCAGAGAGCCAGTGTGGTGTAGTGGTTGAGTGGTAGTCTCGTAATCTGGGGAACCAGGTTTGCGTCTCCGCTCCTCCACATGCAGCTGCTGGGTGACCTTGGGCTAGTCACACTTCTCTGAAGTCTCTCAGCCGCACTCACCTCACAGAGTGTTTGTTGTGGGGGAGGAAGGGAAAGGAGATTGTTAGCAGCTTTGAGACTCCTTCGGGTAGTGATAAAGCGGAATATCAAATCCAAACTCTTCTTCTACCTAAAGCCACCATGAGTAGCATTTCTCTACCCCACATGGAATACAATTCAAAAGGAGATTTCTGTAGCAACAGCAACATCACTCTGACATTTGCCAAAGGGAAACTGGTGTGCTTATGTAATGGAAACAAGGGGTTAGTAGACAATTATTATTAGACCATTTCCCTCTTCAGATGTCATAACAGTTGTTTGCTTGTATTATTATTACACAGTATCTCACCCCTCCCCAAAATGCAGATTTTTCCAGCTGAAATATACTAGTAGCTCTTCAGTTTCTCAGGGCCAAACTAGGCATGATACTAATTGCTTCCTTGTTTTTGTTATGTAAATTGCAGGCAAAAGGAAACCTGAGCAGCCTCAGGTTCACGGAGAATGAGGAGTTTCTCTGATTTTTTT